TGGGATTTCTGAGGAGCCAGGCCCCGGATGCATGATGAGAGAGGAGCCTCTGTTGGTGAGAGGCCCTTGAAGAGAAATGCCGTTGGCCACTTGTGCTTAACGATTCTGAGTCAACCATGTGCCAGGCCGCAGGGAAGGAAGACAAGGAGGCTGCCTGCCTTGCCATAAACTAACTGCCGCTCCTAATGGAGGAGATGGGGAGTACGTCTGTTTCAGGGCAGTAAGCCTCAAGTCTGGGCAGTGTGACCTCGGAGTCCTGAGACAAGAGCATCTCACCCTGAGGGGAAGGTGCCTGAGGATGTGGGTGCCAGAAAGGATTTACAGTGGACTTGATGTTCGGGTTGAGCTCTGAAGGATGAGCATTCAAATTGGGAGTGTGGCATGCTGGCCACCCCAGCCTCCCATCCCGCAGCTCACTCTTGTGAGAACATTATGCCTTCATTCTTTCTTACTGGTCAGTATAAGAGACAATTATGTGTGAAGTAGCTGTGTTTTCTGTGTCCCTATATTTGCAAAGACCCATGCAACAAAACCCTTAGATCCAGGAGAAGTTTGCCTCTTCTGATGATCCAGTGTGCTTAATTTAGCCAGCAGTTTTAAACCCTATTGCACTTCCCACTTCCCCAGCAGTCTTAGTACTAGCATTTGAGCTTAAATCGGAAAAGTTTGTCTTTAGTCCAATTTTTTTGTGTCTGTCCTCTCACTCCACTCCCCAAACCACTGTGGAAATTTCGCCTTGCTCTTTTTGTTATTGCTTGAACGGGTTGGGGTTTTACTGTAGTAGCACAAGCCCTTGACATCCATTTTGGAAGTAGGCAAAAAATAAATTGCTCTGGAAATGGAATACTTGTTAGCATTCTGAACAGTCTAGAACCAGGATGTTTCCAGGTTGCCGAGGGCAAATGCGTTTTTATTTGAGATGTTACTGCCAGTTTCCTCCCAGAGCCATCATGAAATGCCTGAGCATTTGACATGAGTTTGGGGTTCTCTGTCTTGTACCAAGATGCTGGCTAATGACTGACAAGGCAAAATTGGGGGGCTTCTCTGCTTTCTGATTGCTGGGGAGTAGGCCCTCTACTCTGGCCCAAGTGCAGTTTGAAGCTGACAATCCAGAACCATAAATTATTAAAGCAGGAAGGGTCCAGATACCACGTAGCCCAATCCCCTGGTATGGTAGACCCAAATGGGTTAAGGGATCTTTTTTTTTTTTTTTAAATTATGTTAATCACATGGTTAGCCAGTGGCAGAAAGGAGATGAGAACCTTGGTTTCTTAATTCTAATTTTAGGGTCCATACATATTATTAGTCTAAGGATTCTTAGACCTTTGGCTTGAATTTTGCAAAGAGATTGGATAGACTTGGCCATTAAATGGTTGTATGGCCTTGAAAGATCAGTCTCATTGAAGCTAGTTACCCATTAGTAAATGGAGATCGTATTTTCTTACTTGATTCACAGGGTTAACTTCTACCATCCCAGGTATAAGCCACTGGCACATATGTCCATCATTTTCTCTTTCTCCATTTGCAAGGAAGATGAAGACCTAACTGCTTTGGGCTCAAGGCTGATGCCAGCCCCTTTGCTCAGGTCTAATGAAGCTGGCTCAGCTATGGGCTATCTACATTTGCCATGCTTTTGTTCTCTCTGGGGTCTTGGTTAAAGTCCCTCTGGACCCCCTTCTTTTTCCTTTTTGTTCATCTGCTAGTCCTCTTTCAAGTTTGACTTTGTCTTACATTCTCTACCTGACGAAGGTACCTCACTTCCTTTCTCCTTAGTGCCCTCTTGAGCTATGAACAGTGCCACCTTCTGGAGGGTAGGGACTGTTTTATTCATTGTATTTGCATCTGAAATATAGTAATTTTCTTCATTTTATTGAGCTGTCATGGAGATGTTTAAATGAATAAATGACTCACAAGGTAATATATGCAGAATCCCTCTCAGAACTATGCTATGTATTTTCTGTGTTCATGTGCTAGGGTGTCCTAATTCCCTATCCTATCCTCTCTGCAAGTAAGGATCAAGGATGATTTTGATCCTTCGATCTTTCTTGGGGAGTGAAAATAAAACACAGTATAAGGTCTAAAGGTCTGGGAGGGGAGAAGTTTTGGTAGGCAGAAATAGGAATAATAAAAATGGGGAGGAGACCGTTTCTATGAGAAATTAATACTCTTCATGTACTTTATTATGAATTTGATGCATATTAGTTTGAAAACTGCCCTTTGAAATGCTATTTAACTAATTGCTTTTATTGCTCTATCTTTGGAGACTGGGAGCTGGGAGAGATGCTAAAGCCCAGGAGGTAATCTCTGGGCCCAGGGAAGGGTCTCTTCTCTATTATTTGAACTTCTCAATATTTAAAATGGTTTAGTTTGGACTTGTTGATAGAGCAGTGCTTCTCAAATTTTAATGTGCAAATCGCCTTAAGATCTTGTTAAAATGCAGATTGATTCAGTAGGTCCTGAGTCAAGGCCCAGGATTCTGCATTTCTCACAGGCTCTCAAGTGAGGCTGACGCTGCTGGGCTGCAGACCACACTTTCCATACGTAACAAGCTTTTAGAAGCGCCTGAAAGTGGGAGGTCTTACTAAGTCAACTCTGCTGTTTCTTTGGCCTGGATTCATGGTTACTTGGATAGCAGAAGGCCTGAAACCAAGTCCTTGGCTTGGAGAAGGAAAACCCTGTGAGAAACACTTGACCATATGCTAAATGGTTCGTCCCATCTTGGGAGTCCCAGAGGGGCTGCATTGTGATAGAATGACTGATATTCATGAAGAGGACTTGGGATTCTATTCAGTGAACTGTCTAGAAGGCAAGCAAGGAGTCTTCATTAAAGTTTAGATCTATTATGAAAGATTAAAGCCAGTTAGGCTTATGTAATTTTGACAACATGAAAAAGTCATTTGAGGAACTCTTCATTCCTGAAAGACACTCTACTGTAGTTCTTTGCTAATGGGCTTTTTGAGGGGCCACCTGCCACTTGATGTCTTTGTCTAGACCAGAAGTAACATTCCAAGCTGCTCTTCCAGTGAGAAGTTAAGTGGGATCTGCTCTCTCGGCATTGAATCCTGTCCCCATCGCTGAGTGAGACCTTGGGCAAATTGTCTTTCCCAGAGCCTGTTTTGCCACCTGTAAAATAGTCCTGATATCATTTCATCCCAGAATTTTTTATTTTTATTTTTTAGAAGATACGCAAAAGCTCTTGGCATAGTTACTATCCCTTCACTATGATTACTTTTTCTCCTGCTCTGATCCTAGTTGGCATCTGGCTGTGCTGTTTGGATATAAGTGATTCTGCTTGGCTCCCTCACCTGAACCTTTTCACTGTCTTCTTTCTATGGGTAAGAGAGCTGTTGTGAGGTATGCAGACCTTCGTAAACTTCTGCAAATCCCCGGAACTCTTAAAGAGACGAGAGCAGATACTCTAAGTTAAACTTTTTTCACAAGGTAAAAACAGTGGGACTCCCATTAAGAGACTGTGCAACTTAGGTTGAGACACACATTTGTTTTGTGTGTGGACACCAGTGACCAGTGACCAGTGATCGGTGATTTGCCCCTGGGTCTCTTTGCCCACAAATGGTTGTAATTTCAGACTCTGGGTGTTGCCGGGCAGGCTTCTGTAGCTAAGGTGGTGAAAAGTTGGTTCTGAGTCCTTCTAGGTTAGTAAGGGTGTGGCTGGAGTTGTCACCTTTGTCCTCTATAACATGTGAATTGCAGTGGCCTTGATCTGGAGAGAGGGGTTTGTCCTTGGTTAGGTCAAACACACCCAATTTAATACTTGGCTTTCCTTCACTGTTCCTCTCGGCTTGGCTTGCCTCTTATCTTTGGGTTCTCCGCTTTAAATGTAGACACCTTGGAAGTGGGTGTTTAGTTGCTGCTCTGCTTGTTCCTTCCTGTGCCCTTCGATCTGTGAGCGTTTGTTTATTGCCTACTCATGTTCCATAGCCTGCTGTTCCTGCTCAGATGCTACCGAAAATCTTTTAAGACTACGGATTTGTTTTGACTTCTCAGTAATAAGACTACTTGGTATTCTCAGTGGCCTTTAGTGTTTATCATGACCCTGTTCTGTAAGCTCAACCAAATCTACATATTACACGTGTATTACGTATTACTAACATTATATTAGTTTTATATATATAAAATACTTGAGTCCCTATAGCTGAAGCTTTATCTAACCAGTGACCTTGATTTGGGAATCCTGTTAAAAAGTTGCTTCACACTTGCTGTAGGGCTTTAGACAAATAATTTAACCATACTCACTGGACCTAAATTTATCTTAATCTATAATAAAAGGATTGAATTAGATGAGACGTTTTCCAAACCTTTCTGTGGAATTGGTTGGAGTGGGGATGGGAATGACAAGAAGGCTCAGCAGTGGGTAGGACCCCAGGCTCGGCATTCAATCACATGATTATTTTGTTACTAAAGGCTTTTGCTATTAAGTTGGAAAAGCACTGGCCTAGATGGTGTGAGATTGCCTCCAGCCCTGGCATTGTGTGATCCCTTCCAGCAGTAGCCTCTACTTCTAAATTACGTTAGGCAAGGACACCTAAGTTGTAACACAAGCAGGCCCAAACTCATGGCACTCAAAGTCCTCTACGGTCTGGTTCCTGATATTTGTCACCAAGGCCCTGGGCTGGCTGGCCATGCGAGTGCCCTTGTCCCTTTGCTTCTGTTCAAACTGTTCCCAGCAGCACAGGGAATATTTATAAGCATCCTTTCCCCATTCAGTCCCTCCCAGTCTTCAAAAGACTATATAGTGTAAAAGCATCGTGTCCTTTCAGAAAACCTTTTTTCATTAGTGGTCCGTGTCTTCCCAAAGTACCTTCTCCACCCTGGTGGCTCAGTACACTTGGCCTTTCTGGCACTTACGTATGTGTGTGTAAAGCTCAGAGAGGGGCAGGACCTTCATTTCTTAATTCGCCATCACCGCAGTGGCTAGAATTGTACCTTTCTGAAAGTGACGTGGACCTATCATAGAGCTCAAGAACTCTTTTCTCTTTCAGGATCGAATCATCAATTTAGTTGTTGGCAGCTTAACATCCTTATTGATTCTAGTAAGTATGTTTATTTTGTGTCTTACCCAGGCTCTTCGCCAAAGTTTTTTTGAAAGCGTCAATATTGTGGTTCAGTTTAACACTCAGAAAAAATACAAGAGGCCAGTACATGAATCTGTGGAGTATTCTAGTCATAGTCTAGTATTCAGTTTTATTACCGCTTGAACTGCAGCTGACAACAGGAATACCCCCCAGTTGAGTATATGAAATAGCCCACGTCAAGTAAGTAGTTATTTCTGAGTCTGCCATGTTTCTGTGTTTTGTTAAATTTGTAACTCGTCAGTGGCACCAGCAATTCCCCTCTGTATATGACCCACAACTCCCCTTTCCTGCTAATCCCTTAAGTTTATTTTGTTCCTAAAAGCACACTCGTTATCCTTTAAAGATTATTTGGTCCTTATTCTTTATCTTGTATAATGTAGCTTGGTACTTCTGCTGTAAAATATAGCTATAGTTCCCATAGTCTAAAAAGGGCATTTTTATATCGCATTTCATTAAATCAAAGAGAATTTTAGTGAAGTTTCATTGACCTCTTAATAAAAAGAATGAGTATAATGCTTTATTTGTGATAGAAACAGAACTCCAATGTATTAGAAACCTAGCTCAGTATTTCCCAAAATGTTCAAAAACCGTTTTGGTTTTAATTTTTGTTGGCGTATGCAAAATAACGTAACAAAGGTTAGAACTTTTCCCAGTGTAATCCTTAATCCTGGGAATGAGGTTTAAATGCTTTCTTTTTGTCAAGGGGTTATTTTGAGCTTAGCTAGTTTTATGAGCTATGATGTTTTGTCTCCTTTCATAGTGGAGGAAAAGGATAGGAAAAGGAAGTACTAAAAGAAGTAACATACTGGAACAGATTTACAAATACTAACATTCCAGAAGGCAAACCTGGTGGTAGATACTATTTTACAATGTGAAGTGTTTTATAATAGGACATTGCTTAAACTCCAGTCTAACCAAGGCCTGACACAATTTCTTTTCATACAGGTAACGCTGATCAGTGCTTTTGTTTTCCCTCAACTACCTCCAAAACCTTTGAATATATTTTTTGCTGTCTGCATCTCTTTGAGTAGTATTACTGCCTGCATACTTGTGAGTACTATTTAGAATTTAAATTGAGTATCCTGGAGGGCTGAAGGTTGCAGTGTATACGTAGGACAGATTCCCAGCCTTGGGTCTGTAAGAAAGGGTATGTCTAGTTACCCGTCCCCACCTCGATGCAAAGGATGTCAGAAGTCTGAATATTAATTGGCAGATTTTTTGTTTCTGGAATCAGGAGTTGTTAATTCTAAAAGGAACCTTTGAAAGCTTTAAAAAAAAAAAAAGTGGGGAGGGGGAAAAAGAGTTAAGACTTGGGTGGCCAAAGCTTTAGTTTAATTTACCTAATACATCTTCCTTCAAGGACTGCCTACAGGCCCAGCAGGATTTGGCAAATGCCATTACTGCTCTAAAGGGAAGAGATACAGCATTCTGGATTTACTTCTAATTACAGAATTAGTCTATTTTAATCTCTGTGCTTATCTCCCCAAATGAAAGTAATTAACACCAAGAACCTCTTGGGAAATCTTAAGCTACAGCTATATCCTTGTCACAAGAATGTACAACTATTTACCATAAAGATGCTTTTCCTTTACATAAACGAAGACGGTGATAGATCCTCACTTAGATATTTGCCAATTGTTTGGTCATTAATTACTTGGCTGTTGTTTTATTTCCCTTGAGGAGAGATAGAACCAAAACTATAAACCCTTAAAAGCAGTAGTTTTGACTCACACAGGGCTTAAATCACCACTGTAATGTGCTTATCTCATTAATTTATTCCGCTCTACTCCTTTGCTCTGAGGAAGAGTTAGCCCATCTACTTCTGGAGTCTTTGGAACGAAACTACCAGAGATGGCTCTTCGCACTCCCAGCCTAAAGCCAGGAGTGACTAACATGACCTAGTTTTGTATAAAAACTTACGTATAAAAACGTATAAAAAAAAAGATCTAATTACAATAATAGAGATGAGTATGACTGCTTTGTAAAACGAAGTAGATAAGCTTTGGTGATTGTAAACTTTTCTCAGTAAGACTACAGCTGACTCTAGTTAGTAAGAATTTAAAAGTTGTCATCCCTTCCAGTACCTAAGAGACTTGTACCTTTTTACTCAAATACATTTAAAACCACCCTACAAGGTATACATTCTTGGATGGCTTGTCCGTGATTGAATGACTACTGGTTTGAACAGAAAAAAGGTAGCTGAGAAAGCAGGAAAAAGTATGATCTTGGATGTGGAAATTTGGTATTACTAGAATTATAAAGAGAAAAATTACATTCTGGCCACATTGGTTTCAGAAATGTATACTAACGTAAAGACTGTCTCAGTGGGGGAAAGTATATATGGATGAAATTGGTCACAGTTGAAAAAGAATCAGTTGTATTGAAAAATTTTCATGCCAGGCCTAGTGGCTATTACTTAAAACTCTTATTTAATTCTTCTTCTTTTAGATCTACTGGTATCGACAAGGAGACTTAGAACCGAAATTTAGAAACCTAATTTACTATATCTTATTTTCTATCATCATGTTATGTATATGTGCGAACCTGTACTTCCATGACGTGGGGAGGTGAGGCTGCAAAGGAGAAATACTTACCAGGTCTCTTCAAAGCTATACATTAGGACTGTTGAGTCAGAGCCGGGTAAGCTATGCTGAAGAATCTCCTGCACAAGTCTGATACATGATTTTCATGTTAATTGTAAATCTAAAATTCCCTCTTGCAGGGGAGACATAGCCTAGATTGCTTTGCTTTTTCTTTAAGGAGGTGGTGTTGCACCTAAACATTCCAACCCTTAAAGCTCAAAGGGCACAAGCAATTTTCACTTTTGAAATTAGACTTTTTATAATGTAAGTGCATGGCGAAAGGCTATGTAACAATCTTGCATTTTAAGACAAATATTCTTTTATTTCTGTTAAACTGAATATACAATTATTGTTCCCTAGGCAACCAACTTTTGCTTATAACTACAATTTCACATTAACAAAACACAGACGGTGAAAAGACAACTTTGATTGTGAAGATCTAATTACAATAATAAATAAAATAATTTATACAAGGTTTTTTTTTTTTTGTGACTTTTTTATAGGGGTCATGTTCATTAAAGCCCTAGAGGCTAATTTTGGCTTCACCTTCTCTGTAAATACATGAATGACTCTTGATTTCTTTCCTTTTATAACAGAAGCAAATTTTGTTTTTTTAAATTGCCTGAGAGGGAGAAGTTATGTCACACCCCACCAGCTGATGCACTAAAGTGAAGGGCAGACTCATACCTTCCTCAACGATTTCCTGGGTAATTTGTATAGCAAAATATGTGAGAGTCGGAGTATAGGGTAGGCAACCGTACTTCCTTCCCATTTAATTTTACTTCAAAGTGCTAACTTTGTAAACTGACAACAGTGGGTTCTGAAGGGGTGAAGACTCTAGCTTCTGGTGAGCTGTGTTGCTATTCTCTTCCATATTCCCTTTATAAGTAATAAAAAACCTGTAGTGAATATTCTTAATTCTTATAATGCTTCTTTGTGTACCCAGCCTGAATCAGCTCCCACTGCCAGCAATGGGTAAACCAATAGTCATGGCCACACAGTGCCCTCCTAGGTCTCTGTATGGGATGCTGGGCACCTTTCAAACTAAGGGTACGTGACATTTCTGAGCATCACTGGTAAGCTCTACACCATGTTGATGGGATGTCTCCGAAATATGAACAGGCCTACTTGAGACTGGATAGAGCCATGTCCGATCTTTAGAGATGAGTATGACTGCTTTGTAAAACGAAGTAGATAAGCTTTGGTGATTGTAAACTTTTCTCAGTAGCTGAAAGTGAATGAAATTCCCTGCTGACAATTAACACCAATCACAGGGATCTACGCAGTTAAGACCTCCATACTCAGTTCATCTACACACTGTCCTAAGACTGACCTCAGATGGTATATTTAAAGGAGGTAAATAGTCATAGCAGCAACATGTATGTGGCTTAAGCACTGTAGTTATTTAAAAGCCAAAGGAATGGTAAATTAAGCCTCTTGGGAGTTGCTCCTATTTCTTTGGAGATGTTGTAATTAACAGTGTGGCTTCTCTGCCTAAGCTACCTGTCTCTTAAGAATTACCTAATGACAGTTGACCAAATCCTCAACATCCTTTGAGTCTTCTGAAACAGGACTGCCCAAAGATGATCCAATGATATTTGATTCTTCTCGATGATGTTGGAGTATGGGATCTGTAATGAGTTAAGTGTTAAGTAAGTTTACATGTATGTACTCTAATCCATGTCAAGAAGGTATAGTAAGTACTCGACCAAAGTGCAAAATCTTAACAAGATGACTACTGTTGGATCAAGTAGCCTGATGTTCCCCTTAAGATTTATCAGGCACATGATGGAGTTGTATCACAGTACCTGTTAGTGTTGTCAAAGGCAAGACAGATTCAGTATCTATAACATCAGATGCCTGGATAAAGCCATGTGGTGAAGGAACGATAAGTATGGTTTCATCATCAATGGCTGTTTGATCAACTTGTTCTTCTATGGTAGGAGACTCTAGATCCTAAACGGTAGCAATTAAAAAAAAAAAAAAAAGACATTCTGACTCCTATTTCTTAGTTTTCCTTAAGCTCCCAAACACGTTTAGGTTTAAAAGGACTTTATAGTTAAACATTATCCCATTTTATAAAGAAAAGAAAATTAAAGCATAAAAATGGACAAAACAGAACTTAAAAGGAATTCAGTTCTAGGTCCCCTGAACGTAGAAGAAACAGCGCTGTTACACTGGGGTAAGTAAGGTTGCTAAGCTGTACCACAAAGACCTACTACTAACCACTCTCCTGAAAATGGTTCCATAGGTCCCAACAAACAAATCTCAATCTGTTGGAAGGGTACAGGGGGAAAAGTTTCGGTGCTAAGGCTGAGCAACACACTGCTGTCTCATCTTGTGAGGTCGCAGGTACAGTTTGCATTTGATTTTGTGTCCCGAGAAAAAGGGAAGTTGGTGGAGGACCCCCTCCTCCCCATAAATTATTGCTAGGCTTTTTCCAAAATGAAGGTTTAAGGCTCAAGGCAAGAACCCAGAGGCTGTTCCCTTAATTGCAACTTACCTCAGTAACATAAGCACGGGCTAAAGGAGAAGATGACTCCTCTTGTTTAAGGTCGGTGTCAGAGATTCCTTCCGCTCTGACCATAACACTATTCATCAGTTCTGTGCTATTTTGGTCACTGAATTTGGATACATGAGCATCATTAAATGATGGCTCTACAGTAATCTTAGGCTGATGAATTTCATCTGGGAAAGTGTCTGCTTCTAGGGCATCTGGAGGCTCAGGAAAATCAGATGAGTGAATATCACTGTCTACTGTCAGTTCTGCTTGGGATATGGAAGAAGTGATGTCTTCTGTGGCAACAGTCTGAATGATGACGCGTGGTGTGTGACACTGCACCGTGACGTTGTCACTTGTGTTTAACAAATGTTCTGGCTATAAAATGTCAAAGGAAATGATCAGTGGCAAAATGAGAAAGTCCCAACCAGACTTCAGTTATAGGCGACAACTACCATTTACAGGTGGCACCTGCCTGTCCCCAACCCTGCCCTCTCACCTCTGGAACTGCAGTGGTCTAGCACCGCCCCCCCATCATTCCATCTCCTGTAAGGAGACACACAGGGGCAAAGGTTATACCCCAGTAAAGGCAGAGTAATGGTGTAAAACTATGCTCCTAAGACAACAGCAGTAGGAAAAATTGCTTAATAAGTGGACTCTATTAGTTCTGGCTCTTAAACTTAGTATCACTTAATCCTGGTCCCTAACAGGTACTCCAATACTTAGACTACATAATCCATTTCTCCCTTAGACCTACTGTTATTATTGAAGGCACATGGGTTCTCTCATAGTATTAAAAACAAAAAGCTTCTGGTGACACTTATCAGCCAGTCTTCTCTACAGAAACCAGAAAAATCAAGGAACTGATGGAACATACGGATAAAGCGTGAACAATGATCTGTTCAGGAGAAGCAGGTGCGGCAGTCGTCAGGGTTACTGTGGGACTAGCTGTCAGAGTGAGGGGAAGGCCTTGGCTTGAGCTTGTCTGAAGCAGGTAGGTGCCTGGAGTGCCAGTGGGCTGTAAATGGAAAGACTGAAGCAAAAAAATTAAGATCAACATAGGTGCAAGAGACTGAGTAAATAAGCTTACTTAAGTCTAGCTTTATATCTGAAATGGAGTCTTTAATTTACTAGCCACAAATGTGCTTCCCGATCCTGAAGGTGCCCTCAAGTAACAAAATGAAGGGTATAATACTGACTTGTCCTACGTCCTTACACTTGTCTTGGAGGTTTAACAGAGAACCTTGATCCTGCTCTTCACTCCCATGTATTTCTATGGTCTGGTCTTAGCCATTTATTTCAAGGCACCAAGACACGGTAGCATAAGCCACTGTGTCCAGTGCGGTAACCCGCACACCGTCTTCCTTCACGGTCTGTCTAGCATGTAAAGAATTGGCACTCTCCCCACTTTTTAAAAGTTTCACATTTTTGAAAAGGCACTACAGAGTTTACTTGAACAGATTTTTTCCATAGTATAATTTTAGGAACTATTTTTTATACTAAGGTGAAATGTACAGAGATCGTGATTAGTGTTCTGAATGAAAAAGAGTAACTTTGAAAAGCTGGTTAACTAATAGTAAGTTTATCTTGATAGGTTTCACAGAACTGTCCCAAAACTATTCAACTTCTATGCTTGATAATTTGAGTTCGGTTTATCCTTTTCTCCCACAGGGAAAGTATTTACACTTAGAGGGTGATGTTGAAGTCCTAGAGCCTGTGGTCTTGTGTACTGAAGTTATAATAGCTCTCCTGGTACTAGCTCAATGAAAGTAAGTTTCCTTATTGCTAAAGCAGGCATAATAACTACCTCAGGGAAGGGGTTGTGGGCATTACAGATTATTACAAAATGGTGCCTGGCACACAGTAGGACTCAAGTAGGACTCGATTTCTTTCCTCCCTCCATAGAAATAAAAGCTGATCATTTACAATTTATAATTAGTAAATTAGATGTGGTCAGACAATAAATACTTCATGTATTAAATATATGCATTTTATTTAAGTTCCTGTAATGTTCATGATTTTTTGAAGCTGAGGCAATATCATCTTTTATTAATAAATTAGGACAGAAGTCTAAATATCTGTGACCCAAATAAGTAAAAACCTGAACACATACTCTAAATATATGTATGTATATTATTTGGCCAGGGGGCAGAGAGGAGGTGGCCAAAAAAAAAAGTTTTCAACCTGTGACAAAGGGTTATATTACACATCCCTATTTTCGAGACCACAGAATTAGGAAGTGGAAGCTTAGGTTAAATAAATTGCTAGTAGAGGTTCCAAAGTTGTTCTAAAAGAGAACCTTTAGCCATGTCGACTATCCTCATGAGATTTGACTGTGCAGAGGATAAACTTTTGCCCTAATAGCCCTATGTTTTTCACAGCAAATAAAGCTTGACAGAATTTAAATAAAACCTACTTTATATTTTCTTCCTGAAAAATGAGCTAATTCTGGGTATTATCCATTTTAGAAAACAGGGTAAGAATGGAGACTTAAAAAGTTACCCTACTTCAGCCAAAAGAAACCCCATTCAAATTAGCCATCTTGGTCCTTAGCTCCCCCAAAACCTCTTAGCATAGGCAACCATTAATCTTTTTGTCTCTACAGAGTTGCCTATTTTAGACCCTTCAAATAAATGGGAATCAAACACTCTATGGTATTTTGTGGCTAGTTTCACTTAGCATAACATTTTCAAGGTTCACCCTTGGAGCATGTATTAGTACTTTGTTCTTTTTTACTGCTGAATGAATGAATTATTCAGAATTGATGGCTCAGATGTTAACTATACCGTTTCACCTTTAGAAGAACTGCAAGGTTCTTCCGTAAAGTGGCTACACCATTTAGGACTGGGACTTTTAAATTCTGTATCCCCAAGGGCCAGTGCTTAAATTCTGTATCCCCAGGGGCCAGTGCAATGAACTTTTTGGTTATGGATAGCATTTGTTTATGACTCAATACAAACCCATAGCATGCACCCTCCTCATTAAGCCCTGTCACGTTCATATGTAAAAGCACGTTATTGGTTTAAACCTCTACAGATGAAGAAAAAGTGGAAGTCTGATTTATGTCCTCGTTTAACGATCTGGCCTCAAAAACATGGACAGCTGCACTGAATGCCAATCATGTTTTTATTTCATTTGTTTATATGGTAACAGTGCTAAAACCAGTGATTTTTCTTACGCATAAAATGCCAAGTTCTGTTTTGTGAAGTGTTACTCACTGGAAGAATCTCAAATGCCTGTAGTGTTCCACTGTTTAGTGTTATTGTTTCCGAGTCAACAGTAGCAGCAGGGGACTCTGTTGAAGCTGTGGTAGGAACAAGGACAACAAAATAAAACACGTAGTCTCATAGTGAGTAATTTGCCCGGAAACCTGAAGTCATTTAAATTTCTTACAAGAAGGAATCGAACAGATTTACCTGGGATGGCACAGGTTAGTGGTTAGCAAACTGTGGCTCATATCCAAATCCGGCCCACTACCAGTGTTTGTAAAAAGTAGTTATAGGAACACGGCCACACCTATTTATTCTCCACAGTTGCTTCTGTACTTTAAGGGCAGAGCTGACTGTTACAGAGACAGTATCTGCTAAGCCTTGGTAGAGATCACAAAATAGTTCTAGAAGTAAGAGGAATACCCTAAGACTAACAAGTCAACAGGAACTTGGTAAAAAATAAATTTTCCTGGACAATCTGATAAGCAGTATGGATTCCTGGAACGTTAGTCCCCCAAAACCAGGCTTCTGTTCCAGCAGCAGCACTCCCGAGCAAATAGCTTGCTTTGAACCTACTCGTGTTCAGAGACTATGTGTCCTGCCTACCTCACGTAGTTGTTGGGAGGAACCACAAACATGAAATATAAGATAGTAGTATTTCAGGGGTGCCTGGGTGGCTCAGTCAGTTAAGTGTCTGCCTTCAGCTCAGGCCATGATCCCAGGGTCCTGGGATCGAGCCCCATGTCGGGTTCCCTGCTCAGTGGGGAGTCTGCCCTCTGCGCAACTGCCCCCCATCCCGAGTTTGTGCTCTTTCTCTCTTAAATCTCTAAAAAAAAAAAAAAAAGTTATTTCAGAAGAACACATCTGGGTTCGTAGGTGTTCAGGATGGTTTGATCCCTATCCAGCTGAATTCCTGCGACCAGATGAAATCTAGGTCTCCTATTCCTCCGCCATCTTGCTCCGCCCAGCCCAGAAGAACACATTTGGGAGACTGAACAGTGCTTTAGAGATCACACAGTATATAATCTCTTTATAGGTGTGTCAGTTGAGGCTTTAGACTTGAGCAGTGTTGGTTACACTTGATCAAGGTTATAAGGAATTAAGACTAGATGAAATGTGGATCTCTTGGTGCTTTCAGTTGCACCTCTAGTTAAATCCATGTGAAAAAGGATTTGGAATCATCTTGTAATGTGTAGTGTTTATTCCGACTAAAATACTTCTCTGTTGGAAAAGAAATGAGACACCTTTCAAAAGAAATGCATCTGATTCATGTTACTATTTCTCTATTTGATGGAATCTTAAGATCATACCCAGAATAATTTAAAGTGATTCCAGATAAATAACCTTCATCATGGGTAAGCAAACCATGGGCAGGGACAAATGTGGCTCAAGACTAAGAATGGTTTTTACATTTTTAAAGGACTGTTTAAAAACCAGAAAATTCCACAAAGACTTATGTGGGCTGCTAAGTCTAACATGTTTATATTTACTATTCTGGCTTTAAAGTTTGCTAGTCTCTGACTCCTAACATAAAGGAAGAAACAATCATGAGATTTTAGCCTGAATGCAAAGAATAACTGATATGGTATAAAACTCTTGGGCGCCTGGGTGGCTCAGTTGGTTAAGCGACTGCCTTCGGCTCAGGCCATGATCCTGGAGTCCCGGGATCGAGTCCCGCATCGGGCTCCCTGCTCAGCAGGGAGTCTGCTTCTCCCTCTGACCCTCCCCCCTCTCATGTGCTCTCTCTCTCATTCTCTCAAATAAATAAATAAAATCTTTAAAAAAAAAACAAAAAAAAACCTCTTACCAACATTTCTTGCTGGAAGAAATACAATTATTCTACATATTTTAAAAAAGCCATCCTGTGAAAATTAAGGTACCAAATCTAAAATGTCTACATTCCCAGTAAGTATAGTCACCACAAAAGCCAAGGAGAGTTCTAACAATCTCTGTGCACAATCTATAACCAACAGCTCTCATATTTATGGCGGACCAGTAATTTCAGTTGCTTTGTAATTCTTCAGGCTATAAAGTTAAATAAGCAGAGGGCTAAAGAAAAATTCTTCATGCATTATCACATTGGTAGAAAGCTAAAGCAAATACCCAAACTTAAATAAGAATTTTAAGACAGGCATGATTAGTTTAAAGGTCTCCAAGGTAATTCTGATAGTCACTGGATATATGGATATATATAGTGTCACCACAACCAATAGCCCAGTGATTCTCAAAAAGGTGAAAATCCTTAGACGTTTTTATTTGCCATAGTAATTAGGAAGTACTATTGCAAGGGACACTGAGCATCCTGCAATGTGTAGGACAGCCCTGCCAACAATGAATTATCTCACTCAAAATGCCAATAATCCCGATTGAGAATAACACAGCAACTGGTATACTCTTGGTAATGACCTTTCCATAGGCGTTAGCATTTAGGTAGACAAAAGAAATGAGAAAAAACTGAAGAATCATCTGGTTCTGAGAATTTTATTCTCCTTCCTTTTGTTACTCTACCATGGGAAAAAAGAACTATCAACTTGGCTTAGATTTCAGGAAATAATTTCCTCTCCCTGTAACAATTGTTCAGGTCTCAAAATCTCATTAAACACAAAAAATATCAGAGGCAAAGGAAAAAAAAAAAGGATAAACAAAAGAGTTCCCACAGGAAACTGGCTCTTTACTTGCTGAAGAAACTCTTCAATCTCACCAAACTCATTTCTTCTACACACGACTTCAAATCCACCCCCAATCTGTGTCTCTGGTGAATTGCTACAAATGATGTGCCACCTTAGGAACTCTATTTTGCTCAATTGTAAAATGCCTTAGAGTGCCTCTGTCAACTTGCACAAATTCCTGCCAACATTCTAGAAGAATGAAAGGTGTTAGAGCCATTACTAAATCATACAGGTCCAATAGCAAGGAGTCTCCAATAAACACTTACAGACATGGGTGATCTGGACTGGAATCTGCAAGGCTGTCATGGGGCTTGGAGAGATGGCTGTACTGTCTTCCAAGCGGGCGACTCTGATCTGAACATGCTGTACACTGGAATTGGAATTACTGTTTGGAACTCCAGATCCTGATTTATTCTCCAAAAGCGTTGGGTTGTTTTTTTGATTCTCATGTAACTGTTTAAGACCTTTTATTAAGACTGAAGGGAGATGGGTAGACAAAAAGAACATTGATTCTCCGACAGACCACCATCTAAGCAGCAAGGGAGGTGGGGGTAAGGAGGGAAAGTATTTGGAATAAATAATTGTACACTGCATGTGAGAGCTCAGCAAAATAACAATAAAAATATTTTAAAGCTACAACCTGTCTGGAAATTTTTGGAAACATTATCCATCACAAGAAATTTAAAAAATTCCTAACATGTTATTCTTGCCACCTAAGATACATTAAAAAAATAGCCATTGTGAGGAACATGAAAATAAAACCTTCGCTATGTCCTAGGGCTTCAGGATAAAATTCTTACTATTTAGGAAGAATATTGTTAATGCAAAGTAGCTTATTTCCTTAAGCGAATAGTGTACTTCTCCTCCACACCACCAGTACTCAAGGACACCTGACTGTTTTAGTTTAACTCACAACTCCAGAGTAGCAGCTCATTTTTTCCAAACGACAGTAATATGCAACCACCTTGAATTCTTGTGCAGGGAAGTCAAATCCAGACTTGCCCCATTCCACTATTCATGATAAGCTATCAATACTCTCAGGTGATAACTGCAATCTGGGTGGGTTCCTGTCACATGAGTATGCATTCACTCTTCCGGTTTTAACGTTAGCTTTATAAATCTGTGACTATGTACTTAATTTTTAAAAACTCTTATTTTCATCAAGCCAAAGTTCTTCAGCATTTAATTTTCCGTGGGAAAAATGGAAGTTGGAGCGCCACGCTAAGGGGAATGCATTTGACTGCCCTAATTACATGGACCGTACAACGGAGTTTTGCACCTCGGTGTAAAGCAGGCTAGGCTCTATGCCTCACGGTTAAGCAAACCCAGCTTAAGATCTCTAGATTTATGTAATAAATGAATTATAGATTTATGGTCTTTATACTATAAAACCACCAAAGACAATCTCTAAATGACAAACCCAGTTAAAATACGTGAAATTATTCAGCACATAAAAGTTGATTTAAACCTAAGTTTTCAGAAATTCATTTTGGTACACGATATGTAAAATCGTTTTCTTCTTCAGTTGATATGAGAACAAGAATGTGTATAAACGTGTATATTTTTGTCTTAGGTGCTTTGACAATTACACATCACATCAACTCCTCAAGGGAAGAAAAGACAGTTACCCAAAGAAACAGAGGAGATATTTAAGTGAAGATCTACTAAGATTCGTATCTCTTTAGCTGAGGCAAAGAATTTCTGACCTCTAAGTTCTGAGGAGTAAGTATCTGGTAAGACAAGGGAAGGACTTAAGAAGCAAATAATACATTACCAGGGAATGAAACATCCTTATGATTTGCAATTTGCCTTTTGATGGTCCACCATTTACTTCGAAGCCATTGTGGTGAACGGACACTGCTCCATCCCTCCGCTAACAGATCCCAGTTGATGTCATTTTCATCAGCTACATCAAGCTCTGCTATCCTACAGGTTACAAAACAAACGTCTGTTAGAACCTGTTAATGGATTTCTCTGGAAGAACCCTCCTCTGACTACACATGATGGCACCGGCAATAAAGGGGACAGCAGCTTTGGTCACGGAAAAGCTACTGTTAATTGCATGGGAAAGAATTTCAAGGGTGCAGAACTGCTCCCAGAGCTGAGAGCTATGACTGAGCACTGGCAAAAGCCTTCTGTTAATGGTACAAGCAAGGGGCCAGACCGTAAACGGTCAGAAGCAGATGAAGCACTGTAAAGGCAAGGGAGTAGCTAAAGGTTAGAAGAGGGTAAGGACAGGGTTAGTTATATAGTGTTCTGCCATGTTTTAGAGTGTGTCATAGCAAGTTACTTCCTAGATCTGAGCTTCTCCATATCTGTAATAAAAATGTTGAGAAATGAGCTATTTGCAGATGACCGGTTGAAAGAAGTATATTAAAAACAAAACCCAAAATAAAATGCTAGAAAGACAGAATACTCCAGCAGCAACCAAAACAAAAACCATCAACATGATAGTACCACTCAATTTGGGGTATGAATGGTCTGTTTGTTTTCTAGCTTCAACTGTCATGACGATTTTGATTTTCAGGAGGGAGTAGCTTTTATTACTTCAGTGTCTCAAACATTTTCTTGTTGGTATTTTTGCCCACTTGAATCACTGAGTCTTAATGGTTATACCGACTACCTTAAAAAAAAAAAATGGAAGTGCGTGACTGGGGCCAGTGGGAAGGTGTGGGGTAACTGCAGACTGGGCCCCCTTCTTGGCAATCTTAGCACAGGAGCCCAAGATTGAAGGGCATGGAGACTGAAGAGCCCTCTTCCCCTGCACATGGAGCCCCTCTGCTAGCACTGAGGCACATTGGTGGGACAGTGGCAAGCTGCAGGGCCACTGTCTGTGCCGTACCTGTTCTGTGGACAGAGAGAGGACTTCAGTCTCCACGCCTTCAATCTGGTACTTTGCACGAGCACTAAATCCTCTAAAAAGGAACAAACACAAAACAAAAAAAAAAGAGCTCAATATGAAATGCATAGGATCTGAAAGATCCTCCATGGATCCTTTCTCTATGGAAAGGATGCTTTTCAGACATTAGGCATCTAGGGAAACCAAAAGAGGAAATACCAGTCAAGACAACTATAGCTATTAAGCAGCTTTTGTTATTAAAGGACTTACGACACAAACCTGAGGATGAGATTGATTTCATCTTCCTTGGTCCATTCAGTACCTCCACTCTGTTTCCAGTTCAGGTAGTTGAGCCATTTAGAACGACACTGCTTTTCTGAGCGGGTCCCGACTCGCTCTGCCACAGCTGCCCATGACACGCCCTGTGTCACTATGTCACCTGGCTCAGTGCTTGTCAATTCATGAACCACCTCTGCAAGTCTCTTCTCCTCTTCTTCCGTCCACTTCCCTGAAAGAAGGAAATCATCTAGACCACTACTGCTACCTTCTTCTCTTTTTTTTGCAAATCAGATACAGCCCTGTATTTCCAAGGACTGATGGAAGTACGCAGCAGCACCAAGTTATTTCTGAACGACCCTGAGGCGGGAATCTGCACGTATCTACTAAGACGGTTGCACCTGACTAGCCCAGTAAGGTTCTTGATACAAAAGAAAATATAGAATCCTACTAGAAAATACTGACTGACTCCTTATGGAAAGAAAAACTACGCAATACATACCTAGAAAAAATTATACGCTGTCAAGATGCACTAATCCTAAGTGGGAAGAGCTTCATGGAGGCGACATGGACACAGAAACTTACAATCACAATTTTTCCTTAGTCTTGCCTAAAATTCCCTGCTGTGCAGAAGTTGAGTAAGCTCAATAGAGATCCTTCATCAGAGGAATGAATGATGAGACAAGTGGAGTAACTCCTATGGGCTCCTACCCACTTAAGTAAAAATGGAAACTAGGTTTATACCATCTCCTTTCCCCACTATCCCAACTCTAAGATATTGTGATAAAACAGAAATCTGAGACTGGTATTCACACATGATTTTACTCCAGGTTTTCCTAAAGCCATAAACCAGTAATGACACCAAATGATCCTCTTGTTCTTTTCTTAAGGAACTTGAGCAGAAAAACATTTTTTTTTACTCCTTCTACTTCTGTTTCCATTTTGTTACTAGTAGCTAAAAATGTCTAGAAAATTTCAAGAGTTGTGTGCTTGCATCAGGGACTCATTCATTCAACAAATATTTATTGAACTTCTATTATGTTCTAGGCACAGTTCTGGATACCATATATTCAAGACAAAGTCCTGCTCTTCTACTTTAGCATGGCAACAAAAGGGGTTCTGTACTCACAGTGCCTTACATGAAACTCTGGGGTCAAATCCTAAATCTAGAGCTCCTATTCCTGCTTCATTCATTAAGCTGTCATTAACCACAGAATGACAGAGTTGGTGGGATTTATGTTCTCAATGTCTTGTGGGTCACAGGGCTGGTGGAATGAATGGTTAAGCAGGAAATATTCCTGATTCCACTTTGGCGGGGTAGGGAGGTGAAAAAAGAAAATATATAACCTGGAAGCTTAACTTGAGAACTATTTTTCTTATTGAAAGACTGAGCACAGATTGTGGCTCCTTCAGAGAATTTTAGGGCTAAAAGGGAACTATGCGATCATAGTTCCCTTCTCATATATGAGAGTTACAGATCACCTCTTCTAACTCTTCATTTTAGAGGAGACTGAGGCTCAGAAAAGTTATCTGAGAGCTAGTGCCGAAGCCTCAATACTGTTGTTGGTCACAAAGGGTAGGTTTAACAGTATCATCAGTGCATTTGTATACATTAAGAGTTAAATAGGCATGTGTGGTCTGTACTAGAGACTGAAACACTAACGACAAGTCTTTTCTATGGAAAAATATACTTACTTGTTTGAAATAAGCAAAACAGAGCCACAGCACTGAAAGATAACTTTTTAAGTTTTTTATAAACATGAGTGGATAAGCTGTTGTTAACAGAAGCTCAACAGTTAGATGGGCTTAAATTAAAACTACTTCCTGTACATAAACCTAGTAACAACTTTCCCAACTGGAGCAGTTTTGAATGGCTACAAAATGGAAACATGCTATACCTAAAACCTCGGAAACTGAGGACATGTGTCCCTGTGAACAATGTCACCTCGCACAAAAGCAGAAAAATGAAGGATTACTCGGGCCTACAAAGCGTGAAGAAAATAAAATGTGAACTCAAGTGAATGACAAATTTCTTTCCAGAAGAGAAGAGAAAGCAGTATGTGACAGGGCGGGAAGCTCCGATGGAGACAAGAGCAGCCCATCGGCAGCGCTCACAGTACCTGTGTTGCAAGTATCCTTCATCAGTCGGCACCGATCTTTGACGGAAGACGCGCTTCTTCCTAGCGCCGCCCCTATTGTTGCCCAGTCATTGCCATGCTTTATCCGGAGCCTAAAACAAGAGTCTGCCAATCAGCATTGGGTTCAACTGTTTTCTCCCTTTTAATTTCATCATTTATTCTTCATTCTTCTTCTTCCCATTTGACTGGTTTGGAAGTTGTGGGCAGCAATACTTTGAGAGCCAAAGTTTGAAAGTGTGGCCTTTTTTTGGGGTCCACAGTTGTCTGTGGGTGAAAAAAAAACAGGCAGCAATTGCCTTTTTCCTGGGTCAGAGAAGAAATAAGTAACTTGGATATGTGTTCAAAAAAGACCAAATTTCCCCTCAGGTTACTGACACAATCTCCCAGGCAATCCCCAGATTGTTCCCTTTTCAGTACTCCTAACGAGCTCTTCTCAGACATCTGAAAAAGTTTCCCAAGCTGCTACCATCATAAAGAGGATCAACCCTCAATTTTTTCCACGATCCATACAATCCATTAACCCATACTTTATGGCCCTACTCAACAAAGAAAATTATTTTTCCTGTGAAATAGCCTTCATAAAGTAGAGTTCGCCCAGACATTAAGTGAAACATTTGCTAAGTCACCATTCTAAACTAAGCATGTAGCACAACCCTGGTTTTGATCCTGGTATTAAGTTCCTGGTATTTAGTATTTAGTCTTCAGGCCACCAAGAATGGCCATCTAATCTCTTCTGTAACCCTTATTAGTGGTCTGAGGACACATTTCATTCAGCAACTCACTATAGGAGAAGATGAAATTTATGGGCATGGCTACTCTGTGCATGTATGGATCTGAAAAGTTCTTCTTATGGTCAATCATGCTTAATAGCAGGATTAAATTACACCAGTCTACTAAAAATCTCTAGACATTTTCACAGTAAAAGTTTAAAAAACAAAGGTATTAAAAAAGTTAAAACCCAACTATCAGAATTCAGGAAAAGAAAAAAAATTTTAAACTTACTCCTTGAGCTTTTCAATTTCTTCAGGTGTATATCTAGAAATTTAAAGAAATTTTTAAAAAGATCAATTAAAACAAAGAATGCTAAAAAACCTTAATAAAAATCAGAATTTCACTTAGGGAGCCAAATGTTAAGTCACTTAGCATACTGATAATATTTTTAAAAGTAACCAATTTCAAAGTAAATTACTAAAAATTAAAACTAATTCTTCTATCTTCTTTTTTGTAAGAAAAAAATACTTTTAGCTATAATAAAAGTGAGCAATGTACATCTTTCTCTAGGAAAATTCAACATTTAAAACATATTTGCTCCTATTCTGCTTTAAGTCTTCCATTATTTCAAAACTGGTTTCAGGCCCTCTAACACAGCTATGCATGACATTGTAAACCAGAGCCAAAATGCAAATCTATGGTAAATTCTCACAAGGCACCAAAAAATTTAAAAAACTTCTCTTCATTTCCCCTACCCATGCACGGATATCTGCCATACTCTTGCTCCAATGTAAAGGCTCATTTTCTTTAGATGGCAAATACTCAATACAGCCAATGCAATGTTCTTTTTTAAAGCAGTATCTAATAAGCCATAGTATAACTACCTAAAATTCCCAAAGAGAAATTAAAAATATGTCAGTAACACCAAAAGAATCATTGCATTGAAAAAAAAATGATGCCTTCCCATAAATGTTACCTATAACAGAAATCCAGGCATTGTATTCAGAAATTTAGTTATTTATTTTCCACTCTGGTTTTATATATATATATAAAGTCACTAACCTAGGAAATGCTATACTATTAAAAAAAAAAAAAAAAAGGAACAACGTTACCAATGAATTTAGAGGTTTTTTTTCAACTTCCTAAATCTTTAACCACTATATTTTTATTATGTTACTTTATTACAAAGCAGACTTTGATGAAGACAGCTAAGTCTAAAATCTGACATATATAAGGTGATTGAGATTCTAATTTCTAAGAAGCCTTATTATAATGAGATTTCCGTATTTACAACATGGACCTGGAGAAAAAAAATATTAACACAGCAAACAGTAATTCATAGCTGTCTCCAATTAAAATTCTGATAACTATATTTAAAAAATGATAGCTCTTTAAATATTTCCCCTAATTACATGAAAACATGCAGCATTACAAGTTTTCATACTTTCCCACATGGTTTCTGTCATCATACATGCGAAGCACTCTTCTATAAACTGCAAACAAAGGCCGGTTCAGACCCCATGCTATAGTCCTGTAGAAATCTTTTCTTTCGTCTTTTGACATCTCAAAGATGATTTCTGTAGCATCTTTTATTCCGCGTGCCTAAATGGGTTACATTTCTTTGATTTAGGGATTTCTGATAAAATGCATATGGATATACTATGCTTTTTAAAAGTTGTTTTTTTATGTGCAGGATCATCAATGGCATTTAGAGAAATAGTAAGTCAAATATAAACTTTAAAATGTTTGAAGAGATAATAAAGTGATACTTAAATGCTCCAAAAATAAACTATTAAATGCAATAAAGTCAAGTTGTGTCAACCCCTTTTAAAATTATAAAAAATTAGTATCTAAAGAAAGTAGAAGAAAATTGTAAGAACAAAATGAATGGAACCAGGAATCAAATAACAAACTACAAGCAATGCTAAAAAATGGTTCTTTGAAAAGACTCATCAAGACTAATAAAATATGAAAAGATAAACTATGGCAAAACTAAAAGACAAAACAATACTGGAAATGAAAAAATGGGGCCTAAGTAGAGATGCTACAAAGATTAGAGAGTTGAACATTATGAAAATTCTATGGCAATAAATTTGAAAACTTAAATAAAATGAATAAACTCCTAGAAAAAGTCAACTTACCAAAAGAGACTCAGGAAGAGATAGAAAATCTAATAAGCACAGACCACCAAGAAAATTTAATCAGTTATTAATAATTTTTCACAATGGAAATATCAGGCCCACATGACTTTACAGGTAAATCCTACCAAACAATCAAGAGAAACATAATTCTGATTTTAAACTATTCTAGGGTACAGAAAAACAGGGGGGACACTTCCTCATTCATTTTATGAGGCTAGCATAACCTCAGTAGCAAAACCACACAAGGATAGTTTCAGAAAAGAATTTTCAGGCAAGCTCCTTCTGTAACACAGATCCCCTAGTCCCTAAAATATTGAGCACCAGCAATGTGTAAGAAGGTCAGTAATCAACACAGAAGGTGAGCTTACTCCAGGAATTTTGTGTTAACTAAAAAAAAAAATTGTTATTATTACAGCATTAAAGATTAAATTTATGGAAAAAATGTAAATAGCTATAGATATGGAAAGAACATTCATAACATAGAACATTCATATGTGATTATATTCCTATTGAGTTTGGATTTGCTGATAACCTAATAAAAGAAAATATATAAAAAGTATAGATTGAAAAAGAAAAAATCATTCACAGGTATTATATATGTAGAAACTTAAGAGTAGCAAATACTGGTTACAAAATCAATATATAAAGTCATTTTCATTTCTATACAAAGATCAAAAAAAGTTTAAAAGTTCTCATTTACAGTGACATCATAATTAAAAGCAACAGGACTAAATCTTAGGCAAGTGATGCAAGTCCTTTGTGGAGGAAAACAAAGTACCAAAAGGTATTAAACAGGAAGCCACTACAATGGAGGGTATACAATGTTCTCTATAGGAAGATGGAATACTGTAAAGATGTTAATTACCCTCAAATTGATGCACAGATTCAGTGCAGTCCCAATAAAAATTCCAACGGTCTTCCATTCTCTGCAACTTGGTTCTAAATTTATAATGGAAGAGCAAAGGGCCCAAAAGGGCCAAGACATTCATAAAGAGACTTGCCCCATCAGATGCTTTGATTTCTCTAGACAGTGCTGTCTATACTAGTGCAAATATCAACAAACAGAACCTAGGAACACGTCAGAAAACAGGAACAAATCTGGGGAAGCTCGACTTGGGACAAAATGGACATTGCAGATTGGGAGAAGACCAACATTCCATAGCGATGCTGGGACAACGATCTTCCATATGAAACCAAAAAAACCCCAATAGTGAAACCCCATCTCAGAGCTATAGGAAAAAAAAAATCAACAAGAAAGGCAAAACTATAGAACTTTTATGTGACAATATCTAGGGCAGTATCTTTATGCCCTTGAAGCAGAGGAGAATTTCTTAAATAACCATGCAAAATATGAAAGAATAAGGATTTTGATATTGAAATTAAGAATCTTTTTTCATCAAATGACCCCCAGGAAGAAGGAAAAGATAGGCCACTGAATTGAGACAAGATATCTGTCATACAAATAAACAAAATGCCGTTAACATTAAGAATGTCTAGAAAATGAAAAAGATAACCCCATAAAAAACTGATGAAAAACGCAAACAGGAATTTCCAAGAGGAAACATAAAAAGTGGCCAGTAAGCATATAAAAGTATGTAATCAGAGGAATACAAATTAAATCCATAATAAAATACCATTCACACCCATCAAATTTGTATAAATAAATAGCAAAAAAACTAAAAAGACCCAAAACAACCATTAACTATGCATGGGTAACTTACAGTATATGCATTGGCATAGTGAAATACAGCTAAAAAAAAAAAAATCAACAGGGTAGGGATCACAAAATCACAGTAATAAACAACAGAAGCCAGTTACAGAACACCCAAAGAATCAATCTATTTACATAAATTTCAAAAAGAGGTAAAACTACACTGATATGCATTATATACATTCTCTTGAATATACAAAACTTCACAGTAAAAAGTTTCTATGTTTTATTTATTAAAAATTTTTTTTTTTTTAGTAATCTCTACACCCAACATGGGGTCCGAACTCATGACCCCAAGATGAAGAGTCACAGTCTACTGACTGAACCAGCTAGGTGCCCCAAAGTTTCTAAATTTTAGAATCTAAAATTCTCTTATGCCAGTTCTGCAAATAATTAAACCTAACATTTACAAGTCTAAACATCTGAAAGGCACTGTGTTGCAGGATGACCATATAGTGAGATGAAAAGATCCTTTTGCGCTCTTTTTTCCACTTGTAGCAGTTACTTTCACTTCTCTGACGTCTAATTAATTGGTTTACAAATGGCTCCACAATGTTCTTAAATAGCAGCACATAATAAAATCCATGGTCAACTATCAAACAAAATACCTTTTCCCACGATCAGTACATCTTTTTGGACATTTCCTATCTCTGCCAATCCATTAATCATTCTCCCAGTCATCCGAAATAAAACACTCTGAAGTTATTCCAAATCCTCCTTTTCCCTCCTCCCCGACATCCAGTCACCAGGCGTCCTTAGAGACTACCTGCTCATCTGCCCTTTCCCTGCCAATTCTGCCATCACTGTAGTTTATAGAGTCCTTAATTGCTCTCATCTGGTCAAGTGAAATGGTCCTCTAAAAGGTCTCCAATATCTGTCGCATTCCCGCCCTTTATTCATAGAGTTGAAGGGGTTCTTGGAAACCATCTACTCCAATCCCCTAGACAAGAAACCAGCTTCTTAATTCCCAAAGTTCAGTGTTCTTACCATTCATTACTGTCTTAATCTAAACCTGCAGCATTTTCCAAGTTTTAATTAACTAAAGTGTATGTGACCAGCGGACATACGTTTTCAATGGTCACTGTATTTGTGTTTCTCTTAAAAAAATTAGTTTGGTGGGAAGGATCTTTATTCATTAACAAAGAACTGAAGTTTTTTATTTACTCTTTATAGTTTACAGAGCTTAGCTTGGGAACAGTGCAGATTAAAATTAGGTTTAAGAATGTGGACATTATAAACAACTATTTAAGGGGGGAAAAAAAAGAATGTGGACATTCTAGGCAGCAATGTATTTATAATAGTGAAAAATTATATAAACCACCTAAGTATCAAACAATAGGAGAATGGTTAAATAAATACTGTACACCTCCCATTCCCAAACAATGCTGATGGTATGTAGTTCAAACATGCACTAACTCCTTTAAGGGAATGGTCAGCAAATAACTGGAAAAATTTCCTTGAGAAGAGCACAGACCACTCCACCAATCTCTCACTCAACTAAGTTACCAGTTTTTCTCATTTCCTATGGGACAGAGTTCTAGTTCTTTGGACTGGACTTCAAAGCCAAGTTTCCAGAGGCTAATGACTCAGTACAAGTTAAAGGGCTAATTTATTGTGCTCTGGGTTTCGTTTCTGACTCCCTGGTGCTCAGCATTTGCTCATGCTCCCTCCAGCCCCATTCTAGCCCAAGTTCTGTTCCTTTAAGACTCCACTCAAATCCTTGCTCTTCCAAATATTCTCCGTAACTGTCCTAACCCTAAGAATATACTCTTCCTTCTCCGATCTCATGCAGAATTCACAACATGTATCACTCACATGGTACAAAGCCTTATATTGCTCTTCATCTGCTTTCAATATTCCCAAATGAACTGCTGGCTTTTAAAAAGCCAATACCATGTGTTATGGCAATCCATATCTCCAGTACCTCAGAAACACTATGTTCCAGAGACATTTAATGAAAAGGATGACTTAGTTAACAGCAGATAAGCCTCAACAGGGAAATGAACTAAATTATTCATTTTTTTTTAAAGGCGGAAGTCTCATGTCATAAATTCAAAGAAGAAGACCTATATCTTAGGCTGTAGACAATACAAGCTTAAACTACAGGCTGCTTGAAAAGACAGGGCTTTAAGATTCTGAGAAGCTATTAGGATTTTGTCTAAACTTCAGGTGTTAACTAACGCATTACAGCTATTTTAAACTAAGAATTCAAAATTTGTTGGGGCGCCTGGGTGGCTCAGTCGTTAAGCGTCTGCCTTCAGCTCAGGTCATGATCCCAGCGTCCTGGGATCGAGCCCCACACCGGGCTCCCTGCTCAGCGGGAAGCCTGCTTCTCCCTCTCCCACTCCCCCTGCTGTGTTCCCTCTCTCACTGTCTCTCTCTGTCAAATAAATAAAATCTTAAAAAAAAAAAAAAAAAAGAATTCAAAATTTGTTTAAAAATATACTGTAATCATATACCTTAGAATTATGAAGCTATGACATATTAACCAATCAACCATTACAAAAATTACTGGAAAGCTCCTTGTAAAGTACATACAATGATGCTTTGATAATTTTTGCAATTGGCAATGAAAAAATTTGTGAAACAAAAAATTATGCCATAAAATACCTTTAGATAGCGTTCAATATTGTTCATCAAAATATCAATTTCTTCCTTAGACCACATCCCCTGTTTCCATTTATGTCCTTTAAAGGAAAAGAAATAATGTTATAGAAAATGTTATCCCTCAAGAGGAATAAAATACTTCAGATATGCTTTGTGATTAAATAAATTATCTGTGGGAATAAAATGTAGCTAAATTCCAAGGTAAACATAATATGTTGGATACCAAGTGAATAATATATTCATAATGAGTATTTACTATGCAGTGGTTGAAAACAATTCCTTTTCTTAACTTCAGAGTGCTGTACGCACACCCCCGACTTTCTTGTAGCAGCTCCCTACCAATCCTGATGAACTCCGTAGCACTATAAACACTTTAAACCTCTAAGCCGCTTATCAGACCAAAGTTAGAGCTCTGAAAAGACTTGACTTCCCACTCCCACGTGCAGTAACTGTACTTTCTTTTAAATGCCACCACTGTGCATCTGTTTATAAATTACTGCATCTCAGAGAAATTATGATTAATTATTAAAAAACAAACGCTGGTTTCATGGTCTCATTCAGAGCCAAAGTTAATCAATTACAAAAACTCAAATATTGTTAACTCACTCAATCACAATTATGAAGTCCTCAAAATCCTGATGACTACAAGTTCTTCTTACCTCCCACTTTTTTTTTCCCCCCAATGGACACTAAAATTCACATTTTATCTTACCTTTGTTGGTCAGAGAATCCTTATCTTCTTTAGTTGTAAACCATGCTTGGCTAACTGCTGAAACTTCCTCATTACCCAAGGAAGATATTTCATCTAGTTGCTCATTCTGTAGAATCTTGAAGAGGTAAAGGTAAAAAAAAAAAAAAAAAAGAAAAAAACAAACAAGTACAGCTTGATTTAATACAACCTGATTCATCTTTGTCTGCAACACTAATGTAATCTATGGAATTCATTTGCTTTAGATATAGTAAAAATACATTCAGTTTATAGAAAAACAAGTACTTTTTTGCTGTTTTTATTATGACAGTATGAAAACAAAACTGCCTGCATTAACAAAATATGACTTTCATTTAAGCAAGTTAACTCTGCACTAGTGGCCTGAATTTTACAGAATAATAGCTAAGGTTCCATTAAGTACTTAAATCAATATAGGGTATCTAAAGCTATCTGTTTATTTACATATGTAAAATGAGCTCATACATATAATAAAATGGAAATGCTTCGTTTGACTGTCATGATCGTTCAGGTCCTTATAGGTAGTTTGCTGCAAAAATATACAGTCATCTGTAATGTAATCTCTTGCTAAATTTAAAGGATTAATAGACCAAATCAAAAGACACAGCAAAATCACGGTCTCCTTATTGTTTATTGGCAAGTTTGTTTTAGCCAACCTCTAGAACTAATTCCTAACCTCATCAATGTACCTTCTTCTCAAAGAACTATGTTACCACTTTTTAGTATTATTGCAGCTAAAGTAGTCTTTACTGAGAAATGTGCAGTTAAAAACCAACAGCTTTACTGAGATATAATTAACACACCATAAAGCTCACCCTTTAAAGTACACAATTCAGTGGCTTTTAGTATATCTATGCAATGATCACACCAGGTACATTTTCAATTACAGATATACCTGATCTAGCAAATTCTGCAGGAACAAAACCGCTTAAGAGAGCTGGCCTTGGGCTAAAGACAGCTATAGTGTCAGTAAGGAAGATGTGGCAACAGGGCTACCATTTCAGGGACAAACCCATCTATCATAGGCAGACCAGGAGGACAGTCACATGCCTAGTGACCACTCAACTCAGTTCAATCTCCGGACTGGATCAACTAAGCTATGTCACTGGCTGGAGGTTAAGTCCTAACAGACACTGGACTATTCCTTGAATAGGCAGAAACTGAATTTCTAATTTCAAGAAGAACTGAAATCATCATGCTTGGGAAGAGAGAAGCTGTCAGTGAACAACCCAAGCACAATGAGGAGGAAAGCCACGTTTCTACTGTTACCTATGTTATTTTTTTATCTGGGAGTAATGAGTATGTTGTATTTAAGAAAGCACTTTTCTTAAATCCACGGACAAAAAGCTAGAGTCACTGGAATAAGTATGAAAAGTTTTGTCACCCTATGTTTATGTATCATACATTTTAGATTTTTTTGTTTTAAAGATCAAGAAGCTACCTTTATAAAGGTGAGAACGGAGATAGCAGGACAATGTCTAAGGCCTCTTGTATTCTGAACAACCCAACTAAGATTTGACACTGAGGTTATTCATTAAGGGTGATAGATTGCTGTGAAAAGACCCTGATACAAACAATACCCATTGTTAAGAAATGTAATGTAGAAAATACTTTCCTGAGGTGACCTTCTCTTACGTATTAATCAGCTGGTTAAAAGAATAAAATCACCATTTCCCAAAGTGAGTCTAAATATACAGCCCACTCTGTGAACCTTAGGAATACACTTGTCATGCTGATTAACTGCTATTTTTGGGCAAACACCTAATGCCTTCTCTTTCAAATTACCCTGATGAAGAAATACAATTATTACTTATAAAGAGTAAACATGTAAATGGTAAACATGTAAATAGCCATCAAATGAAGCCAACAATTATTAAATTTTAGCAGTAAAACTTAAAACCTTCCATAGCAAATGAATTGAGTATAGCAGAAGACTTAGGTACCTCAAAGGATGTCTAATTATACTTAGTATATAGATATTATGAAGTTTTACAGTATTTTACCCCCATTTTTCACTACTTTATATATACATTTTTTAAAATTACTCAGATATATTTAGTATGCTGCTGTTTTTGAACTGCAGCCTTTCTGAGTTGGTTTGGTTGTGCAGGGTTTTATGTCTGTAACATACACAGACTTGGAAATCTACATATTTCACCCACTAAATACCTCTTGCAACCACAAAGCACTATAAATATTGGCAAATTTTTTGGTTTCTAATTATTTTCCAGCTAGTTCCAATGCTGAAATGGGATGGTACATTAACTACAGCAATACGTGAAATAGTTACACCGGCTTTGACACAGGACATGGCAAAAAACAGGCTAGTTCTGAACTTTGAACTATGCTTTCACTCACAACCTAATGGTATTTTTATGAAACAAATATTAGAAATTATTAAACGTTTTTCATTCACTAAAATGGCAATTACAAACCAAGAGGCTAATATCAAATTATAACTCATTAACTCTTAAGAAATAACCCAAACAAAACAACCCTATAATCTGTCTAACTCACACTGCCATTGCCCAGTCTTTTAACAAGTAGGTTGTAAACCAAATCACACACACATATATATACACAGCTATTTTTACTGTGCTGAAAACGAAATTGAAGTGAGACTATACAGTCTTTGAATTGGAAATGACTTTGACAAGCCCCGTTTTGAAGAATGTGCTCTATGGCTTCAGAGGACTTGGAAGAAATTCCTGTCCAGATCACTCTCTGAAATCCAAGAGTAGATGATAAGGATCTCTAGGCAGACTCAAAACTGTTTGAAGTTTGACTTCATGAAAGACTCACTCCTCTAGAAATCCTGTCATTCTGGAACCACTGTAAAGCTCCCTGTTGAAAAACGTTCACAGTGCACCCACCTGAGATTTCCTTAGTCCTTGATGTTATACATCAACTCGTAACTCTTACACTTAACTGAAGGGTCATTGGAAAAATAATGACATAATGTCTTTATTATCTACTTCAAAAATATGCTATTAAATAAAGAAATGAAGCAAAAGGACAAGATACTAAAAAGAAAGGCACAATCAGCCAGACAAAAACTTAAAAGTAAAATTTAAGCTCCAGGCTATCTAAAAGAGCAAAGAATTCTGATTACATTTGGCAGAAATAACTCGTACGAGACAAAGAAGTTCACATGGAAGGAAAGCAGTAAGCCCTGCTTGTTACCCAATCACTTAACCCAGGGTAAAAGGTATCTTAGTCCTAGAGGCACCAAAAGGGACTACAACTGTTATAATTAATATCTATGTGAAACGAATAGCTTCCATTCATATTAGAACAGAGCACATATGTAGCCCTTCTAAATCAGTCATTAGAGATACTGCTGGGTAACACTTCAAAAGCCTTAGATCAATATCTTATATAACTGGTAAGATAAATTTAAAGTTATTTAATAGCTCAGGTGAGATCATTCCACGCAGCTAAAGAATGCACGTGCACCATCTGTTTCAACAGATGTGAACCACTCTACAGGGAATGAATTTTCAAACTCTATCTTTGCCTACTATTCTGAGATTCATATAAGTGGGGACTGGAAACCTGAATGAAAATAATAAATCTTACCTCAATTCTGTCCTTTGTCAGACAAATTATGTTCTCATCATTTTATCACCTAAGGTATGTGTTAAGGATAATCCTCTTGCGGTCAGTAAAAAGACTCACTATACCTGGATCTGTGTCACAGTTCCCTCAGTAATCTCATCATCTGCCACTTCTGTGGTTGCAGTCATGGTCACCTCAAAGCTCTGATCATTTTCTGAAACTTCAAGAAAAAAGAACAATTCAACTGCAGAATAAATGCAAGTTCTAATTATAAAAAAAAAAAAAATCCTTGGAAAAAAATACGTGACCATCTAATTTCCTAACACATTCCTTGCCATATATGCTTAACAAAAATTGTGTACCTAATACATACTAGGTATTGCGTTGGGTGATGGGAAGACAGCAGTAAGCAAATGAAACAAAGTCCTGCCTTCATGGTGCTTATATTCTAGTGAGGAAGACACAAAATGGACATAGTATGTTGGATGTTGATAAACAGTGAGAAAAAATAAAGCAGAAAAGGGAACGTATTGGGGGAGGGGAGGACCAGGAAAAGTAACCAAGATTTGGACCCAAGTGACAAAGGGAGCTAGTCACACAGGCATCCTGAGGAAGAACACTTCATGCAGAAGCCAAGGGCAGAGACTCTGAGACAGGGGCACACATGGACTGTCCAAAGGAATGCCAAGGAGGGCAGAGTGACCAGAGAAGACTGAACAAGAACATTAAGATACTGTGTGGGGACTTGAAGGCCAATGTAAAGACTTTGGCTTTAATGCTCACATAGGAAACCATTGGAAGACTCAGAGTGACATAATCTGACTTTTTTTTTATTTTAATGGGATCACTGGCTCCTAAGGAGACAACAGTCTGAAGGGCAGGAAGGGCTGTAGTGAAACCGGTTAAGAAGCTCATTCAATAATCCAGGTAAGAGAAGTCAGTGACTTGGACCAGGGCCAAAGGCAAGTGGAGGTGACGAGTAGTTCAAATTGTGGATATACCTTGACTTGGGAACCAACAGGATTTGTGGATAAACCAAATATGAAAGAAACTGAAAAGTCCAGGATGTTACTGAAGTTTTAAAAATCTGCACTACTGGAAGAATGTACCTGCCATTAATGAAATGAGGAAGACTGCAGAAGAAGCAAATGTTAGAATTTAAGAAATTTCAGGAGCTTGGTTTTAACACACTCGTTTGAGGTTAAACATCTAGAATTAAGAGCAAGTCTGGACTGGAATAAATCTGGGCATCATCACCTGAGATAGGATTTAAAACAATGAATTCTAGGGAGTGAGAGAAAACGAAACAGAAGCAGCCTAAGAACTGAGTCCTGGACTACTCCAATTAAGAGCCCGGGGAGATGTGAACAGGTTAGCATAAGAGACTCCGAAGGCGCAGACAGTAAGGTAGAAAAAAAAAAAATTAGAGGAATGTGTTCCCTGGAGACCAAATGACAAAATGTTCTAGAGAAGACAGAGTGATAAATATTGTCAGAAATTGTGACTAGATTAAGTAAAGAAAAAGAATGAAACAAACAAACAAAAATCACTACTAGACTTAGCAACAAGATAGTCTCTGGAGATCTGGGAAGAACAGTTTTGGTGAAGTGGTAAGAGATGAAACCCTGACTGGAGTGGGTTTAGGAAGAATGGAGGAAGAAATAGAGGTAGGCCTATCAGGCCTATCAGTTCTTTTTTTTTTTTTTTTTGAAGTATTCTGCTCTAAAGGAAAGAAGTTAGATGGGAGCCCAAAGGGGGCTAATGGGACTTTTTATTTTATTTTATTTAAAGATTTTATTTATTTGTGACCGAGAAAGAGAGAGAGAGCGCACAAGCAGGGGGAGCAGGAGGCTCCCCGCTGAGCAGGGAGGCGAACCTGGGACTTGATCCCAGGACCCCGGGATCATGACCTGAGCTGAAGGCAGACGCATAACCGACTGAGCCACCCAGGCATCCCAGGGACATTTTATTTTAAAGAAGACATTATAGTATGTTTGCAATGCTGATGGGAATGATCCAGTAGAGAACAAAAAACTGATGATTCAGCAGAAGAAGGGAAAGAAATGCTGCGACAGTGTCCCTGGGTAGGTAGTAAAGCGAAGGGCTGGCCATAGCTAGAAGAAAAGACAGAATGTATGGACATGGCTACACGTGGGTGTGTATTTGTAGTAGTGGAAACTTGCAGAAACTTGTTCGGACTACCTTAGTTTTCTCAGTAAGTAGAAGCAAGGTTATCCGCCAAGAGTAACAAAGGTGGAGAAAATACTAGAGGTTTCAGGCATGTTTGAAACAGTCATCTCTGAGCGGGAGAAAAAAACATCCATTTGGTAGGTGTGGCGTGACTGGCAGGCAACAGTATGAGCCCACTTCAAGCTACTCATCATGAATTTAAAGTAAGATCACTTAGCTTGCTTGTGCTGTTTTGCAATTAGCTGTGCCAGTACAGACATAAACAGCCAGACAGATTTAACCACTGTTAGGTGGTTGTGGTTTCACTGAAGGACAATGAAGTGAAAGAAGGAAAAAAGGATGTGAGGGTAAATGCAAGAGGGATTATAATGATTAACCACAAAACAAAGTGGGTAGGGAGGAAACAAAAGATACAAGTGGAAAAGAATAATGCAAAAGTGGTAAGATCAGTGGGTCCTAGTGGGCAAAGGACTGCAAACATTCAAGAGTATTAGAGAAAGTAACCTGGAAACATAGGATGTAGTGCTGGAAGTAGATCACAAACGGACTCCAGTTAATAGGTGACAGCAAAGGAGGCAGTGGGAGTAATAAACAAGGTAGTATGGAGAACAAAAGGTAGAAGAGGCTAAGATATTCCAACAGTCATCTAAATGAATAATCACCAAGAGTTCTGTGAATAGGAAATGGAGTAAATGTGGTGGTAGGTAATCGCAGTAAGAAGTGGTAAGTGATCTAGAATGATTAACATGAGACTTAAGAGGATTTTTAAGGATCAGATAGATAAATTTTTATCAGTTTTATAAAGCATGTAATGAAAACTTGAATATTAAAATTAAATTTGAAGTTAAATCTTTAAGAGCTAATAATATTTACTTCCCTGAAGTCCAACAAATAATGACCTGCCCATTCAGTCAGTCCCCGATGATGGTGACGGACACAGGACTTCATGTTTTTATGTGACTTTTTTTTAATGGAGAAGTTTTCCTAAGTTGATTTTATCAACATACTTTTTTTTTTTTTTTTTTTACCAATTTAGAGAACCATACTTTAAGCCCATGTTTCATAAATTTAGTCTTACTGTAAATGTTAGGCTCCAGAATGTCCTCCAAATGTGATGATGCTATGACCCCACATCAAGCAGCTCAGGTGCTTTTAGGTCAGCACATCCAAATTATCCTACCCAGTTAAGTGAGTGAGTGTGTTAAGGATTCAGTCTAACACCATAAAATAGAACAAAATATCAAGTATAGTTTGAACCTGTGATTGTGACCAATGTAGTCAACTTTAACCAAATGAATTAACCAGTCATAATTTATGTGAAAATAATCCCTTACTAATCCCTGGCTTAGTAAAATAAATATTTTTGTTTCATTTTATGTCCTGGGGATGTGGTAACTATAGATAATAATACTCTATGGTATATTTGGAAATTGTTAATAGAGTAGATCTTGGAAGTTCTCATCACAAGAGAAAAAGCTGTAACCATGTGTGGTGACTAGATATTAACTAGAATTGTTATGTTCATTTCACAACATATACGTATACCAAATTATTATGTTGTGCACCTGAGACTAATATAATGTTACAGGTTAATTATATATGAGTTTTAAAAAATTCTAGCTTAGTAAATGCCCATATAGGATTGTATCTGTACAGACAGGTGAATCGAGTTTTAAGAGTGGATCACAGCTATGATGGTCAAATTAGGAGTTTAAAAATCATATGAACCACCACTAGAAGGAAAAGCTCATTTAACCAGAAATAGGATATGTTTATATATGCCACTGGAAGCAATATTAGTAATATTAACGTTAACAATGTCTTTGAATAAAGTCTCACAGTAAACGGATATTTTATGGTTTCTTTTCTATTCAATTGAATAAGCAATATACTCTACACAAAATGTGCATGTCTACTTGTGAAGACAAGGTTTGCCATGATGAAAACCTAATCTTCATTTTTTCCAACTGGATGAAGATGTGATTTTGCTCAATGCTGAGAGCAAAATTAAAGTTCTCAAGAACCAGAACGCCTGGGTATGACGTTAGACACGTTCTCGTACCTCTCTGTGCCTTAGTTTCCTCATTATAAAACAGGGATCATAATACCTACTCTACAGCATGCCTTCTCAATGAGGGTACACATGCTTCTGGATGAGGTGTAGGTGAAAGAAAGCATTCTCATTAATAAAACAATACACATATACAGTACGTTAAAAAAAAAAACAGTGTGTCTGTGGTATTACCATTTCATGGGGGAGCGCACGATCAGGAGAAAACATCTAAAAAAGTTTGGGGCAGGGAGGACGACAACAATTAAAAAGAAAAAAAGGCTGAGAAGATCAAAACAGGCAATATATGTAGAAGCATTCAGAGCCACGCCCACTCATTAAGTATTAGTTGAGAGTTCTTTTGACTCAAAGAAGAGAAAAATAATGGGTCTAAGTCAACCTTGGAATGCCAATTCCATGTCTCCCAAGCTACACTGTGATTTCAGAAGGGACCTCTGTTCTGAACACATAATGACTTACGTGGCAGTGCAACAACTGATATGCAAGGAGTAGAACCATCGATACTCTGATCATCCTCAGAAGACAGACAAAGCCTTTTATGTGGAGGTTCAGTACTATCTTCTGAGTCTATTTCATCAGCTTCTAATGAAACAAAATAGAACAAAAATCTCAAAATCTTCAAACCAATGAGGAAAACCCACAATCTTCCAACAAGTAACTGTAAGACAATCTTCTTATCAATTTGCTTAGTTAACCCAATTGTGCAAGGAGGACCCCAAACGGCATCGCCTTCTCTGTCCCCCGTGCAGAACCTCAGCTCCTCTGCTTCTGACAACAACTATGAGAAGAGAGGCGCCACTTTTTAAACATCACACTTCTGTGCTACTAATTACCTGTCTTTCCAAATATTTCACATATTAAGACAAGGGCTGGTTATTTAAATCACTCACAAATATTTACTGAATGCCCACTATGTTCTGAGTGCTGGGAACAGAACAATGACAGATACTCTTCTCTGTCCAGGAACTCACAGGGTAGTGGAGATGACTAAAGCACCCATTTCACAATAGTGTTTTAAGAGCTATGCAGGTGGAATGAGGGGAGAGGCATCTAATTTAGACTCTGGGTGAAGGAAGGTTTCCTGGAGAAGGTATCTTAAATTGGAAAGAACTTGAATGAACAGATGCCAGGGGTAATGATCATTACTGGCACTAGGAATAATTATTTGCAGTGACAGTGAGGTATGAAAAGCTTAAGGTATGGAAGGAAAAAAAGCCAGCTGTGACTCGCTGGGACACAGATATATGCAATGTGGCAGGAAGTGAGGCTGGAAGGAAAGTGGAGAAGATATCCATCTCTGTACTGTACAAACCACAGGACACTTAACAGAACAAACAAACCAACCTTCCTACACTACTGAGTATCATAAGCAAGGTCATCAGCAGTTTGAAAGATGAATTCAGGTTGGGAGATGCGTTGAAAGGCTACTAGGGCCTCCCAAGTGAGAAATGAGACTCTGATCTGAGAAAGCGGGACTTGAGACAAAGGAAGCAATGGACTCAAGAAACAAAATACCATCAACAAGTTTTCATGATGGAATGAACGTAGGAGATGAGAGAAGGGTTTATTCCTACCCACATTTATGATCTGGGTTACTAAGTAATGAAACTGACTGAGAAAGAGAACTGGGTCTGGGAATTTTGTAAAAGAATTCAGTTTGGAACATGTGAAATTTAAGGTGTCTATGAGAAACACAAAGAATTCAGAAAAAAGAAGTTTGAATCATTTTAATAGGTAGGTGGTAGTTAAAATCCCAAGTTTGAATAAAATAACCAGAAATTAAGTACTGAATGAGAGAAAAGAAGATAAAACCTAGGTTAAGCAAAGATAAATTTAAAGCAAAATAAAAAGCAAATACAAATAAGGAATAGGTGGAGAAGTGACAACAAAATCACAAGCCTCAAAGCTATGAAATCTTAATTGATTACAGATAATCACATTAAATCTTATTCAAAGATTCATGTAAAATCCTCTAACAGACTAGCAAAAAAATTGGCAGGACTACTATATTTTCTAATGTACTACATACATTGCAGGCACCAAATGATATCAAAAAGGAAGTATATTACTTAATTAATCATCATCTTTGTAGGTGCAATAGATTGTAGCTATGAGATTCAAAGTTCAAATTTATGGTAAATTTTAAAAATACAAAGGTATATTAAAAAAATAAAAATATAAATTAAGGTTAATTCATGATCCAAAGAGATAACCCCCTTTTCTACTGTCCTAGCCTCAACTGTCTATCTGGGTAAAAGGGATCAAAGGTGACATGAAATCCAAAAATTCAAAAAGATCCACAATTCTATGCCAGAAAGTTCTCCTACCATTCTGAGGGCAATGAAGAATGAGGTTCCCGTCTGTGTCCTGAGTCAAAGTCACAGAGTTCACAGTTTCTACTGTTACTGTGTCAGAATCCTCTTCAACTGTGCTCATACTCAAATCTGTAGAACAGATTTCAGATTTAAAACATTATTTCCAAATATGAACATAAAGTAGCCTCCAACTTCCCCCTCCTCCCCACAAAAAACCCCCACAATTTATACCAGCTCAAGTGCAGTGACAGTTTAGCTTCAAAAATTGTCTTTCAAAAGGTTATACCCATTATTTAGAATGAGATGTAATAATCTGCAAGAATCTGACTTCTCTAATTAAAAACCTATGGCATTTATTTTTTAAATAGACTTGGTTTTACCACATCCGATGAAAATGACTGTTCCAAGTTGTCTTATCCATAAAATATTACATCTTATTAGCAAAACTCTCACCACTATTTATTGGCAATTCTGAGATATATTCAAATAGGTGTTTAACTTCTGATTCAGAAGATTCATTAAACCTTGAAACTTAGAAATCTAAGATAAATCTAATAATTATTTCTCCAAAACACTTTTTACAAGTATTTAAGCTCTATTATTATCTGAAAACTAAGAACACAATGGAATTACCCTCATGACGTTTTTTCCATGATATTAAATAAGCGCATACATCCATCACTGACCAAACTGTTTTAAATGGATATGGAGGTAGGCCTTCTTTTGGAATAGAGAAGTGATTTTGTTTAAAGTGCCTTTACCTGCTATTTTACACATACATTATTTTCCTCTTGTTCAGACAAACCGAATGATCAGAGTCTCACAATACAATACCTCATGGTTGACAGGAGGAAATGTACTGAATTAAAATCAAGAGCCTGGTTGAAGTCTTTGGGGTGTACCTTATAATGTTCAACTAAGTTTTTCCCTCAGTACTCAATTTTGGTCTTATCCACATACTTTTTACCAACTAACTAATAGAGTCCATAAGCCTTAATGTATACTAATCACTCAGTATTTATTTGGCTCCTATACACAGCATATTAGTCTGTTCACGTATTTACCATTTATTCAAGTGCATTTTCCCTTGGCAGAAAAACTTAAAATCTATTGACATTCACATGGTGAAGATCCAATGATTCACTCAGGTTTTACTATACAAATTACTGTTTTAATGGACAACAGTCATTTTACAATAATAAAGATGAAATTCCCCAAATTAAAGATAAATAGAAATCATGATCTAGTTATCACCAAAATTTGCAAAACACAGGTGAAGTCCTTGGAACAAACGCAGGCTTACCTAGAAAATAGATGGATCAGGTATAGCCCTTCCCAAAGAATCGAGTCGCCTTCCCTTAGACACCAGCATCACTTTCATGTTATCCAGACTGCTTCTCTCCCATATTCCTACCTCTGCAACACTCTGAAAAAGTAACAGCATTACACAATAAGGTTTCAATAAGAACAATCATGTTCTGCTGGTACGTTCATGACACTCTAGCCTCAAGCCTCTGTGATGTCTCAACTAGGAAAAGAAAGACAAAAACCAGAATTCTTTTCTAAATAGACCTTTTAGAAATCAAATCAGCCTTTGAAAGTATTCCCCAATGAAAGGCAGAAATGAGATCTTGTACCTATTAAGTTAGTACATTATTTCCAAATATGAACATAAAGTAGTTTATAGGCAGATTCTCAACCCAAGTTGTCCCTCAACAGGCAAATATTCTCAGGAAAAAAAAAGAGGTTCAACTGTGCTATGGCTCTTTGAACTGCAGAGAGTACATGCAACCTAACCCAGGGTGTAGAGTACCACAAATACTACCAGTAACTGTATTTTTTTCTTTATGTAATTTACTAACACCTCCTTATACATAATACAGTATTTCATCTTAAAGCATTAAAAACTGTATCATATCTGCCTCCGGATCTGTGGGAAAAAAAAGAAACCCTAAACAATTGAGCCAGAAAAGATAAATTATAAGCAAGCTCCTGAATCCAATGTGAAACTTACAAAATCACAAGTGTTTTTTAAAGGTTTCTTTCAATAAACTCATTATAATCCCAAAGGGTCATCCAAAGAATCAAAAAGTTCAACACAATTTGAGATTTAAGGGGTATTTCAGCAAAAGCTAACAGCTGAAATTTCCATTTTAGCAGTGTTCTAATGAGAACGCCTCTCTCCAGGATGGTTATATTTTGAGAATTGCTATACATAAATAAGTCTGCAGTGAAAAGGTACAGATCCTGCTAGAGAAACCTCCAGTCAGCTATTAGATTTCATGTTGTTCTTATTTCTAATCCATTAAATTTTCTCAAAAGGCTGTTTAGTAATATTGCAGAAGATGGAGAAATTCAATGTTAAAAAAACTCATCCATAAACTTACCAAAAGCAGAGTTCACTCTTTGCTGTGTGTGTGTGTGTTTATAAATGTGTATACACTACAGTGTATAAGCAATTTATATCCTGCTTTTTAGAGTTTATTCATATTAAAAAGTATAATGAAACCAAGCTAGGTTATCTAACTGAAGTTTTCGGTATCACGTAAAACTTACACCACATAAAAAACATGACATTATTTAATAACTGCCCTATCACTGGACATTTGTATTGTTCCAAATTTTTCATTTCCTTAAAACATACTGAAACATTTATACACTCTATTTCCTTAAACAGTATTAATTAATGGAAATTATTACATAAAAGAATATGACAAAATTTAGAACTTTTTAAAAAAAGATTTTATTAGAGAGAGAGAGTGCACAAGCGAGAGCACAAGAGTGGGGTGAGAGGCAGGGGGAGAAGCAGACTCCCCGTTGAGCAGGGAGCCCGATGCGGGGCTCGATCCCAGGACCCTGGGATCATGACCTGAGCCGAAGGCAGACACTTAACTGAGCCACCCAGGTGTCCCAAAATTTAGAACTCTTAAGTCACGCTGAGACAGGGAGACTGTAAGGGACCTCATGGAAAAAAAAAAAAAAAAAGCTATTCTTTTTTCTTTGTTCCTTTTCCTGCTTCTAATTTTGCTAGGACCTGCACCTCCACTTTATACATGCCTTAATGTATGTCCTCCTTGTAAAGGTCAAGGAGTTAATGATTTCTTTGAAGTCTTCCAGCACAACTGATAACGTCTAAGGAGTGGCCAGATGAGGTCCTCATGAATGTTTTCCAAGACCACAGACTCCAAACACCCAGATGCCAAGACCCCAGGCTCCAGGGCCATTAAGTGACTTGAGGAGGACACCTGAGCACTAGTCCTTCTTTGACCAGTTCCTGGATGCCTGCGAGGACATGTACACCAGACCACCGTCCTTAATAATAACTCTAGACCAGCAAACAAAGATGAGACTCATGCCTGTTTTCCTTTGAGTCTCCCAGACCATCTGTCAGTATCTGCTCTCTTCTATATATTCATTCAACTCTGCTCTCACTTCTTGCTGCCGTTTTATTTCCATCCCGTGGGAAGCCTAGAACCCCCTTAGCTGGTCCTGTAGTCCTCTGAGTCCTCAGGCCTGGCCTGCCTGCATTAATACTGCAGTCTGTTTTCCAGAAAGATTGAATTTATATCCAAACCACTGAGGCAGAAACTCTATTCTTGGCAACCTTTCTTTTTTAAGAAAGCACAAAGCAAAAAAACAGCACAAGAGCTCATTTGATAGGTGCAAAGTAGTCACTAGTTTAGTGTTTTAATCAATTTCATCAGGACCCAAATTAATCTGAAACTAAGAAAAAATAATACAGATTTAAGACAATATGGAGATATGGTGAGATAATAATACCAGAAAAAAGGAGTCCGAGATAGCTAGCTGAAATAAAATATTTAATCCTTGAAAACCTGTATTGGTTACAGGTAATCCTATGCAGTGTAGTAGCTTTAAATCAGAAATCTAGGTTCATTTTTTAAAAATTCGGCAACTCATGTTTGAGATTAGTAAATGTTATTCTAAGGTGCTTGTCAAATTAACAAGCATATTTGTTCAATCAACAAATATTTACCACTTATCTAGTATATATTAGGCACTCTCTAGGCACTGGGGATGTTGTGCCCCCCCCTTTTTAAACTGTCTCTTTAGATATGACTCACTTTCCTGAGGTCTCCCCCACTGTAGTTAGAGCTAGGAGGTCAGTGTATTTATTAATATTTAAGAAACTAATCTGGTTTAATTTTAAATTTATTTTTAATAGGTAACACATTTACATAGTTCAAAATTCAAAAGATAAAGGTGGTTATACAGTGAAGTTTGCTTCCTGCTCCAGTTCCCTAGTCACCGGGTCCCCCTCCCTCTATAGGTAAACTGTTAACCAATTTCTCAGACTTCCTTCCAGCTATTTAATGCTTATGTAAGTCAATACAGCCCTTCTTGCTACATATACTCTTTTTACAGAAATAGTATCATACTACCAACACGGAACAGTACCTTAACGGCTACTTTCCAGTGCTTCAGCAAGATGAGGAGACACCACTAAAAGCATGTGACTGCAAGCTAGCGAACTGATTAATAGCAAAGTCCCTAACGTGGGACCTGCTTTGGCCTGTTGTGGGAAAAAAACCAAAAACCAAAAACCAAAAAAACAACCCAGCAGCAAGTATGGCTGAGGCTTTCCATAAAGGAGAGTAGCTGAATGGAAGGTTGGAGATAAAGACAGGGGTAGATCTTACAAGGCCTTATAATTCCTTGGATAGTTTTCAGTTGGGGAATATAATTTACATTTTTAAAAGATCACTTAGACTGCAGTATGGAGAATGCGTGAGTAAGTTATGAAGACAAGCTGTTGTCCGAGAGGATTCTTGTTTGGACTGTTGACAGCAAAGGAGGGAGACTGAACAAAGGATATATTCTGGAGCAGTGTGGACAGGATGTGCTGAATGAAGAGATGGAGATAAAGGGAAGGGGAGCTATCTCAAGCTGATTCCTGGGCTTTTGGCTTGATTGAGTCTGGTGGCACTCAGATATATATTATGTATTTTATTACTATTAGAATGAATGATTAACGTTGTAAGGCATTCAAACGAAGAGATCACATTGACAGAAGCTGGAATTCAACAAGGACTAGACATATCAAGACAAACAAGTGGCACGCAAATACATTTTTTAAAGATTTATTTATTTATTTATTTTTGGGGGGGAGGGTAAAAGAAGAGGGAAACAGGAGAGAAAGTCTCAAGCAGACTGACCTGAGCACAGAGCCCGAATGGGGCTCAATCTCATAACCCTCAGCTGAAACCAATAAGTCAGAAGCTTAACCCACTGCACCACCCAGGAGCCCTGGCAAATAATTTTTAAACATAGTATCACCCAGAGAGGTTAGGTAAGACAGCCTAGATTCCAGTTCTAGAGCAGACTTTAACAGGTGGAAATCAAGCTATATATAAACAAGCAAAGGAGACTGAAAAGGACCAGCTAGTGATGCAGAAAGAAAACTAAGGTGTTAATCAAGAGACACAGAGTGTTTTTCAAGGAACATTAAGTCGTCAACCGTGTTAACAGAGACGTAAGACGATGGAGAGGTTACTATTTGATCTGTCAATATGGAGAACACTGGTGGCCTTAAACGTATCTGAGGTACGTTGGGGACAGCAGCCCTATTGGAATAGGTAGAGAATTCAAAGTACGGAGACAAGACAAACAACAGGTCGTTTATGAGGTTTGGTTTTCAGGGCAAGTGAGAGTACTAGCTACAGTAACGTCTAGAGAGCTGTTATTTAGAAAAGCACATTTGTATTCTGATAGGACTATGAGAGTGCCTAAGAAATGTTGGTGAATAAACTTGTGATAGTAAGGTACAAAGCTGAGTATTTTATTGCCTTCCATTCTAATTCATTAAACAGGAAACTATGCTTAGCTCCTGGACCTGTTCCTTATTTGGTTTATCGGGGAAATGTATCAGAAAGATACATCAACTTTTTAGTCTTCTTTTGTACTGTCATCAGCCTACTGAGGTCTTCCCTTTATTCTCTGTAAAGGGTTATACCGTATGTACTATTTTTATACTAACTAGAAATAAGAGGAAAAAAATTTTAACAGCCATTTTAACTGGTGAAATGGCTTTTTAGCACGTTTCCACCCATCATTTGGTGGCTATCTTGAACAGCAACAATATACTAATAAAATCAAGAAAAGAACATGTGAAATGTGATCTAAAAGATTTATAATGAAATACATCCACATTTAAATGAGAAATATATTTGTCTTCATTTAGAATTCCCAACGAATGAAAACTCTATTTAACGTAGGACAAAAGAACAACTCTGGATCTGGTACTTAATACAGAATTTAATTAAAGAAATGAATCCTTCATCCTACTTCATTCCGGTATTGATGTGAAGTTCTTATTCAATGGATTATCTTAGACTGGTAGTTCCATCAACTAAATCTACATACAGGCATAACTCATTTTATTACACTTCACAGACACTAAGTTTTTTAATATAGTTAAGGTTTACGGCAACCCTGTGTTAAGCAAGTCTATTGGTACTACTAATAGCATTTGCTCACTTTGTGTAACATTTTGGTAATTCTCAAACTATTTTCAACTTTTTCATTATTACAGTTGACCCTTGAACAACACAGGTTTGAACTGCCTGTGTCCACTTATATGTGGATTTTTTTTTTTTTAAAGATTTTATTTATTTGAGACAGAGAGAATGAGAGAGAGAGAGAGCACATGAGAGGGGGGAGGGTCAGAGGGAGAAGCAGGCTCCCTGCCGAGCAGAGAGCCCGATGCGGGACTCGATCCAGGGACTTCAGGATCATGACCTGAGCCGAAGGCAGTCGCTTAACCAACTGAGCCACCCAGGCGCCCTATATGTGGATTTTTTACAATACAGTACTGTAAATGTATTTTCTCTTAGGATTTTCTTACATTTTTTTTCTCTAGTTTACTCTATTGTAAGAATACAGTATATGAATGTGTAACATACAAAATATGTGTTACTTGACTGTTATTGGTAAGGCTTCTGGTCAATAGTAAGCTATTAGTTTTTGGGGAGTCAAGTTATACAGGGATTTTCAACTGCCCAGGGGGCCACCTCCCCTAAGCACCCAACAACTGTATATTAGTTGTGGTGATCTGCGATCAGCGCTTAAGACTAGCTGATAGCTCAGATAACATCTTTTAACAGTTATTTAAGTTACGCACATTGGTTCTGACATGTTCTTGCATGCTTTTAAATGAACTACAGTAAAGTATAAACATAACTTGTATATGCCCTGAGAACCAAAAAAATTCATTTGACTTGTTTTATTGCAATCTTTGCTTTATTGCAGTGTCTGGGAATGAACTTGCAGTATCTCTAAGGTAGGCCTTTAATGGTCCTAATTTTCCAAGTAAAATGTCAAGTATCTTCCAAAAACTACAACCAAAAGTGGCATTTCTTCCTAGTTTGGGAATTAGTTTTGTAGATAAATTTGTACCAGTTTCTGAACAGTTCCAAGTGTGGGAGGATATATTTTAGTGGAGATCATGAAAAGCACAGGAGCTAAAAGTTGCTGACCCTCCAAGTTTGGACTCGGAATTCTACACTGAAAGATGTGATAAGACTAAGCATTCAGTATTATAAGATACTTTTATACGGGGAAATCAAGCAAGCTACAGAACGTGTAACACTAGAATTTTATTGAATGAGTTAAATGAAAAACACTGAGATGCAAGGTTTCTGGAGTAATTCAACTAATAAGTCAGTAAGGCCACATTTAATTTTTAGATGTCTTTTCTTAAACCAATATAAGAAAAGTTATTCATATATTCCTCTGTAACATTTTGTGATGATCTTCCAAACATACTGCTCCATCTTTTAGAACTTTTTTTTTCTGTACTTACCTTATTAAGACTATTTCCCAATATTTCTACTTATTCTTCCAAAGGATTTTTAATGGGTATATAGTATCTAAATTTATCTAACCATTATCCTGTAAATCAACATTTTTGTTTGAGGTTGTGCTATTATGAAGACCCCATAATGACCACCACCATACCTATCACTGCATATTAATGCCTTAGGAAATGCTTATAAGTGGATCTCCTCAGTAATATGTAATAAAAAATTTAAAGATATGTTTTAAGATATTTTAAAAGAATACAACTCTTTGCTAATTAGAACATCTTAGTGGAAGAGAATAAGAAACAAGTGCCCATATCCTGAACATGAGTACACAGATCGTTGGCAGAATAGAAAGCTGCGAATACTGGTTTTATTCAAGATAGGAATAGGGACGCTTCACACTGAGATTGAATGCTTTATACAGTGATTCCAGGCCCCTGGGGATTTGCTCTTCTATACACTTTGTGGAAAAGTTTGAGAAGCAAAGCTATAAATGAACATAAAGCATACAAGACTAAGGTAACTAATGATCCTAATAGCTTAGTTTTAAGGTGGCAAAATAATGACTACACATTGAGTCAAAAAAAATTGTTTGTGGAGTTTATTATAAAAGGCTTTAGTTGCTTAAGATGTTGATTTCAACTACCAACTATTTTTTTCTTAAATTTTATTTATTTGAAAGAGAGACTGAGCCAGAGAGAGAGCGCACAAGCTGGGGGAGAGGCAGAGGGAGAGGGAGAAGCAGACTCCCCATTGAGCAGGGAGCCCTATGCGGGGTCCAATCCACAGGACCTGGGATCATGACCTAAGCAGAAGGCAGTCTGGTTTAGTCAGTTAACTGACTGAGCCACCCAAGCACCCCCAATTAACCAACTACTGAAAAACAATGTTATTATCAAAGAGAATTAGTTGGCAGTATGGTTCATTTCAAGGTGCAGCATTTCATACCTGGTTTGACAATAAAACCGTATTGCTGATTAAAAAGAAAGACTATTTTTCACCCAGTGCATGATTTAAGAACTTATAATGTATATTTGACTACATTTAAAAATTTCATCCATTCAAAATTGAGCACTTTATGCAAGGCACCATTAGAAGCTCTTTAAATGGAAATATATCAAATTATCACCATAGTCCTCCGATGTACACTGAAGTTTATTTTTAAAGCACACTTTCTTGACAGATACAAACATACACATAGTCAGTAAATAAACATAATAAGCATTTCTTCTGCTACACAGTATGTGATGGTAAATAAAGATTACTGTTGACAACCCAGTGCTTGGAAGAATGGCCTGACAACAGTGTCAGCTTAAAAACAAACAAACAAAAAAAACTGTTCATAAAGGGATCTCTGGTGTGCTTTTTCCTGACAACTTCTTTCGGGAATTCTGTCCTGGAATGGGGTATCTTTCCACAAACTTGAAGCAGCAGACGTGATAAACAGGTTCCTTCTTTTATTTATCTTTATGGAATCAAACCAAAACCAAAACCTGTTTGTGATTTCTATTACAAGAATTCTCTTCACAAAAGGGAAAAAAAGGTGGGGGGAGGGAATGATATGAAAGCAAACAAATGCCATGTTTAATAAATCTATCATTTAACAAAGCAACAGGTTCGTAACTTCCTCAGGTCATTTCCCATCCTTTGAGAATAAAAAAAGCTTTGGAACTGAAATTGCAAAGCACTTAGAGGTACACCAATCCCTAAGCAAACCTTTTATATGGAAAAAAAGTGTTAAAGATTAGGGCAGTAAGAGAAGATTGACTATTTAAAAATAAAACTCCAAAATAAAATAAAATAAAATAAAAATAAAACTCCATTTTGAGAAGATAAACATCCCATCTTAAATAAGTAGCCTCTAAGACCAAAAAAAAGAACTTTTCAACTTCATTGTTGTTCTAAAGTTTTGCTGTCCCTGGAACGGTTATAAATGTGTGTTCAATGTGATCTAGGAGCTCAATACTTTAAAAAACACTTCCCAACCCTCCTAAATTTTTAACATCTATGTGCCAGGTTGTAAATCCCTAGGGATGCTAGTGTTTCACATTAGTGTATTCATCCTCACAGGTGTTAACTTTAAGCCAATGTACTTAATGGAGCATGATAAAAGCAACTGTTTATAATACAATGAGGTTATTGTCAGAACACACAATTTTATTACAACATTAATAAAAACTAGGGTCTGTAGATGTTGGAGAGATAAATGAATAAAAGGAAAAGCTTTTGTTGTTTGTATTTCAATACTAACTAGCAATATCTAGCCTTACAAATAAGGCTTCTCTCTCCCATTGCCTTGGGGTGAAATCAGATAAACTTGCTCCATCATAAAACAAATAAACCAACCCTTAAAAAAAAAAAGGGGGGGAACTTAAAAAAGATTCAAGGGGATATCTGCCTTCTTTTGATATAATTCTCTATTAGTAACCATTTCCCAGCCATACTCTGCTTTCAAAGATCAAATCCTAACTCCAAAACGTTCTTGTGATTGCTTCCCCTCAAAATATTTCTAAAACCTGAACGTTCTGTGGGAAATATTTATACAGTATATATTTATTCATATCACTGCTTAAGGTATGAACTTGAAGTTCTAAGCAAGTATGCAATGCCCAGTACTTACTGATTAAAGATGAAAAAAGGGCAATAGCATTTTGGCTCCACGATCTAGCTCAACTGCAATCAAATAAAGAGATTCACGCAGCAAATGCAGATTCTAGATCAGTCCCAAAAAGCCTATTTTGGGGTGAGCCTATAAACTAAAATAGTAAAACAAAACAAAACAAAAAATTAGCTTCTTGGTGGCACATAAGTTTATGGAAGCAATAATGATGAGATAAATAAACATGAAATGTCTTTTTCATAACTGTAATTTTTTTCCAGACAAATTCAAGCTATTTATCGTCCCTGGTGAATGAAAAAACAACTATTCTCACACCAAATTTTCCTCAAACAGCGTGACAATTTTTTTGTAAGGTTAAGGAATTGCATTTTAATTTTTTCCTAAATCTTAACTAAATTTCTCAATCTTAACCTAATTAATGCGCTCTTATCACTACGCCACCATAGTAAAACGCTAAGTTTTTGGTATTTACCGCCACATAACCTTCAAATGTTAAAGTGGTGGTAATTACTCAAATTACTAAAAAACAAAACAGTAATACTAAAAAGATTATTAGAAACAACTTTAAAGCCGGCTCAAAGAAAGAAGCTTAACGGACAAATATGAAAACGTTTAACTGAAAAAGAAAAAAAGATTTCCCGTTTGTAAAACTTTCAACACAATGGAAGAGTATTTTCTTACTTGGACTGGAGCTTAAAAGCTATAAATGGTTAATCGCCTTGCACTAATTAAAAATAAAGATATAATTAGTAAAAGATAAAAAAAATTCGAAATGGTATTATTCTATGCTTAAAACGTTGCATACTCGAAAGTCACCCTACAGACTGAATTTTGTCGGATGTCCCAACAAGCAGCCTCGCCTACTGTCAGGAGGTACACGACGATGAATCAAGTTACAAGAAAAGCAACCACACACCGAATTTGAATTTCCAGATTCAAACATGGAAAGGGAGAGGGAGTCCTGACTTACGTTCCACATAATTATCACCCTCTCCTTATCTTCACCGAGTATTTTTATTATAAAAACAGATGCTGTATCATTCAACTGCACAGAACGGCACTTGGCCACCCCACTCTCAAACCTACGCCAGAGACTGGGTCAAAACAAAGTCCATTTTAAAGGACAAGATTAAAAAATTTAAAAACTTCCTCAGAACTCAGCAAAATATGACAATTACTACTTTGCAGACGCCTTTTACGGTTCTCTGCTCGACCAGGACACTCTCCCCGCAGTCAGTGCTGGTCCTTTTTGAGAGGCTGACAGAGATAACTACGGCCAGCAACCCCGATTGCCTCTGCAGGGGCCTTGAAGAGCAGAGCTAGAACGAATCCCGAAAGATGGAAGAGTCTAAGACGCAAACAAGGTAAAAGGAAAAAAAGGGGGGGGGGGTAACGAGACCCGCCCAACTCTCTCAAGCCCACCTCTCCTTCACTGGACCACATAAAACCGAAAAGGTAACAAAAAAACCAAAAAAGGAACACCACGAGAAAGCAACTAAGGCTTCCTTACTCTCCGCATTCTCGGGTCCAATTCTCTACCGAAGCTCCCGGCCCACCCCACCCCCAGGGGTCCCGGCGCCATTTAGCTCCTCCGACGCAGCCGCCATTTTCCGCCCCCGCCGGATCGCTGCTGCGCCTCGGCGGCCGCTCTCTACGCCACTCTGTAGCCCGAGCCACCGCCGCGGGTCAGGCCCTGAGAGGGAGGCCCTGGCCTGAGCGTGCGGGGACGGCAGCTTCAGCATCATGAAGGCCCAGCTCCGACCCCGCCCGCGGTGCCTGGGTGCCCACAGCCTGCGCCGGCCGGCGGGAACACACTGGCAGCAAGGGGGCCGGACAGGCTCCACTGGGCGGAGCGGCCCTGGCGGCGGTTGGGACCTGAAGGTTCCATCGCACTTACTTCCTGTTTTGGGTCCGGGCACTTTGGAAGAACCAGGATGGAGGCTCCAAAAAATACCAGGATGGAGGAAGCAGCCACGGGCAAGAGTGGCTGCAGCTGGAGTGAGCGAGCGCGACGAGCCACCGGAAACGGAGCTACGACCGCGCCCCGCCCCTAGCCTCCGCTCGCTCCCCCTCCCGCTCTCCTCTCCCTTGGGACCGCCCTGCGTGTTGGCTGCTCGCGTCATTTCCGGCCAAGTCGGAGCGCGGAAGAAGTCCCGGGTTAGTGGAGCTTCGGAGACCGGTTTGTGTGGCGTTTGTTTGTGATCCGCTCCTCTTCTCTCTTCCTCCTAGGAAATCTCGGTACCGACGATTCTGCTGCTGATGCTGTAAAGGAGGCCCATCTTTCTTTGGCGTAACTGGTGTTGCTGGCTCGGGGGGCAGTTGGGCCCAGCTGGCCGAGTTTCAGAAATTCGCCAGGCTCCGGAGCAGATGCAGCCGGGCATGGAACGGAATGAGAGCCTTGTCTGGATGCAAAAGCAAGCCGGGAATTCTGTCTGGCCCCTCACAGTTAGTTTGCATTGCCGTAGGCGCTTTGGGCGTGTGACGCAGTTCTGGTCAAAAGTGGCCTCTGTGAGCGTAGCAAGATGCTACTCTAGTGCACAGTCCGTCGTAAAGCACTGTCTTTTCTAAGCCAGCTGCTCTTCAGTTACGTGGGAAACTTTCAGAAAGGACCAATAGTCGGGCCTATCCCCTAGACCAGTCTTTCAGAAGCTCCGTGAGACCCTGGCAGAGACTGTGATTTTAGAGTTTCGAGTTTGAAAATCTTAATGGTGGAGTGGTCCGAACCTGTTACAACTATATGATTCCGATCTCGTTTTACTTGTTTCTAAAACTAGGTTTATTGTAGTCTTTCTGTACTGAGATGACAGAAGTTATAAAAGTTAGACTTGACTAATGTTCTCGCTTCCAACAACTATGTGTAGACTCCCACTACGTTGTCGCAAGGGGAATGTAGTCCGCCTCAGTCGTAAAGGTCAAAAAAAGGCTATGGAGAATGTGATTATGTACTCCCAAATTGATCCTAAGTAGCTAATGAAGTTAATAATGCTTAGTAATCCCCCCCCCCCCATTATTTAAGCATGTTTTGATTTTTCTATGCAGTTGTGGTTTCCTTTGACTACAAAGTATTGTTGAAAGACTTGGTGGTGGTGGTAAAAAAACTACACAGCGAAATGGGTTTAGAAACAAATATTTAGATTTTAAGCCAAATGTACATAGTTTCCAGCAGTAGTCCACATAACCATGCTATTCTTTGGGGTAAAAGAATTTTTCAGTCATAATCGTTGGGTTTCACAAAAGGAGTGTAAAACTATGATGAGATACTATTATACACCTATTAGAATGACTAAAATAAAAGCCACAGACAACACCAAATTCTTGTGAGGATGTGGAACAGGAACTGTCATTAATTGCCAGTGGGAATGCAAAAGGTTACAGTCACATTGAGAGACAGTTTGGCAGTTTCTTACAGAACTAAACATTCTTATGAATGATCCAACAATGACTCCTTGATATTTACCCAATGAGTTGAAAAGTTATGTCCACATAAAAACCTGCACACAGATATTTATTGCCGTTTTATTCATAATTGTCAAAACTTGGAAGACACCAAGATGTGCTTCATTAGGGGATGGGATAAATGGTGGTACATCCATACAATTGAATATTATCTAATGCTAAAAAGAAATGAACTATCAAGCCATGAAAGGATATAAAGGAAGCTTAAATGCATATAACTAAGTAAAATAAGTCAATCTGAAAAAGTCACATACTGTATGATTCAAGCTATATAACATTCTGGAAAGGGAAAAACTGGAGATAGTAAAAAAGATCAGTAGTGGCCAAGTTTTGTGGCTGGGGAGAGGAATACATGGAGCAGAGGATATTTAAGGCAGTGAAACGATTCTCTATGATATTGAAGTGGTAGATAAAGTGCTTCTACATTTATTAAAGCCTACAAAATGTACACCACCAGTAGTGAACCCTAATGTGAGTTATGGTCTTTGGGTGATAATGATGTGTCATTGTTGGTTCTTCATTTGTAATAAATGTACCATTCTGGTGGGTGATAATAATGGAGGAGGCTACACATGTGTAGAGCAGGTGGTATATGGGAAGTCTGTACCTTTCTCTCAGTTTTGCTGTGCATCTTAAACTCCTCTTAAAAAAAAAAGTCTATTTGAAAAAAGAAGGAATGAAAGTGTGAAATAAGCCTTTGGATTTGGACAACATGAGCCAGAGTTTTTTGAGTGTTTATGTGTCAAAGGCTTTACGTGTATTAAACTCATTTAATGTTCACAAGTGTCAGATGCATTAGTACAGTTACTACAAATGAATCCTGTTTTAGACAACCAGAAAGAAGTGAAAAAATGTCGGGGGCACACAGCAGATAAGTGATAGAGTCAGAATTAAATCCTCAGCTCCAGAGCCCCTGCTCTGAACTCTACTACTCTTTTGCAGCTCACAAAGTACACTTTGGCAACAGTCTTTTTTATTACAAAAACAAGTTATTTCAACCAGTTTCCAGAGTCTTTACTGAACAGGAAAATGGACATGTTCGACCAATTTTCAAAAATAAATGCCAGAAGCAGCATTTTATTACATCTAAATTTATTACCAATATGTGATACTCTGTATCCTATTTGGTTATTACATATATCACTCAATTTTTAAGTGGGTGCATAAGTAATATGTAAGCAAAACCATGAAGTAGGATTGTATTGGGGAATAGATGTTGAAGTTACACCTGAGTATGCATCTTGGCTTTATTGCTTTGTAGTGGGTATGGTAATTCACTGCTCAGTTTCATTTGCCTTCAAAACATGGGAATAATAAAATCTACCTCCCAAAATAATGTAGGCATGCATTGCACAGAGCCTGACGTGTGTAGTAAGCACTTAGAAATGAACCAGAAAAGCAATTACTCTCAGAGCAGTTCTAATGAAATAATAATTACATATGTAAAATTGTTAACATTTATGAGGAAGTGGTTCCTAATTAGCCACACTTTTCATAAAGCATAACCATATAGGATTCTTTTTCACCAAGGCATGCAGAGTGGTATCTAAATTATAGTCTGTCTATCCATTGTCCTCTGCAAAATTTTGCAGCCTGCACTCTGCTGCACTCTGCTGTTAATTCTCTGAAAAAGTCAAGCACATCCTCATCATTCTCCCTTTCTGGGTAGGTTTCTTTCATAATTACCTTTTCCAAAGTCAGTTAAGATTGGGGAAAACAAATGTATTTTAATATTAGTCTAATATATAATTTTGAAAGCACATTCAATATCCATTTATGATAAAAACAAAGTGGATATAGAAGGACTGTACCTCAACATAGTAAAGGCCATATATGACAAGCCCACAGCTAACCGTATGCAGTGGTGAAAAGCTGAAAGCTTTTTCTCTGAGATCAGGAACAGGACCGGAATACCCACTTTTACCACTTTTATTCAACCTAGTATTGGAAATCTTAGGCACAGCAATTAGGCAAGAATAGGAAATAAAATGCATCCAAATTGGAAAGGAAGAAGTAAAACTCACTATCTGCAGATGACATGATATATATGTAAAATCCTAAGGACTGTCAAAAAACTGTTAGAATTAATAAATCAATAAAATTGCAGAATACAAAGTCAATACACAAAAATTGGTTGCATTTCTATACACTAATAACAAATTATCAGAAAGAGAAACTAAGAAAAAAATTCCATTTACAACTGCATCAAAAAGAATGAAGTACCTAAAAATTTACCAAGCAGGTGAAAGACCTGAGTGTTGATATCTATGAAATATTAATGAAGGAACTTAAGACAAATAAATGGAAAAATATTCCATGCTCATTGGTTGGAAGGATTAATACTGATTGTTAAAGTGTCCATACTACTCAAAATAATATACAGATTCAGTGAAATCCCTGAAAAATTCTGATGGCATTTTTCACTGAAATAGAACAAAGAATTCTAAAATTTGTGTGGAACCACAAAAGACCTCAAATAACCAAAGCACTCTTGAGAAAGAGGAACAAAGCTGGAGGCATCATGCTCTCTGATTCCAAACTGTATTACAAAGCTATATTAATTAAAACAGTATGGTATTGGCATTAAAAACAGACACATAGATCAATAGAACAAAATAGCCCAGAAATAAACCCATGCATATGTGGTTAATTAATTTATGACAAAGGAGTCAAGAATATACAGTGTTTAAAGGACAGGCTCATCAATAAATAGTATTGGGAAAACTGGGCAGCCACATGCAAAGGAATGAAACTGGGCCACATCATATATAAAAATTAACTCAAAATGGATTAAACTGGGCCACATCATATGTAAAAATTAACTCAATGGATTAAAGACTTGAACATAAGACCTGAAACCATAAAGATCCTAGAAGAAAACATGGGCAATAGTCTCCCTGACATAGGTCTTGGCAGTGATTTTTGAACCTGACACCAAAAGCAAAAACAACGAAAGCAAAAATAAACAAATAGGACTACCTCAAACTAAAAAGCTTCTGTACAGCAAAGGAAACCATCAACAAAATGAAGAGGCAACATACTGAATGGGAGAAAATATTTGCAAATCATATATCCGATAAGGGGCTAATATGCAAAATATGTCCTACAATTCAATAGCAAAAAAAACCAATCTGATTAAAAAATGGGCAGAAGATCTAAATAGACATTTTTCCAAGGAAGACACACATGACCAACAAGTACATGAAAAGATGCTCAACATCACTAATCAGGGAAATGCAAATCAAAACCACAAAGAGATATCACTCCACATCGTTAGAATGGCTATTACCAAAAAAATTAAAAAAAATAAACATTGATGAGGATGTTGAGAAAAGGGAACCCTCATGCACTATTGGTGGGAATGTAAATTGGTGCAACCACTATGGAAAACAGAACAGATGTTCCTCAAAAAATTAAAAATAGAATAGCCATATAATCCACTTCTGGGTGTTTATTGGAGGAAAACGAAAACACAAACTCAAAAAGATCCATGCACCCCATATTTATCGCAGCATTATTTATAATAGCCGAGCTATGGAAACAACCTAAGTGTCCATGACTGAATGAATGGATAAAGAAGATATATATATGTGTATATATATATATAAAAATATATATATACATATATATATATAATGGAATATTAGCCATAAAAAATGAAATCTTGCCATTTGTGACAACATGGATAGACTTAAAGGGTATTATGTTAAGTGAAATAAGTCAGAGAAAGACAAATACCATATGATTATATGTGGAAACTTAAAAAAACAGCAACCAAATACCCCCTTCCCCCAAAACAAACTCCAAGCTCATAGGTATAGATAACAAATTGATAGCTGCCAGAGGTGATTGGAGGAGGGTGGGAGAAATGGGTATACTTAAAATTTTTTTTAGTAATAAATTAAAAAATAATAAAATTAAATTTATTATAGTAACACCATATTATCTTTAACTTGAATAATCATTGTAAGGACTATCCATAATATAATTTGAAGTCTAGGGCAACTGTCTGTAGTTACACATCTAGGTTATTTCTACCTTAGTACTTCATCACTGTATACCTAGGGAATGTAAGAGATTTTTAATATTATCCTAGGATTTACCTAATTAGGCATTAAATATTTTGTAGAGAAATCATGAGAAATAGTTCTACCCCAAATAGAAGTTATATTATAAAAGTATTTTACAGCACAGTTACGGTATTTGCTGCATTTGCTAGTTATGATTAACTCTCTTGGACTCTAGATTTTTTTAACACTTTCTTGAAGCTCATCAGTGATAGAATATTGATGAAATTACCTTTCTTTTATGAAAGATGATATATTAATGCAAAAGTGTTTCATATACTGAGAGGCAGGTTCTGTTGTTTGATGATCATCTCGCAAGATTTTTTTTTTTTTTTTTTTTCTTTCCAGAGTAGTAGCTTCAACAGTAAGATGGGAATTCTGTGGTTTGAATTTGTTAAGTGTTACACTATGGTAGACCAATGACAAGCCTCATCAATAAGAAAACCAAAGGGATATGCTTTGAAATCCAAATGTGAAAGGTCTTCTATCATTGAAAGACTTGTCATTGATTTATCCCCTTCTTTTTTTTTTCAATGTACTTCTAATGTGTCTTGGATGGTATGAAAGAGATGTTTGCAAGGGCTTTTGTTCAAAGTACATGAAAAATACAATTACTGAGTAGTCCATTTTCTTTCCGCACAGTTTCTGAGTCATGTTAATACAGTTCGTGAGTTGTACTGGATGGCTTTCAAGAAGTTCTGGACATCCGATGGGGATTCCTATGCTAATAGGGGAAAGAACAACCTGTCCCTAATTAGGCCCACACATCAGGCTCTTCCAGATCCTCTTTCGTCTCACATTTCTCCTCTAGGCTTTTTCTCTGGGGCTTATGGCACTCCATCTAAACCCGTTTTCATGTCCCTCATTTTGTGTCAGTGTCTCATCTCCACACTTCTTTCAATCTCTCAATCTAGTCACCACCTCTTTATACCCTCCTCACTTTTTCTTTTGCAGTAGGTCTTTACTGAGACTTATTAATGGGACATTAGCAGAGTTTGGTTTCTCTTTCGGTTAGGAAAATGGAGAACCAAGACTTTGGATATTCCCAGCAAATGAGGATAAAAGTGTTCATTCTGTCCTTGAAATTTTTTTTGTGCAAAATAAAAGAGTTAAGTTACTTGACTAAAATTGGGAGAATGTCTGGACCCAGACTCAAAGACCTGTTCCTTTACAGTCTTTCGTAGGAGAGAGAGGGATAATATACCAATAAGCCAGTAAGTAATTGCCAGTTTTTATAAGTTCTAAGGAGGACACAAATTGAATGCTCTGAAAGTGAGCTTTCCATAGGGTGTTCAGAGTAGGGCATTCTGAGAAGACATGTGAACAGAGACTGGAAAGATGAGAAGAAATCACCATAGTAGGGGGTAAAAGATGGGAAAACATTTGTCCAGTTAATATGGGAAAGAATGTTTTTGTAGAAAGCAACTGGCCTCTATGTTTATAAAAGGGAAAGAGCACAGTTTTATAAAAGGGGTAGGCTCAGTTTCTCTTACAAAGTTAATTGATTTTAAGTCCCCTCCTCTAAGACTGGAGGTCAGCACATGCCCAGAGGTGGCTGGACAATCTGCCACCTCTGCCTTATCTTATGGCTTCAGTTTGTCAGCATATGGCACAATATTTTAACTTAATAGATTCTTAAATGTTTGTTGAGTTCACAAATAGTATCTTAAGCCAAAAGATCAGGAAGCTAGCCATTTCTCTTCTTTGGCAATAGTTAACTGACTACGGAGAGAGCTCAGTTGTTTTTTCAGATAGTGTCACTACTTGTTAACTCTGGAATAAAATACATGCTACCTTTTATTATTACTGTAGCACAAGGAGGTTATTTTAACAGAATGCTCTGAAAGTGAGCACTTGTCTAACAGAAGGTTTGGAGTACTTTATTGCCCAAATCTCCTTGTCCGTCTAGATGCAATATTTTAAGGGTAGAAGCACTACATTTTAACCAGCAGAGGTCCCTGTTGTTTAGCAAGATTTTTTTTTTTTTCTTTCCAGAGTAGTAGCTTCAACAGTAAGATGGGAATTCTGTGGTTTGAATTTGTTAAGTGTTACACTATGGTAGACCAATGACAAGCCTCATCAATAAGAAAACCAAAGGGATATGCTTTGAAATCCAAATGTGAAAGGTCTTCTATCATTGAAAGACTTGTCATTGATTTATCCCCTTCTTTTTTTTTTCAATGTACTTCTAATTCCCTTGCACAGAATACACAGTGAAAGAAATAAGAGAAAGAAATAAGGAATGTATGTAACCTTTATAGCTTTAGGAGTCTGCACATCTCTGGTACACTTATTCATTGACTTCATTCTGCAGACCTTCCTGAGAACCTACTTTGTGCTGAGCACTATTTTAGGGAGAAGGAATATGGTAGAGATCAAGAGAGATAATGTCCTTGCCCTCAAAGTACATATTTTCTAATGGAGGAGCCTACATTGTAGTAGTTTTTTTTCAATGTGTCTTTGTAAAAAACTCTTGGTTAAAGTACCAATTTACTGAATTGTTGCAACTGCCCATAAAACTTGCTCATTATTAACGACTTAATGAGGGATTAAGACAAAATATGAATCAAATCACTTGGTATCATCAAATTAGTCTGAATTGCAAATATTAGGACAGGTGGATCAATGCTCATTGGTCTTGCTTCATCAAAGCACAGTGTTTTTCTTTTAAATTACATTATAAATCTGTATTTAATATTGTTAAGTTTTTTAATTCCAGTATAGTTAATACACCGTGTTATATTAGTTTCAGGAATATAATATAGTGATTCAATAATTCTATACGTTACTCAGTGCTCATCATAAGTGTACTCTTAATCTCCTTCACCTGTTTCACCCATCCCCCCACTTACCTCCCCTCTGGTCACCATCTGTTCTCTGTAGTTCAAAGTCTGTTTCTTGGTCTGTTTCTCTTCTTTTTTTTCCTTTGCTCATTTGTTTCTTAAATTCCATATATGAATGAAATCATATGGTATTTGTCTTTCTCTGACTGACTCATTTCACTTAGCATTATATTCTCTAGCTCCATTCATGTTGTTGCAAATGGCAAGAGTTCATTCTTTCTTACGGCTGAATTATATATCTACAGTGGGATATATATCACATCTTCTTTATCCATTCATCTATCGACGGACACTTAGGCTGCTTCCGTAGTTTGGCTGTTATAAATAATGCTGCAATAAACAGAGGGATGCATGTATCCCTTTGAATTAGTGTCTTTGTATTTGTTGGGTAAATACCCAACAGTATGATTATTAGATGATAGGGTAGTTCTATTTTTAATTTTCTGAAGAAACTCCCATCGTTTTTTCCAGAGTGGCTGCACCAGTTTGCTTTCCCATTAAGAGTGCATCAGGGTTCCTTTTCGTCCACATCTAACACCAACACCTTTTTCCTCACCAACACTGTTGTCTCTTGTGTTGATGATTTTAGCCATTCTGACGGCTGTGAGGTGATATATCTCCTTGGCGTTTTGATTTGCATTTCCCTGATGGTAAGTGATGATGAACATCTTTTCATGTATGTTGACCATCTGTGTGTCTTCTTTGGAGAAATATCTGTTCATGTCTTCTGCCCATTTTTTAATTGGATTGTTGGTTTTTTGGGTGTTGAGTTGTACCAGTTCTTTTTTTTTTTTTTTTTTTTAAGATTTTATTTATTTATTCATGAGAGACAGAGAGACAGAGGCAGAGGGAGAAGCAGGCTCCCCGCGGAGCAGGGAGCCCGATGCGGGGCTCGATCCCAGGACCCTGGGATCATGACCTGAGCCGAAGGCAGGCGCTTAACGACTGAGCCACCCAGGTGCCCCGAGTTGTATCAGTTCTTTATATATTTTGGATACTAACCCTTTATTGGATATATCATTTGCAAATATCTTCTCCCATTCAGTAGGTTCCCTTTTAGTTGTGTTGATTGTTTCCTTCACTGTGCAGAAATTTGTGTTTTGATGTAGTCCCAATAGTTTATTTTTGCTTTTATTCCCTTGCCTGAGGAGACATATCTAGAAAAATGTTGCTTTGGCTGATGTCTCAGACATTACTGCCCATGCTCTCTTCTAGGATTTTTATGGTTTCAGGTCTCACAGTTAGGTCTTTCATCCCCTTTGAGTTTATTTTTGTGTATGGTGAAAGAAAGTGGTCCAGTTTCATTCTTTTGCATGTGGCTGTCCAGTGTTCCCAATACTGTTTGTTAAAGACACTGTCTTTTTCCCACTGGATATTCATTCCTCCTTTGTCAAAGATTAATTGACCATATAATTGTGGGCTTATTTCTGGGTTTTCTATTCTGTTCTATTGATCCATGTGTCTATTTTTATGCCCATACCAGGCTGTTTTGATTGCTATAGCTTTGTAATAGAACTTGAAGACTGGAATTGTGATACCTCCCGTTTTGTTTTTCTTTTTCAAGATTGTTCTGGCTATTTGGGGTCTTTTGTGTTTCCATACAAATTTTAGGATTGTTTGTTCTAGTTCTGTGAAAAATGCTGTTGGTATTTTGATAGGGATGGCATTAAATCTGTAGATTGCTTTGGGCAGTATAGACATTTTAACAATGTGTTCTAGTCAAAGCACTTTGAACAATATCTGGCAAATAGTAGGTGCTCCAAAATGTCAGGTATTATTATTTGTCTTGCCCATCATAACAACAACAACAACAACAACAAAATGAAAAACAGGAGAGAATTGTGTTATTTGACTATTGAGTAGGATTTATTAGGGTAACAATTCTATCTCAGTGAAGAGGATTGGGATATAAAAAAATTATTCTTTAAGATTTATATTGGAAAAAAAGATTTATCTTGAAGTAAAAATAGCTAACAGGTAGTCTATTTTTAGATATCTTTTAAATTTATTTTAAACTGGCCTTCCAAAATGTCAGTCTATTGCTGATAGATATGGAAAGGAGTAATATAAGTTGCATTGTTTTGAGGTTTTTGTTTCTCTGGAACTCCTTGGAAACAAGCCTGTTCATGTTTCTGGGCAAAGTGCTTTAGGCACTGGAGAAGGTGATATGGCCACTTATTTGAGGAAACCCCTGCTACTAAGCTTCACTGGATACTTTTAACATGCATACAACAGATGCATATAAACACATGCAAGCTAAAGGTCTTTCTTGGCCTGAAATAGTTAGACTTAAAATCCAAACTCAACAGAAAACACTGTTTCTCAAAGAAGCAATTCCTCCAAAAACAATGACCTGAAATACCAACCTAGCCTTTTAACACCTACCCAATTTAAGAACAGCAACAATGGATTAGATATAGCCACATCAAATTAAATTCCAGACCATAATACCTTTGTTATAATGACTGCATCTTAAGCGGGCAGACCCCTGGTAAAAACATGTAATATATAATTTTTAATTTAATGAGATGGGGAATAACAGGATTAGGAAAGCAGAGCTTCTGTGGGCCATCTGTTCAGACTGGTGGACAATATTATTACGTATCACCCTGTTTTAGAATTGTAGCCATTGCAGCAGTATTATACTGGTACCAGCAAATCTAGAGTAAGGAAGGTATGTGGCTCCCACAGTCACAGTACCACTAACGTCTTTTTCCTCTGTTTATGTTTCTTACCAGAAATTTACATTTATGCCGGACTTTGGTCTGTGTTAGTTCAACATGGTGTAGTATGGCATAAGGCTGTTACAGCCATTCTTTGAAGGTGCAACTCCTTTCTCTATTTCCATTATAATTGGGTAAGCTCTATTTTTGTTGAACAGGAGCCCACTTTCACATGATGCTGCAGTCTTTTCTTTCTTTTCCTTGGCCAGAGGGCCATCTGCCGTGAAATCATTATTGAGAACACTCTTGGTCTTGAGCCTGTAATAAATTTTCACAAGAATCTCCTCTGAGAAGGAACCCATGCTGCTTTGCCATTTAGACCAATTGCAGGGAAAATATATGATACAACAATATCTCGTACATAATGTTATAAATAACTATGTTATTTGAAAAGGTCACAGTAAATATAGAATATAGTACTCTATAAGCAGTCTGTCTCTTGCAGCGGCTAAAACCAAAAATGCATCCTAAGCCTTTGCTTTTAGGCCTTTCCTACCTCTCTCCACTGCAACTATGTTTTGAGAAGGCAATAAATTGGATGAAGATTTTAAAAATTGGATTTCCCTAGGATAAGTGGCTTACAACTGTTGGGAGGATGCAACAAATGACCAGGGTCTTCCTACCATTCCATATTGACTTGGTAGTAATGTATAATATTATTAGATGTTTTATTTATAAAGAGAACTAAAGAGAAAGCAAGATGGTTGGGATCTCACTTCTTTTTATTGTTGTTTAAACAAATAAAAGGTAAAACTCAGTACTAATGAAAAATTTAAAGACCCGGATCGTACAGTTTTGCAAGGAATGTGTCTGTCATTTCTTCAGTAACAAGGCTTCAGAGAGCTCCTCAGACCCCGATGGCCATTTATTCCACCTCTCTCTCAACAAATGATCTTTACAGGGGCTCCTGGGTGGCTCAGTCATTAAGCGTCTGCCTTCAGCTCAGGTCATGATCCCAGGGTCCTGGGATTGAGCCCCGCATCAAGCCGGCGTCAGGCTCCCTGCTCAGTGGGGAGTCTGCTTCTCCCTCTCCCTCTCCTACTCCCCCTGCTTGTATTCCCTCTCTTGCTGTCTCTCTGTCAAATAAATAAATAAATAAAATCTTAAAAAACAAACAAACAAAGAAAAACAAATGACCTTTACGGAGTCTTTTAAGTATGAACTCCCTCAATGGGCTGCCCCCCTTGTTTGTTTATTTGTTTAGGAAGGTTTAAGTTTTATTATATTTCATCTTAAATGGTTGTAGATAGCATGCAATGGTAAATCACTCTGGAATTCCTTCTATCTCTCTAAACACTTCTTGGCTGGCCTGGATTTTAAATGTTAGGGTTCTTCATGGTGAACTCCTGTGCCCACATCTCCTTCTCTTTCTAATCTGTCTTCCTAAGTGATTTCATCCACTCCAGTGGCTTCACCTACTCTCTATACACTGATGACTCCTATGTTTATAACTCCACTAATCTACTATTCAAATGCACTTGGCTTAAATGTGGTAGATTGTATTTTCCAAAGATGGCTGTAACAGTATTTCTCATCCAACATGCTCTTCATACAAGACAGCTTTGACACTCTTCCCATTAAGAGGAGGGACTCCTCCCATTGAAATGGCACAGCCTCTGTGGCTATTTTAACTAATAGAGTATGCAGAAAGTGGTACTATGTGACTTCTGGAGATAGATCATCAAAAGCCTATCAGCCATCATGTAAGCAGCCACCATATAAGCAGTCCAGCTGCCATACTGTGAGGAAGCCCAAACTAGCCCATTCAGAAAAACCACATGAAGAGGCACCATGTAAAAAGGTAAGTATGACTGGAGAGCCCCTCCTCTCCAATAGGTATCTATTGCTACAAAACAAATTACCCCCAAATGTAGTGGCTTACAACAGCAAGCATTTATTACCTCTTAGTTTCTGTGGGTCAGGCACTCAGGAGTGGCTTAGCTGGATGACTTCCTTAGGGACTCTCACGAGGTTGCAATCAAGCAAGATGTCCGCTAGGGCTTCAGTCATCTAGTCCCAAGATGGCTCACTCACAGGACGATGGCAAGAGGTTTCATCCTTGGCTATTGGCTGGAGGACTCAATTCCTACCATGTGGGCCTTTCCATAGGGCTGCTCGATTGTCCTCAAGCACCTGGCAACTGGCCTCCCTGAGAGCAAGAGATCTAAGAGTGAGAGCAATGAGGAAGCTTCAATGCCTTTTATGACCTAGTTTCAGGAGTTACACATTGTCACTTCTATTTTATTCTATTCACTGGAAATGAGTCACTCAGGCCAGCCCACACTCCAGGGGGTAGGGATCGGGCTCTACCTTTTGAAGGGATTTGCGGATACGTTCCATCCATTGTTATAGCTCCAGCCATTATCTGACTGCAAAGGCATGAGACCTGCAAGCTAGAACTATTTATCCCAGCCTTTCCCCAAATCCTCATCCATAGAAACTATAAGCAATAATAAAATGATTATTGTTGTTTTAAGCCATTATGGTTTGGAGTAATTTTTTTTTCAGTACTAGCTAATCAGAACATGGAGTCTTTTGGACTAAACCGTAGAATGCCAGAAGCTACTCCATTCTTTTCTGGGATCACCACAAATTTATCTGGGGTTTCTATTTCTTTCTCTTCCTCTGACCTAGGATTTTGACTCCAAGAAGGAGTAGCATATGTGGTTCCTTCTCACCTACTACTGCTTGTTCTCTTGTCAAAATTTTCATTTCTTTTTGGCTGGAAAAACAGCTCTTATATCACCAGCATTCTTGCCATGCTCTGGTTCATGATGTAAATTCTGATCTGGGTGGTCTAGGCTCTTCTATTAGTTTTTAAATGAAAGTTTTGAATCCCCCAAGCCTTTTTTTTTTTTCCGTCCATAGTTCCTGGCTCTCAAAGATAAGACTCTGGGTTTCAATATTGTCTCATATAAATTTATAAAAGTCCATTCAGAAGTTTAACTTACGGGTGCCTGGGTGGCTCAGTCGTTAAGCGTCTGCCTTCGGCTCAGGTCATGATCCCAGGGTCCTGGGTTCGAGTCCCACATCGGGTTCCCTCCTCGGCGGGAAGCCTGCTCTCCCTCTCCCACTCCCGCTGCTTGTGTTCCTGCTCTCGCTATCTCTGTCTCTGTCAAATAAATAAATAAAATCTTTAAAAAAAAAAAGTTTAACTTACTTCTTTGTTCTAGTCTGTATGTATGTTCCTCCTCCAAGGCAATATAGAGAAAACTATCAAAGTTGCCTTTATGAAGGATGACAGGTATGAGAAAGTTCAGGAAGAAACAGCAGCCCATTAATAGCTCAAAATTATTATTATACTAAAGAATACTTGACGTATAGCCTTTATATATATATATATTTTAAAGGTTTTATTTATTAGAGAGAAAGCCAGAGAGGGAACACAAGCAAGGGGAGTGGGAGAGGGAGAAGCAGGCTTCCCGCGGAGCAGGGAGCCCGATGCGGGGCTCGATCCCAGGACCCTGGGATCATGACCTGAGCTGAAGGCAGACGCTTAACGACTGAGCCACCCAGGTGCCCCAACATATAATGTTTATATTAAGTGCTATTTGATTTTACATAAAAAATTAAAGTTTGCACAAAGTATGTATTCCAGTTATAGTTCTCTATCTATTTATGAATGATAGATTTTGGAATGTGGGAGATATGGAATTCATACCCATAATTGGAATTCTAATTTACAACATTCTACCATAGAAAATGGCAATTAAAGGAAATATGTACCTGGAAATTATCAGCATTTTTAGGAGAGAAGCAACTCAGCAGAGTGCATTCCAAAGACTATGGAGATGCTTCTGGGTTCCAAAAAGTGGAAAGAGATGTATCCACCTGAGTCCTTTACAGCACTGGAGAGATGGTAATTAGGAACATAGAGGTAACCTGAATCTCTGGGCATAAAACGGAAATACCCACCACAACCTCAAATAGGACAGAGTCATGTTCTGCATTTCCAGCTGATCAGACATTTTCAACTTCTGTTTTCATACAGTTTTATTGGTTCAAAACTCTCTAAGGAGCTTCCCAGGTGTGATCTGAAACCGGCCTCTGAAGGAAGAGGAAAGGGAGAGACCAAGGAAAGAGGCAGACTAATCCAGGTTGGTAGGTGGCAGTTTTAATAAACAAAGAGAACTAACATATGAGGCTTGTCTTCGGCAGCAGCAAGATGAATGGATCCCTGCACCCACCCTTCAAATCTTAAAAGTTTAGAAAGAGGGCCTACCTGGGCTCAGTTACATATGCTGTGCAGGTGTTTTCAACACCACATCCCTATCTCAAGCCTCTGTCCTTGAAGGAAGCCTCTGGGAGCTGAAAGGCAAGCAAAACCCACATTCTAAGGATGGGAGAGGGGTTGAGGAGCCTCCAAGTGCCAGGGTCTTGCCCATGGGTCAGTCGGTGGTCGTGTTTTCGATGACGTTCCCCAACAAGCTTATATAGGAAGGACAGGACTATATTGTTCAACAAGGAATTTCTTCTAAGAAGACCTTCTTGTATTGTACCTGGTTAACATCTGAAAGATCACTTTCTGTGAAAAATGACACATAGATGCTCACATAGGGCTTCCTGATGACTGTTGGTTTGTGTTTATTTGGTTCTAAATAAACTTTCTCCATAATAGCTTCTAATGGTGATGAGGCCTCTTCAGCAATGAATTATTTTGTAATCAGTCATGTTGCAATCTGCCAGAAATGCTCAGTTTGTCCATCTGCTGGGTCATTTCCACTAATATTATGGAGTCTATTTGGAAAGATGGAAATTGGCCAGTCCATCCTGTTTCCTTCATTGGTGTGTTAGTGTCAGTACATAAAACGTGGTTGAGAAAAAATTTAGGTGAAATTCTTAAAATCTGTGATGGTCACATTTAGCCTACTTTTCAGTTAAGAAAGTGATTCATACTTCTTATTTATTTCCAGTAGCTAAAACTCAACACTGTGTCAAGTCTAACTAAAGCTCTCTCAAATTGCTAACTTTATAGTTGCTATAAGTAGCATAATTAGGAATTCTACACTGATTTCTTTTTGACTATTTTTTTTTTCAACAATGCTTAATCCTGCTCTTAGCACTCCTGTTTGCTTAAAAGTTGTGGAATTTAAAAGGAGCTGTAGTGGTACTCATGTGTTGGGGCCTCCTATCTCCCATCTCGTGAAATCAGTATAAGATTGCTTCATTTCCAAAGTCCACTTAGGCTCAGAACTTTCCATATTCTCCTACAGGTTCTCAGAATTTTACATGGCTCCCTCTTCCTCTAATTCTTGCATCCTGGCATACACTCTATTTTACCTCGAAGAATCGAATCTCTTCACCAGTTATGACAGGGTTTCTCTTTCCAAGAATTTAGAGGTTTTGTGGGAGAGTTAAAGGTTTCAGGGAATAGTCATAGCCTTCCACCAATTCCCTGGCTTCTTTCTCTCCTCTCCTATTCTTTCCTACCTTTCAGGAACGAAGCCCATTTCTCTTCTTGCCTTGTACATAGCATTTTAATAGGCTAATATGCATGATCTAACTTGTGGTAGAGGCTACTACTGATCCCCATATTTGTTCTTCCCTTCTTCCATAGTATTAGTAGAATATTTGAGTGCCAAGGTTAACAATACATCTCCTAGCTTCCTGTGCAGCCAGATATAATTGTATGACCATCACTAGCCAATGTGATGTAAGCAAGAACTGAAGTATACACCATCTGGGTTTTTCCCCCCTGAAAGGAATGAGCCTGTCCTCCTTTTCATTTTCCCCAGACGCTTAACCAGTTGAGCCACCCAGGCGCCCCTCTCTTCTTTTTAATCCATTTTTATTTTGGGTTTCTGTTTCTGCTGCTGAGTCTATATTCTAATCCATGCAATGCCCTTCAAGCTTCCTCCCTTCTCACCAAGGCGTTTCTTAAAAATACGAAGAGGAACTCTGGTGAGCCAAATTTTCTCCCCCTCTTTATATTTATATATGAAACTTTCTGTACAAGGGGAATATGAGTGATATTTTTTTTTAAAGATTTTATTTATTTATTTGAGAGAGAATGAGATAGAGAGAGAGCATGAGAGGGGGGAGGGTCAGAGGGAGAAGCAGACTCCCTGCTGAGCAAGGAGCCCGATGCGGGACTCGATCCTGGGACTCCAGGATCATGACCTGAGCCGAAGGCAGTCGCTTAACCAACTGAGCCACCCAGGTGCATATGAGAGTAAAGGTACTTCAGGTGGAAGAAAATTTCATAAGGAAATATTCAGGAAAGTGCAAAGAATTTCTAGGGAATAACACGTGCAGTTTGGGTGGCGCATAGGGGAATTCGGAAAGCAAAGCTGGACATGTGACTTGGCTGGGTTAAGTTAATGGAGGCATGCATCAGTTCATCTTTGTTGCTTTGTCATGTAACAACAACATCCCCCCCTCAAAAAAAAAAACAACTTTTAGTGCGTTAAAACAATTATTTACTCACTACTTAATGGGTCTGCAATTGGGGCTGGCAGCAGCTGGTTAGTTTTTCAGCTGTTTTCCTTGGGTTTACTCATGCAGCTGAAGTCAGCTGGAAGATCAGCTGGGATGGCCTCATTCACATGTCTAGTTGATAGGTTGATGGTGGCTGTGGCTCAGTTCTCCATGTTGTCACATCAGCTGTCTGTCTTGGGCTTGTTCATCTAGAAGCCATGTCCCAAGAGCAGCAAAGAAGGCAAGACCCAAAGCTCAAGCACTTTCTAAGCCTCCAATTGTTTCACATTAGTAAGTCACTAACGGAGCCCATATATGAATTAGAGGAAAAGATTTCACTTCTTGATAGGAAGAATTGTAAATTATCAGGGGACAGTATTTTGCAATCTGCTAGGACCTTGGATACTAAGCTAAGAAATTTGGACTTTTTAATTGGTAGACAGTGAGGAAGGAAGGGCACAGACTTAAGAGATCAACCCTAGATGTAGCCAAAAACTGTATTTTTGAAAATCGTCTTTATTTTTTAGAACAGTTTTAGATTTGTAGAAAAATGAAGATGATACAGAGTCCCCATATGTCCCATACCCAGTATCCCTTGTTAATAACATCTTATATTAATATGGTATATTTGTTAAAATTAATGAACCAATATTGATATGTTTTTATTAGCTAATACATACTGTATGTAGATTTCCTTTTTATAATTTTATCTTATTTTATTTCATCATAATAAGTGCATTCTGTAATCTCGATCCCTTATTTCACCCATGCCGCCACCTATCTCCCCTCTGGTAAAGGGGAGGTAGGTTAACAGCTGGTTAACAGATGGTTATCTGTTCCCTATAGTTAAGAGTCTTTTTCTTGGTTTGTTTCTCTCTCTTCTTTCTTTTCCTTTGCTCATTTGTTTCTTAAATTCCATATATGAATGAAATCATATGGTATTTGTCTTTCTCTGACTGACTCATTTCACTTAGCATTATATTCTCTAGCTCCATCCATGTTGTTGCAAATGGCAAGAGTTCATTCTTTCTTACGGCTGAATTATATATCTACAGTGGGATATATATCACATCTTCTTTATCCATTCATCTATCGACGGACACTTAGGCTGCTTCCGTAGTTTGGCTGTTATAAATAATGCTGCAATAAACAGAGGGATGCATGTATCCCTTTGAATTAGTGTCTTTGTATTTGTTGGGTAAATACCCAACAGTATGATTATTAGATGATAGGGTAGTTCTATTTTTAATTTTCTGAAGAAACTCCCATCGTTTTTGCCAGAGTGGCTGCACCAGTTTGCTTTCCCATTAAGAGTGCATCAGGGTTCCTTTTCCTCCACATCTTCACCAACACTGTTGTCTCTTGTGTTGATGATTTTAGCCATTCTGACGGCTGTGAGGTGATATATCTCCTTGGCGTTTTGATTTGCATTTCCCTGATGGTAAGTGATGATGAACATCTTTTCATGTATGTTGACCATCTGTGTGTCTTCTTTGGAGAAATATCTGTTCATGTCTTCTGCCCATTTTTTAATTGGATTGTTGGTTTTTTGGGTGTTGAGTTGTACCAGTTCTTTATATATTTTGGATACTAACCCTTTATTGGATATATCATATGCAAATATCTTCTCCCATTCAGTAGGTTCCCTTTTAGTTGTGTTGATTGTTTCCTTCACTGTGCAGAAATTTGTGTTTTGATGTAGTCCCAATAGTTTACTTTTGCTTTTATTTCCCTTGCCTGAGGAGACATATCTAGAAAAATGTTGCTTTGGCCGATGTCTGAGACATCACTGCCCGTGCTCTTTTCTATGGTTTCAGGTCTCACAGTTAGGTCTTTCATCCCCTTTGAGTTTATTTTTGTGTATGGTGAAAGAAAGTGGTCCAGTTTCATTCTTTTGCATGTGGCTGTCCAGTTTTCCCAATACTGTTTGTTAAAGACACTGTCTTTTTCCCACTGGATATTCATTCCTCCTTTGTCAAAGATTAATTGACCATATAATTGTGGGCTTATTTCTGGGTTTTCTATTCTGTTCTATTGATCCATGTGTCTATTTTTATGCCCATACCAGGCTGTTTTGATTGCTATAGCTTTGTAATAGAACTTGAAGACTGGAATTGTGATACCTCCCGTTTTGTTTTTCTTTTTCAAGATTGTTCTGGCTATTTGGGGTCTTTTGTGTTTCCATACAAATTTTAGGATTGTTTGTTCTAGTTCTGTGAAAAATGTTGTTGGTATTTTTTTAAAAGATTTTATTTATTCATTTGAGGGAGAGAGATACAGAGAGAGAGAACATGAGCAGGGGGAGAGGCAGAGGGAGAGGGAGAAGCAGGCTCCCCGCTGAGCCAAGAGCCCAATGTGGGGCTCAATCCCAGGACCCTGGGATCATGACTCAAGCCACAGGCAGACGCTCAACTATCTGAGCCACCCAGGCACCCCACTGTTGGTATTTTAATAAGGATTGCATTAAATGTGTAGATTGCTTTGGGCAGTATAGACATTTTAACAATATTTCTTCTTCCAACCCGTGAGCATGGGATGTCTTTCCATTTCTTTGTGTCATCTTGAATTTCTTTGTTCAGTGTTTTATAGTTTTCAGAGTATAGGTCTTTCACCTCTTTGATTAAGTTTAGTCTTAGATATTTTATTATTTTTTGGTGTAGTTGTAAATGGGATTGTTTTCTTAACAATCATGAGCATTTATTATATACTTTGGGTTATAATTTAATACTAATCTTTATTTTCTTGCTCAAATTGTTTCAGCTTTGATGACTAGGAGCTATTTCAGTTGGCATGCCCCTATCTACATAGGCTGATGTTGCCTAGGCTGCACAAGTATCAGAAGCAGATTGCATAAGGCATGGAAGGCAAAAAGGGAAGTTTGCATGAGGACAACTGAAGGGTGGTGGGCAATAAGTTAAGACTTAGCCCTTTTTCTTTTGAGTTGGAGAGAATAAGAAGAATTATTCTGTTATAGCAGATTTCAAGGTTGAAGACATCATCAGGGAAAACCCAGATGTTGACTATGTTATTATAACCAAAAAATACGGGGCGCCTGGGTGGCTCAGTTGGTTAAGCGACTGCCTTCGGCTCAGGTCATGATCCTGGAGTCCTGGGATCGAGTCCCGCATCGGGCTCCCTGCTGAGCAGGGAGTCTGCTTGTCCCTCTGACCCTCCCCCCTCTCATGCTCTCTCTATCTCAGTCTCTCTCTCAAATAAATAAATAAAATCTTTAAAAAAAAAAAACAAAAAAAACAAAAAACAAAAAATACTTCTAGAAAAGTTTGAAGGTGCAGAGAGTTTTTACAGTTGAACAGGGATGCAGTAGAATGCAATAGGAGGAGATAATAAAGTGTCTGGCAGAGGTAGAGGACTATGAAAGAGGGAGGGAGAAAGATGGAGATACAGCTTCATGAATCCAAAGGGTACTTATCCCATGTTGCAGTATCTCAGTATGAGCCCCAAACAAGGGATTTGATAGTTAAATGAATGAATAAAAATATCTTTTGACAAATGGTAAATTAGCAACTAATAATTGTTTGCTCAAATAATTATTTAGGACAAGAATGAATGAAGAGCATATGCTGCCTGTTTGAGCTATCAGTACTTAGATGAGCTGTTGACAAAAATGGAAGGATATTAAATTAGAACCATGATCTCGCATAATGCATCAGAGAGTACTGGGAACGCTGGTACTTTAAATCTTCGATAGACAAATGGGTAGAGAAGATGTGGTCCATATATACAATGGAATATTACTCAGCCATCAGAAAGGATGAATACCCAACTTTCACTTATTTGTGGAACATAAGGAATAGCATGGAGGACATTAGGAGAAGGAAGGGAAAAATGAAGGGGGGCGGGAATCGGAGGGGGAGATGAACCATGAGAGACTATGGACTCTGAGAAACAGACTGAGGGTTTTAGAGGGGAGGGGGTGGGGGGATGTGTTTGCCCGGTGATGGGTATACCGCATGGAGCACTGGGTGTAATATGAAAACAATGAATTGTGGATCACCACATCAAAAACTAATGATGTATTATATGGTGACTAACATAACATAATAAAATAAAATTAAAAAAAATATTCACGTGAAAAGTCATAATGCGAATAACTTCTTACAATAGGTGAAAAAGTTATATAATAATATATGGGCTATGTCATTATACTTTCTTAGGTTGGGGAGAAGGAATTATGATGGTTCTCTCTTTCTTCCACCATAGTCTACATTCCCAAAATATTTTGGTACATGTGTCACTTTGGGTTTTCACGGGGGAAGAAATGGAAGGTAGGAAGAATGTTCTGAAAAGCAGAGACAGAATTACATTGAAGAAAAAGAATAACCTTCCTTACTTTTCATCTGTTATTTTCCCCTGCTTCTCCCCACCAGCACTGAAGAACTGGATTTAGATGACCTATACCCAAAGAGATCAAAGATCTCTATGTGCCTTCTTTGAGCAGCACAATGAGAATAGAATCAGAAACTGGATCTAAACTCAACTTTGAAGACAGAAACATCTGAAATTTTTGAGATGAAGACTGGACAATTTAAAGTGACCCAAAATAACGTAATAGTTGTCTCCTGCAGGGAACAATCTTTATACATCTGGGCCAGAAGTTTGCATCTCTTATTTAATGTTATCTTCTGTCATTTACTCTTACCTGTCCTTGGGCAGGTTAATTTGCACTAGAAACTTTCTTTTTTTTTTTTTTAAGATTTTATTTATTTATTTGACAGAGAGAGAGACAGCGAGAGAGGGAACACAAGCAGGGGGAGTGGGAGAGGGAGAAGCAGGCCTCCCGCCGAGCAGGAAGCCCGATGCAGGGCTCGATCCCAGGACCCTGGGATCATGACCTGAGCCGAAGGCAGACGCTTAACGACTGAGCCACCCAGGCGCCCCTAGAAACTTTCTTTATTCGTGGCATTCTGAAAAACTTAAATACAATCTGTGTATGTAGGTCTTCTCCCTGGTTTTATTTTTTATTCAAAATAGAAGCAATCTCAAACTTACAGAATAGTTGGCAGTACGGTATAATCAACTTTTTTTTCCTAAGCCATTTGAGAGTAAGTTGCTAATGTGATATACCATCACCCATGATTACTTTTGTGTATATTTCCTACAGTGATATTTTAGTGCAGGATAGTATTTAGAAATCAAGAAATGGGTACTAGGTGTGGTTATAACTATTGGAATGTTGCTGTTTCCAGGTCTCTCAGTGGATAGAAATTTATACATGTCTTCAGAAAGAGACTTGTACAACAATAGTTATGCAGCTTTATTTATAAAAGTTCAAAGCTGGAAATAGTACAAATATCTCCCAACAGGAAAGTGCATGAAAATTGTGGTGTATTCATACAATAAAATACTGCATAGCAAACATTTTTTTTAAAAAGAGAAAGAAAGAACAAATGATACATGCTGTCACATGGATAAATCTCAAAATCATTATGTTGAATGAAAGAATCTAGATACAAACAAGAATACTCTGCATGAATCCATTTATATGAAGTTCAAGAACATGCAAAGCTAACCTATAGCAATTGACCAGAACAGTGCTGCCTCTAGAGAATGGAATTGAGTGGGAACTCAAAGTAATTTGTTGCCATTATGGAAATATTCTATCTCTTCTTTGGGATGTTGGTTCTACAGTATGCCCATTGGACTGTACATGTAAAATTTGTGCATTTCATTGTATGTAAATTTTAACTCAATTAAAAAAAATAGTGGTGGGCTGATTAGGCTTTGTAGAGAGGATTTTATGCCTTATCTTTCTTGGCAACTGTTATGTAAGTTTGAGCATGGAAGCCATGAGTTAAGAATGGCAAAATAAAAAGATAGAGTTTAAGTCCTTCATGACTTTGTAGGACCACATAGCATTAGTAGACTGTGTAGTTCCAGAATGTGTGTGTGTGTGTGTGTGTGTGTGTTTGTGAGAGAGATTGAGAGCCTAATGGGTTTAAGTCATTATAGTTGAGCCTCAGTTCGAGCAGCCTAAGCCATTCCCTAACCACTATACTTCCCCTGATCTCTTTTTCCCTCATCTTGTTTGGTTAGGAGTACATTATTTCTCAACCTAAATGTACTATCAATCCTGAGGGAGAATTAAATAGTATTTCATATGACAGTAATTGCCTGTTCCTAAAGCATGTTCCACAGAATGTTCTTGTCACAGGAAGAAATTCCATATTCAAAAAAACCAGATTAACCTTTTATATGTGAATTGTTATAAATTATTGAGAATTGTAAATTCCCACCAGGGGAATGCACTCTACTCATTTCGCAAATATTTCTTGGCCACCCAAGCTTTTTTTCAGTGGTGTATCTGGCTGTATTGGAATATAAGTTTGGAAACATCATCCTTCAAGTGTGCAACTTGGAAACAACACTTCTTGGGATTTGCCATCTTCCCCACCCACCCCTCCCTACTTCAACAGGGTGTGTAGCTTGTTTGAATTTGCTGTCGTAGACCAGTCCTACTTAAAGAATGTGTTTCCTACCTTGCCAGAACTATAGAAACCTCTCTAACTAAGACAGAGCATTTTAATTTTTTTAAGTACTGTTAGTGCAGAGGCCTCACATCTTCTGTCCTGCCTGCTTTGCCCTTCCATTTCCGTTCCCTTTGCTCTCCTTGTTCCTGAGATCTGGGATCCAGAGTCTCTGAAGATGCTGCACATGTGTGTGGCCAAAGTGTAGCAGGCAGCATTTATAACAGACAGGGGTATGAAAGGTGCCCTCTGGGATGTCCAATGAGGCAGCCCCGGTTCTATTCTGACCCTTTGTGTCCCACCTGCACCCATTTTCTGCCTGACCCTATCTTCTGGGGTTCACTGTTCCTGAACTGTGATTTCTGTTTGCTTCTCTAGTTTCTGACTGATCTTGGTTTTCTCATCCTTACTTTCATTTTAGATATGTTTTTGAGCTTCTGACAGGTTGGTCTGGGAACTGACTATGGCTAAAATAAACTGGTATTCCCATATCCAAATATCCGAGTACTAACGCTTCTCTGTTACCTCCCCTTTCCTCACAGATGCACTCCTGCTTGAAACAGTCTTTTGCCCAGATGACACTTTGGAGACATGTGAAGAAAGGCTAACTAAAGAGGAATTTTTAAAATTCAAGATTACTCTGTGTTGTGAATATTTGAAGGTGAAGGTGAAATTCTTTCCTCCTCAGTCAGACATTAGATTGTCTGTTGAGAATTAAAAGTTTAAAAGGATCACAGGACAGAATAGCAAAATCTTCTCTAAAGGGAAGGAATTGTTTGCTCAGCAGGTGACATTGAACTGTAACCTGATTGAGTATATTTAGTAGCTAAAGAAAATAGTGTCAGGCAGATGGTGTGGGGCCTTGGCTAGCCCTGAGATTTCAGAAAAAGAAAGATCACAGGGGCAAAGATTGACTATACCTAGGGACAAGAGACCTTGACCCAGAGGGAGCATAGAACTGACACTACTCATTCCAAGGTTATGATCCCCAAGAAACCTTTTGATTATAGTCTAGCTGCCCGTACAGTGATCCTGTGGGTAAAGAATGCATGGACTGTAGCAACGAGTGGCAGTGAACACGTTTCTTTGCAAATTAATATACTTGAAATTGAGTTTACATATCAGTCTTTGTGAGCTGGATTAGTGGGATGCTGCATGGTGATTGAGACATCAGGTTTATGAGCTTTCGAGGCTCTTGAGCCAAGCCTGTGAGGGATTTATCAAGGTAATGCCAGCCTGCTAGGAGCTGAAATGTGTAGCTCGCCCCTCTTCCCTAGTCATCTTTCCTCCCACCACTGCCATGCATGTGAGCACATTCTAGCCTATGTAACTCAGATTAATCAAGTGTGTCAATTACTGGCATATTAATACCTATGTACTTTCACAGTCTCCTTCCTGCTTCCATTTTGCGGTGAAAGTATCAGCAGGAAACAGAGGGATATTATGACCCTCACACAGGAAATTAGATGAAAGAAAGAATTTCCTAACAGGTGAGCTTTGAAAATTCTGTTTCTTTTTTATATTTATTTTAATGTAATTATATTTATTTATTTACTTTAGGAAAAAAGCTCAGATGCCAGTTTGCCTGAAATTGCTCTTCTTCTTTCTTTTTTCTTTTTCCTTGTAAAAGGAGCTGGGTCTGACGATACCACAGTTTGTCTAGCCCAACAGATCCTAAAGTTTAATGTTCCACTTGATATTAAAAGTGTTAATCTGAACAAGGATCTCTACTAGTTCCTCTTTACGTTTGGGGGTTGGATTTTCTCTCACAAAGTTAGATGAGAAAGTAGGAAATTAATGTGTTTATTTATTTATTTTGGGAACCTCCCCCGAATTTTGCTAAATTTCTGACTCTATGTTGATAAGAGAAACCTGGGTAATTACCTTTTATCTCAGCCTTTCTCCATGGAAACATCTGAATCAACATGTGTAATGGTTTTAATGACTGTGATGTGGATTACCACCCACTCTCTTCGGTGTCATAATCCATACTGTTTCTAGAAAGATTGCCGAAGTAATTAGCTTGGCTATGTTGCTGTACTATTCAATGACATTTTATGACTATGATTAAATTGTGTAGGCTTCTATTTCCCATAATCTAAGTGTAAAATAAAGTATTTGATGGATTAAATCATTGGTGATTATTATTTGGATATTTGAAAGGATCACATTCCAACTCACATGGGAGAATACACTTATTGTCAGAAATGAGTTAAGTGATACTCTCAAACATCAGCATGAGAAAGAAATCCATGTGGGATGACTGCAAGAACAGATAGACTTCTAATTTTGTTAATGTTGAGAAAGTTAAACTTTCCATGTCAAGTAGCAGTCATTCAGTGGTAACAAATTGTCACAAATTATTTTTGTTACACTAGGATCAAGAAAGCTCACTAGGGTAGAAATTGGACTAGGGCCTGCCCACTGCACTTTCTGGTCAGCCCCCAGACGCATGCATTGTGTACTATCACTCATAAGGGTATGGCATTTCATTCATATTCAATTATGTTAGGTACTTTGAAAATTATCTATTGCAGAACTTTAAATTTTAACTCAAGCATTTAACTAATGGACAAAATTAACTGGAAAAAAATAAGTAAAATAGATGATAAAAACAATAAAGAAAAAGCATTTTATTTCAGTAATTTTTATATAGCAGTAAGTGTAGCATTATCTTTATGTACCCTTACCTTTCAGAGTAAAATAAAAATAAATTAAATGGGACTTTCCTGGAAATACAGACAAATCAATCTGTAGCTGTTTACTAGTTCAATATCAAGTGAGACAATTAACTGAAATTAGAATATTTAGCATATTAGAATAATTAGCCCATTAGAAAGAGTCTATCTGGGCAAGACAAAAGACTAAAAAAGAGGCTGAATACAATGAACAAGTGAATGACTAGGATATATTTTTGTTGACTTTATCTTGTTCTTTAGTTTTTTGAAAAAGTGGTAAGGAATAATCTCAGACCCCTAAGAGTATGATAGTAAGGAATGATTTATCCTTACAATCATTTAGCAGTACCCCCGCTGAAATGATAGTCTTCCATAAAAATAGAATACTTCCAGGAAAAATATTTAACAAGAATATTTTGATCACCTATCATGAGAAAGACATTGTTGCAGTTCTTAGGCGTATAAGATAATAAAAGACAGTATGACTCCATAAGCAATCCCCGTTTTCAGTATAAACTTGGATTTATTTGTGGTAATCCACACTTGATTTCCACATTTCATTTTGGACCCAAGGTATTTACCTGACACTGCTGGGATGGGTATAGTTGGTTGGCTAATCAACAATGTGGCTAAAACCTAGAATTTTTTCTTAAATTTTTTCTTTTCCTTTTTTTCAGGGAATCTATAAAAATTAATATAGTAAATGTGTAATTCAAACTTAAAACATAAATATGTATACTTTTGTCAAGTTTTTGGAATAGAGTCATGGCTTTTTTTTTTCCCACATGGGTCTCGTGATTGGAGTTCTATAATCTCTTTCATACATACATGATGTATACACACAATAGTTATCTCTTGTGATTCTCAGTTTTGTTTCCTGAAAATGGGATGGAAACTTGAAAATACTTCTGAAGTGAACTGTGAGAAAGCTCCTCTGTTTTTAAGATTTGTTCACCTGTCTTTTGGAGTGTCTGTTCAACTTGTAATTCAAAGACAATAGTTGTTAGAGTTTCACCTTTACTGAGTCACTAAAGTGAATGAGGAGTATAATTCTATTACTTAGCATTTCTAAAATATTTAACTTCATTTTTGTTAAAACAACTTTGCCTTTTTCATTTATATTTAATTGATTTTTGTGATATTCATCTGAGTTATGTATTTACAGTAATAAGCTCAACTGGAATAAACAGGTTTGAGCAAACCTGACTGACTTGGTGGCAACATAATTCAACTGATGGGAAAAGAAGTGTGTGGGCATAAAGGAGGAGAGTATTAGCAATGATTACATAGTGTGACAAGGGTCTTAGTAAGTATGTTTTAAAGAAGATTACAGAAGAAATGGAGAGTGCTAGTTTTCTAGCAGGGCAGTTAGTTGGATAATGGTTCAAGATACAACTACAGGTGTTGAGTAGATTCATCATATAGCTATGGTAGTGTGGTCTTGAGACTTTGTTATGTACTGTTGAGGGGGGACTCCACACGTGGTTTTTTGTTTTTGTTTTTGTTTTTTTAGAGAGAGAGTCAGGGGGAAGGGCAGAGAGAGAATCTTAAGCAGGCTCCATGCCCAGCGAGGAGCCCGACACTGAACTAGATCTCACGACCCTGAGATCATGACCTGAGCTGAAATCAAGGGTCGATGCTTAACCAACTGAGCCACCCAGGTACCTCTCTGGACATGGTTTTATCAAGGCTTCTTCATTCATCAGTGATTCTCTTGGCTTTTCCTTCCTCTGTGTCTTGGTTTCATCCTCGGGCTGACTTCCCTTATGATAGAAAAACAGCTGCAGTTCTAGGCTTCCCATCCACACATCCCACTAATCAGAAAAATTCAAAGTATCTCTTCAAGTAGCTTCAACAGGGAAGTAAGGATGCTCTCTTCCCTAAAGCTTCCAGCAAACCTCTCTTTTTTCATTGATGTGAATTGCATCATGGGCCCTTCCCTGAATTAATTACTGTGACCAGGTGATGGGGTGTGCTGTTTGGCTTAAACCCATCAGTGTATATGCATGAAACATATGGAATGAATGAGAGAGCTAAGATACTGGAATGAAAATTGTGGTTCTATAAGAGGAGAAAGAAGGAGGAAGTGCCCACTATAGGCTGCAACCCAAGTCTATAAATTCCTTAACATGTTGATCAATTTAATCAAATATCATCCTTGAACTTATAGGCATTATTTTTTACAGTAGGGGGAAGTCATCTAAAATACTTTTATTACTATTATTGATGTGAAGTAGTATTTATAGTGTACTGGAGGTAGATATGCACATTACATTGAATAATGTGAATTATTTCATTTGGTGTCTCAGGGGAGAACATGGCTTAGTGGCTAAGAATATGAGCGTCAGAGACACTGGATTCATATCCAGAATCTTGCACTGTTGTAATAGGACTACCTCTGTGACCTTAGACAAGTTTCATAACATAAGACCTCAATATTTTCATCTACTAAATATAAAGCATCATGAAGTTGTGGGGATTAAATAATCCATACAAAACACTTAGTACAGTATGTGGCTGCACTTCTAAATGTTATTTTTGTCAGGGTTCAATCAGAGTGGGTATCCTCATTACCATTTGGCTACCTGGAAGTCTTTTGGGGCTCTGGAATCAAACCTCATGCCACATCTTTGAAAGAAGTTTTTATAACTTGAAAATCCATCTTGTTTCTTTTTCTGAGTGAAATGATAAATTCACCATTCACTTTTCTTTCTCACAATATGTATGTAAGAATGAAAGGAACTATAACCACATAAAATAACAATGCTGAGCTATAGAGCCTGGGCAGAAAAGAGTAGATACTATGTGATTTCATTTAAATAAAGTCAAGAGAGGCAAAATCAATCTCTGGTGTTAGAAGATAGGATACTGGTTAGTCTTGGTGGGTAGGGGTTAAGTGACTGAAAGGGGCTTGAGGGGAGACTTCTGGGCTGGTGGTCATGTGCTATATCTTGATTTGGATGTTGGTTATAACGTATGTTCACTTAACGAAATTTATTTAGCTGTCTGCTTGTGATTTGCCCATGTTTCTTTCTTTTTTTTTATTTGTTATACTGATCAGAAAGTTAAAAGTGAACATGCCTGACTTTCTGTGGATCAAGAAATATAGCTCCTTACCTTTTGTCCAGACTAAAAGTTATACAAAGATAAGCCAATAGGAAGCTATTTCTTTGGAGGAAATATGGCCTTACAAGGACAATCTCTCCCATGGTCCCATGGGATGAAGGGCCGGCCCCCAAGATGAGTGATTCATATGTGAGAAGAGACACTTCCTGGGAGAGTGGAGCTTGAATTATCAAACTCTTCCCTTTTGAGGTCTAATGTTATAAAAATCTTTTAAAAGGGTGGTGTTGGTCCTAATGGAAGACCATTGTCAGAATGTCCTTAAAATTCCCCCAAAGGTTGCTAAAGATTGGGGAAAGAGGAAAAGAGTCTGCTAATGGAAATCTGGAGGTTCGTGAATGAAGAGCTGGGTACATCACACATGTGTTCTGGAACATGTGAGCCATGCTGACTTAAGCCAATCTGTGCATCCCATCCTTCTAAACACAGTGATTGTTTCAGACACGGGTGCATAACCAGATCAGAACAATGATGTCTAAGGTGGCACTTGCTGAGCTATCTCGTTAAAAGAAAGGTAAAGAAAACACATTCAATTGTGGAAAATGGCAGAGAAGACATCTTTTTTGTCCTAAATGTTCAGGTATAATATGTAAAGTTGGTTTTATTGTATCTGTATTACTGTCACCAGCAGGGAAACCATGAGGCTTCCCTGGAAGGCCATTATATAGATCCCGAGGATAAAGCCTATGTTATGGAAGGCAGAGTGGAGAGATGGAGAGAAAACGGAGTCTTTGATCACATAGACTCCTTTATTGCTAAAGCCAATTTGAGTAGGTTTTTCTCTCATATATACTGATCATTTAGTGGATTCAACAATTTAATTATTTTAAGAATGCATGTAATATAGTTTTATCTGATTTAATGTGTATATAAATATTGACATGGGAAGTAGCCACATAAAATGATTGGTCTAAGATCCTTAACCCTTGTGAGTCATTCTGCTCTCATCTCTCCTAATTTCTACCTCTATGTCTGACTTAAGTTTGAAGGATTTCCAAAGATTACTGTGTCTTTACATGTAATTTTTTATATGAGATGTACTATACTTCCTTCAAATAGGGACCAAGGTAAAAATTGTCAATAAAATATTGTTGAATAATGACTATTTTAAAAAGTAGACCTTAATTTCTTTTTTAATTACAGGAGGAGATGACTTTTTTAAAATTTAATTTAATTTTATTTAAATTCAGTTAATTAACATATAGTGTATTATTAGTTTCAGAGGTAGGGTTCAGTGATTCATCAGTTGCATATAACACCTAGTGCTCTTTACATCATGAGCATTAAGCTCATCATCCAGTCATCCCATCCCCACTCCAACCTCCCCACCAGCAACCCTCAGTTTCTTTCCTAGAGTCTTGTATGGTTTGTATCGTGCTCTGATTTCATCGTATTTTATTTTTCCCTCCCTTCCCTATGATCCTCTGTTTTGTTTCTTAAATTCTACGTATGAGTGAGATCATATGATAACTGTCTTTCTCTGACTGACTTATTTCGCTCAGCATAATACCCTCTAGTTCCATCCACATCATGGCAAATGGTAAGATTTCATTTTTTGATGGCTGAATAATATTCCATGGTATGTATATATATATTTTATTTTAGCCATTCTGACTGGTGTGAGGTGGTACCTCATTGTGGTTTTGATTTGTATTTCTCTGATGCGGAGTGATGTGGAGCATTTTTTCATGTGTCTGTTGGCCATTTGTATGTCTTCTTTGGAGAAATGTCTGTTCATGTCTTCTGCCCATTTCTTGACTGAATTATTTGTTTTTTGGGTGTTGAATTTGATGAGTTCTTTATAGATCTTGGATACTAGCCCTTTATTTGGTAAGACATTTGCAAATATCTTCTCCCATTCTGTCGGTTGTCTTTTGGTGTTGTCAACTATTTTCTTTGTTGTGCAAAAGCTTTTTATCTTGATGAAGTCCCAATAATTCATTTTTGCTTTTGTGTCCCTTGCCCTTGGAGACGAGTCTAACAAGAAGTTGCTGTGATGGAAGTTGAAGAGGTTGCTGCCTGTGTTCTCCTCTAGGATTTTGATGACTTCTTACAGCCACTTGTTAAGTAATCTGTAACTTGAAAATCTGTAATTCCTAGATTCTAACTATATCAGCAGACACCATAAGAGATGATTTCTGCTGAGCACCATGGAAGTCATTAACAGTTTGGCTTGTCTCCATTTTTAGGTCAACACTCTCATACCCTCCCTCATTCTATTTCCAGTATGTTCATGTTTTCCCAGAATAGCTATGAAAATCATGTAATTAGCCTCCAAATCAGCAATGCTGACACAGCCATTGGCATGAAGTACAGAAAAATTGATCAACTTATTTTAAAGAAAACATTCCAAAGGAGTCAGGTCTGCTTTCAAATGCCAGGGAGAGTCCGATCTATTAATACTACATATCTGTCATTACAACATGAAATGGCTACTGAAAACTGTTCCCACATTGCCTCCAAGAATTCCTACTCCCAGAGCAGAAAACAGCCCATTGGTCAGATTTCTGCACATGTACCATGGAGTGCCCATCACAAAGCCAAACAAGCTAGATCCAGATGGAAGTCTATAAAATAACATATTTAAAGGGGAAAAGTAATCAGTGGTGAGGTAGGTGGTATATGGGAGCAAGAATGGGGTCCCACCCAAGAGATTTTTTAAAAGGCAAATGGTATTTTCCTTTGTGGTTTATTCTATAAAATCAATACATAGTGGATGTGTCAGGCATGTAAAATACTACATGGCAAGTCAGAAAGACTCAGAAATAAGTGTCAGACATAATGGCGACCTGACTGGGTGTGGTATATATTTGTGAGTACATGCGCATATAAAGCAAGGCAATCCAATTTTCTCATCTGAAAAGTACCAATAATAATTGCACCTATTTCACAGTGGCCTTGTGAAGATTAAAGGGAGGGAAGCATGTCAGGCGTTTAGTGCAGAGCCTTCCGCATCGGAAGAGCTCAGAGTGGTTGGAGAGGGCCAGGCGCAAGAGCACTCAGGCAATGCCATCCATTTGCCTCCTTTTTCTGCCCGGTCTGTGGTCTGCCCAGGAGCTGCTCTAAGTGCTTTGCGTGTTTTAACTCCTTTCATTCACACAACGGGTACTTTTAAGTACCTTTAAGACAGGCGCTATTTTATCTCCGTTTTGCAGTTTAAGAAACCGGCACCGAGGAGTTACTTAAGCCTAACATTGCTGAGATTACAAAGTTGGCAAGAAGATGATTGCTGGAGACAGGACGGACCCCCATCAGTCTGTACGGTGGGCATCGATGGAGCGTGAGTGTACCCGGAGCCCACGTCAAGGTTCTGATGGTTCCTAGGGATTCCTACTTTTTGCCCAGAGGCTTTCTTTTCCAAAATTAGTCATCTCATGGTTCTTGGTTTGTGAAACTGCTAAAATTTGCATAATTATAGGTTTACAGGAGACCTCTACATTCTTTAACTTTTCTGCCTGTTTCCAGCCATCTGATGATTTGTTGTTTCTCTTAAGAGCTGTTTAGATTTCCTTGGTTCTTTGTATGCCTAGTAATTTTGGATTTTATTTTGAACATTTTGAATGATACAAGTCTCTGGGTCCTGTAAATATCCTTTAGAAATGTTGATTTTATTGTTGTCTTAGTAGACAGCCTGGTTAGGTTCAAACTACAAATCCTGTCTTCTGTGGGCAGTGGTTCAATTTTGAGTTTGTACAGCTATTTGGATCCCATCCCATGTGTGTCCCACTGTGCCAGTCTGGGAACTGGGTGGGGCTTTCTACTGCGGTTTGGTTGTAAAGCGTTTGCTATGCTCTTTTGGGTCTCTGTTGCACATGCGCATATCACGGGTGAGCCTAAGACTGTGTGGGTTCACACAGGGATACGCAGATTGAGAGTTTCTCCTTCTGTTTCCTCCTCTGTGATTTCCCATCTTCCAAGGGTACCTTATCCCTGTCCCCTCGCTAGAAAGCTGTGGTTACTTTTAGAGTTTTAGCCTCTCCACAACTGTTGTGCACTTCCCATAACTGGGACACAGGAGCAAGAGAAAAAAGAACAAAGAAAAAAATGTGAGAGAAATACCTTGGGTTTCTCTTACACTTTGGGGTGTGGGGAGCAGGCCCTCCCCCATCTTCTGCCTGGAGATGCGTTTGTCTCTGGGTTTTAGGAGCCTGTAAGACCTCAACTTTCACCGGGGTTTGCTGTGGGGAAGGCTGGGATAGAGAAAAAGAAAAAAATAAAGCAAAGATTTCTCCCACATTCTCAGGCAGGCTAATACCTCTTCCTGTGATGAGAAAGAAAATCTTTTTCTTGGAGATTTTCATGTCCAGGAGTGCTGCACAGTAGAATTTGGGCTGCTCTCAAGTCTAAGCTGGGAAACTGTTGCATAGGTTGTTCTTTAAGTTTTGGTTTCCTTCCCTAATATGTCTGCTCTTATTTATTTTCAGTCTGGGATATTGCTTCTTCGTATTCTCTTGCAAGACTTTTAGTTATAATCACCAGGAGAATTAGGGTATGGTGGGCTTACAGCAATTTACATGGAACCACGAACTCTTCAGTTATCTTTTACATTGAGATACCCCCTTACTGTGTGATCATATATTCAATAGGTACTGTGATATAAAGAACCTTAATCCCCTGGAGTTACCTATTCATTGATTTCTTTATTCACTAAATTGTTGAATGCCTACTGTGTTCTATACCCTGTGTTGGAATACGTATATAAATAAGACCCAATTTCTATCCAAGTTTCTCAGAGTATGCACAGAGACAGATAAACCAGTAACTGCAATATAGAATAAGTGCTATAGTGGATCTTTAACTTTTTTTTTTTTTTGGATGAACCCCAAGCAGGGAACTATCTCTATTAAAGGCTAAGCTCTGATTTCTCCCTCATTTTTCATTTCCTTTGATAGCTCCCCATTTCCCTCTCTGCCTTTTTTTTTTTTTTAAAGTACCGTCTGGAGGAGTTGGTTCCAAGGTAGAACTAAATGTTTTTATTTCACAAAGAAAGGCATATATTTTAAGCAAAATTAAAAGTAAATTCTCACTTTACTGGGTTACTTGAGAGGGCTTTAGAACCTAGATACTTCTTTTCCAGTCTCCTCTGCCATCATTACCCTTTGGTCTCAAGATCTTATCTCTTGTCTAAGGCTCAATCTCTGAGTTACACACTTTAAAAATACATTCTTTCAACCATTGAGCCAATGCTAAGCTATAGCTGTGAGTTCTATTTTAGCTTGTAAAACTTAGTTGCTTAAAATAACAAACATGTATTATCGCACAATTTCTCTGAGTCAGATGCTCAATGCCTCTGGTTCTGAGTCTCTGTTGAGGTTGCACTTAAGCTGTCAGATGGGGCCACAGTCTCATGTCAGGCTTGAGTGGGAAGGATACACTTCCAAGTTCCCTCATGTGGTTGTCAGCAGGATTCAGTTCCTCTTGGGATGCTGGACTGAGGGCTTCTGTTCTTTGCTGGCTATTGGTCAGTTCTTTGCTATGTACCTCTAGTTCCAAGCTATCACCAGAGGGCTGCTCTTAACACGTCAGCTGACTTGCCTCAGAGCGAGTGTATAAGAGAATGCGAGAGAGCATCCAAGATGGAAGCCATGGTCTTTCTGTAACCTAATCTCAGATATTAGGCCATCACTTTTGCCATATTCTCTTTGTTAGAAGTAAGTCACTATTCCAGCCCATGCCCAAGGGGATGGGATTATAAACCTTAACTGCCTGGATCAGTGTATTTCTTATTTGCTGTAAATAGGACTTCTCTGTCCTAAGTCATGGGATGTGATAGCCTTTGCATGCTGACTCAAAGCATCTAAAATTGTATAGATATTTATCTCTACCCTTTTTATTTTGTTTATTCATCTTAGCTTTGAACTACTTCTTTTCCAATAGGTTGGATTCAATCGAACTAGATCCCCCTTTTAAAATGTCCTATAGGAAGTCATAATGTGCATTTATATATTAATAAGGATAACCATCTTCCTAAAGAAGTCTCTACTGTCTTTCAAAAAAGTATGCAAAGTATTTAAGACTTCATAGTTGTATTTGAGTCATGTGCCTTATCTGCCTCTTATTTATTTGTTGCTTCTTATTTCCCAGTTACTCTTGGGAGTTGGAGGACATTTTGTGATAAAGGAAAATCTTTATCACTCAGGGTCACTTTGGGTATAATTTTTCTGGCCATGTAATTCTGGGAAAACTCTATAAATTCAAAATTGTATCATTATTTATGTATTAATGTATAACTAAAGATGTGCTGATCAAAATCACAGCAAGGGTATTGCTGCCATGGAAAATATACATATTCCATTTCTATTATGTGACCTGCACTAACAGGACTATCTCTAATAGAAGAGAATTAACAACCTTAACGTTTTAGTTCAGCATTGTATGAGTATAATGGGATGCCACTTATAACCTTCTGCTTATTGAATTTGTGTCCACTTCAGGTTTTAATAAGTTATGTTATATTCTACAAAATGTTTTATTTTTGGTTTTCATATGATTTGATTTTCCCCAATTCTTGAAAGTTTTCAGTTTAACAAGACAAAATTTGGGGCATCCTCTTTCATCCATTCAGGCAAAAATGTACTTGTTGCTAAAGGTAACTGAGCAGTATTGACTGTATTATTATCTCAGTGCTTGAGGAACATGAGGCGTATATGTTGAGAGCCATGGGAAATAAGGCATGAACATTTTGTACTGAGGGCTCTGAGTCCAGAGATTGATTATAAAGACAAAAAACAAACAAACAAACAAACAAACAAAACAACCTGAAATGTAATCACTGCACATAGATAATGCAGGAGTGCAAAATCAATTTCTCTTAAATCCTAGAATAAAGATACACTTCATTATCCTTTGTCGAATATTTTATTCATTGAACAAAATGTATTGAGTATCCATGTGTGCCAGTTCTCAGCTGAGAATTGTCACTTCCTTCAGAGCTCATGGTATGATAGAGAAAACAGGAGTAAATGGCTCCGAACAGTGCCATCTTTCTTTTCTTCAAGTGAGCTTCTTAAGAAGATTGTTTTTCAAAAAGATTTTGTTTATTTATTTGGCAGAGAGAGAGAAAGCACGCACAAGCAGGTGGAGCAGCAGGAAGAGGGAGAAGAAGAAGCAGGCTCCCAGCTGAGCAGGGAGCCCGATTTGATTCGGGGCTTGATCCCAGGACCCTGGGAACTTGACCTGAGCTGAATGCAGATGCTTAACTGACTGAGCCACCTAGGCGCCCCAGAAGAAGATTTTTTTTAAAGATTTCTTTACTTCTTTTAGAGAGAGAGCACACACACAAGCAGAGGGAGGGACAGAGGGAGAGCGAGAAGACAAAGAGAACCTTAAGTAGACTCCCTGCTAAGCACAGAGCCCTTCCCAGGGCTTGATCTCATAACCCTGACATCATGCCCTGGGCCAAAATCAAAAGTCGGACACTTAACTGACTGAGTCTCCCAGGTGCCGCTAAGGAGAAGATTTTATTATGAAATTTAATGCACATATATACACTTTTTAAAAAAGATTTTATTTCTTTATTTGAGAGAGAGGGAGAGCAAGAGAGAGCACAAGCAGGGTGAAGAGCAGAGGGAGAAGCAAACTCCCCGCTAAGCAGGGAGCCCAATGTGGGACTCCATCCTGGGACTCCGGGATCATGACCTGAACCAAAGGCAGACACCTAACCGACTGAGCCACCCAGGTGCCCCACATATATAAACTTTTGGCCAAAAAAACATTCACCACCTTTTAGTTGATGAAGAAAATATTTAGTGTAAATGGTTTAACTAGGTAACAAATTCTTTAAAATTCTCTCACCAAAGAAGGACATTAAACAGTCTTTTTAATCCCTCCAAACAACCTTATCTGAAAATCCAAGTGCTCTAAACCTGTTACTCCCAGATCAAAGACTTATAGTAGTTTCTCTTTGTTCACAGAATATACCTCAAACTTTTAAACCAAAAATCTGAAGACTTGTGGTCCCAGAAGACTTTTCTAACCCCACCTTTCATTACTTTATTACTTCTCAGCTCCACCTTTCATAATGAATAATTGTTACAACACTGTATTTCAACAAAACCATTCTTTTTTCTTGCGCTATTTGTCTGCATGCCTTTCCACGTGCTGTTACCTTCACTTGGCTGTTTAACTGGTTCTTAACCAGGGGCAATCTTGTCTTTTCCCGCCTCCCTTCACCAGGGACATTTGGTAATGTCTGGAGACTTTTGGCTGTCACAGCTGGAGGGTACCTCTGGCATCTAGTGGGTAGAGGTTAGGGATGCTGGTACAGTGCACACAGGACAGCCCCCCCATAACAAATAATTATTTCTCCCAAACCATTTCTAGTGCCAACGTTGAGAAACCCTACCTAAATAGTACTTTCTTTCTCTCTGTTCAAATTCCAAACTCTTTATGGCCTCTTTTAATGATTTTCTCCTTTATGTAAGCTGGTGTTGGCCTTTCCATCCAAATAATCACTCTTTTGACTTTGAACTTTCCTAAGCAAAGTGCTTTTGGTACTTAGTATTTTAAATAATTTTAGAGCAATTTTAGGTTCATTAGCAAAATTAAGAAGAAGGTACCAAAATTTCTCATATTCTCCTTCATACACAAATAATTTCTCCCATTATCAGTATCCCCCAACAGAGTGATATGTTGTTATAAATAATGAACCTCCATTGACACATCATAACCATCTGAAGTCCATAGTTTACATTAGGATTCACTCTTGGTGTTGTACATTCTATAGGTTTGGACAATTGTGTAATGATAAGTATCTATCATCATAGTAGTATACAGACGATTTTCACTAAATACTAAAAATATCTTCTTTCGCCCCCAAGCCCCCAACCACTGATCTTTTTACTGTCTCCACAGTTTTGCCCACGTCTAGAATGTCATATGGTTAGAGTCATAAAACTGTAAGTAAATAGCTTTTTAAAATTGGCTTCTTTTGCTTAGTAGTGTGCATTTCAGCTTCCTCTGTGACTTTTCATGGTGTGATAGCTCATTTCTTTTTAGCACTGGACAGTATTCCATTTTCTGGATGTACCACAGTTTATTTATCCATTAACCTACTGAAGGACATATTGGTTGCTTCCAAATTTTGGCCATCATGAATAAAGCTGCTATACATATCCGTGTGCCAGTTTTTGTGTGGACATAAATCTCCAGCTCATTTGGAGTGAAATTGCAGGATTGTATGGTAAGAGTAGGTTTAGCTTTTCCCATCTCCTTTTACACCCACTTCTATTCTTCCATCCTCTGAAGTTCAGCTTACAGTACATCTTCTTCAGGAAGTCTTTTGGATCACTTCTGCTCACAGAATTCTTTCTTTCCTTTAAAGTCATTTTATAGAGGTGGTATGGTATAGAGCAGTGGTTCTCAAACTGAAGCAGGCACTGGAATCCTGGTGAGAGGGCTTGATTAAAACACAGATTCCTAGGCTTCATTCCAAGAGCTTCTGATTCAGTAGGTCTCGGTGGGACCCAGGAACGTGTATTTCTAACAAGCGCCCAGGGGATGCTGATGCTGCTGTTCTGGGGACCACCCATTGAGAACCACTGCTAAGGGAAGCATAGAAGACCACCCTTGGAGCCAGACAGGTCTGGATTTGTATCCCAGTTCCTCTACTTCCAAGCTCTATGTCACTGACCTAGTTATTTTACCTCTCTAATACTCAGTTTCCTCATCTGTAAGAGGGTAACAGTAATAGCTTAGCTTATTGGGATTACACAAAATAAGACCTATAAGTGTTACAAAATAGCAGATTTCCTTGGTCTTATTTGTCTTGTTTATGATAAATGCTACAATATACCAGTTATTATTTTTGTTGTTGGAAAATAAAAAGTTAGAGTGTAGAGATTTGTTGACATTCATAGACCAAACCCAAAGAGGCTAGTGGCCAGCCCTTCCCAGACTGGCCTGCGAGCAAGCTATAGGGAGAAGGGAGCAATTGTTTACCATACAGTGCCTGTGAGACCCACTTCTGTGTGCTTATTATTTCATCCTTAACGAGGAACAGAGTGTGCTGATACATTACCATCTGAGGCAGAGCATCCCAATCGGGCAGAGTTTCACTGCAAGTTTCTCAGCGGATTCACTCTTCCTAATGTTGAGCTTACCATGTCTGCTTTTAGCATGGACGAGAATATCCGGTCCAATCTGCTGTGCTCTAAGTGGCAGGTTTGGTTGCTTTTGATGTACATGGTATAAGTCACAGCAGAGATGGCAGGGGGCTGCTTTCCTCACAAGAACACAGTGGGAATGGCAAATAGGACCTCTGAATGGTCCATCTTGATAGGTAATTTCACCCTCACTCTTGGCTGGGTTTGGCTGAGTGGCGCTGCTCTAAGATCTGCCTTTAGGTTGAAGGGTCAGTGTCTATGGAGGAAGCTCTTTTCATGGCTATGGCAACAGTAGAAGAGAAGAAGCAGAAACATGCAAGGCATAGTGAAGCCTAGGCTTGGAGCTAACATTTTCTCACTTTTGCCTGCCTGTTTTGGTCAAAGCAAGTTTGACGAGGTGGGAAAGATAGCCTGTCTCTATGATGACATTACACAATCAATTTACCAAAAATAAAAACAAAACAAAATGAATTGAGGCTCTACACTATGGCAATTTCAACATAAAATTAAGGTCTGAACAAATTGAGAGGCATACCATGTTCTTGGATGAGATGATTTAATTGTAAAAAGCTAATTATTCCCAAATCAATGTATAAATTTCATATAACTACAGTTAGAATACCAACCTCAATTTGTTTTGTGGAGCTGGACAACAATGACCTTAGAGTTCAGTTGGAAGACAAAAAAAAAAGTCTTAAAAATAGCCAGGAAATTTATCTAAAAGAATAGTGACCGGGGCATCCCACATATCAGAACATAATCTAAAGCCACTAAAACCCTAGTAATATAGAACTGGCATAGGAGTAGACAAATTGTTCATCCAAATATAGAGCAGGAAACATTAAAATGTAACATATGACAAGAGTATTTTAATTCAGGGAGAAAAGATTTATTTAACAGTTGGTGCTGGTAAAACTGATTGCCCACCTATAGGAATATAAAATTAGATTCTGACATTTTGTATATATGAATGTCAATTAAAATACTAGAGTAAATAAATCCTAGATTAAAATCCTAGATTAAAAATTACATATCTGAGAACATAAATGTTAAAAGTCTTGTATGCAAAATAAACTATAAAGAATGCCTGCAGACAATCATTAGATTTGGAACAAATATTTGCAAAGCAGATGATGGATTAAGTAAGGGTTAATAACTATAATACTCAGCTTTTACAATTTGACAAAAAAGACAACTTGATAAAGAAATAGATGTCTGCAGTTCACAAGGGCAAAGCCAAACAGCTGTTAAGTATATTAAAAGATGCTCTAATACAATAGTAGTCATAAAAATGCAAACCAAATTAACATTGACATATTGCTTTATACCTGCCAGACTGGTATATATTTTAAATGGTATGACAACTATTGCAAGCAGGGATTCAGGAACTGAAAGTACCGTTATCATGCAGGTAAAGGTGAATTTTCATAGTCCACCTCTTTTGTACCCAACATCACATTTTTCTTTCCATTTATATAACCTCTCCCTCTCTTCTCAAAGTCCAGATCTCTGGGTGATATTCACTCACCTCCATCAGGTCTCCTTGTGTTTCCCTGGACTCAAGTGACATACAGACTAAAATACAAGTTATTGGTTCTCAACATAGTCATATGTGGTAATCAAGAAGCACCAGAAAAAACTGCAAAATAAGCTTCCATTTGGAGAGAGACAGTAAAAAAACAAAAACAAAAGCAAAACCAAAAAAAATCCAAAAAACAAAAAACATCCAGCTGTCACTGGTCCACAGCAAATATCAAATCCTGATGGGTGGGAGTAGCAAGAACTCTCTGAGGTGTCAAGGAAGTCGCTGCCAATCTAGCAGACTCTGTTTCCGATTTCTGGGAAATCTCTGAGAAGTCTCTGGTCCTTGATGGGGTAGGACTAGGGGATCCTCCTTGTCCATTATATTTCATGACCACAGGTGAGGTTAGCTGCTCCATTTTAACAGCTCACTTCTAGTTGGTGTGAGTTCGGGGTGCTTAAGGATGGCTTTAGGGGCTGATTGATGGAACCATCAATTTGATATGAGGAGTAGAGTTGGGGAATAGGGTTAGGCACACAGGTGAGGGGTAGCAGGAGGAAACAGAAGGGCAAGGAACTTATCTGCTGGTTTCTTTTTATGTGTTTCATCTCTTAGAATACATAACCTTCTCCAAGTGTGTGAGTTGTGTTTATTTGGCCCCTCCACTGGGGACCCATGTAGCTCTTGTTCTGCTCTGAGCTGATGGGAAGAGCCAGAGCCTCGGTGGGTCCCTTCTAGTCTGGGAGGGACAGAGGAACTGTGGTGGCTCTGTTATAGGGCACAGCCAGTGCCTGGCCCTTTCTTCTGGGAAGATTGGGTCAGCCAGTGATGTTGGAAGACGCTGCCAATGGCATGCATAAATCTGAGCACAAGTCCATCATTGTCCCTACTGGAATGGATCCAGTACCATCAACTGCCCCTCACTGAGAGGGCTGGGTCTCATGCAATTCCCACCCATCTCATGCATATGCAAATTCTAAAAATGGCTCTAAAAGCTGACTACAATCATATGACACATAATATTTAATACGCACACAAGTGACTTCTTATTTTTGCAGGATCTCATATTTTATTTTGGTCAGTTTTCATTTTGTTAATTTAAGAGTTGGTGAGCAGGATCACAGGAAGGAAGACAACTGGCCTGTAGTTCAGGCAGAAGAGGGAAGAGTAAGGAGCAAACCCTTACTTATTAGGGCTTGCATAGCCAGGAATTGCATTAGATTGGCCAAATATATTAACTTGGTGGTGGTTCTCAGTTTTGGGTCAGAATCACCTGGGAACTTTGCATACAATGCAGATGTTCAAGTCTTATCCTACTTCAGTGAGGGTCTGTATCCTTTACTAACTCTCCAGGTAGTATTTCAATATGTACTCGAGTTTCAGCTCTTCCTGCGTTAACTCATTGTACCTGAGGTAGATACCATTGCTCTCTTTACAGAATCCCAAGCTGGGGTTCTGGGAGGTTAAGCGATTGGTTCAGATTGAGCTGGAAGATGGGGAGGAACTTAAGAAAGTAATTTCTGCCGAATTGGTGGGGAGTTTAGAAGCTTGGGAATCTTAGTTAATGGTAATATGACACTGTTCTTGCCCATTTTGGTGAGGACTGATGGCATTCCGAGTATGCTTAAAACAAGTATTGAGCGTTGGGTGTTATATGCAACTAATGAATCGTTGAACACTACATCAAAAACTAATAATGTACTATATGTTGGCTAACTGAATATTAAAAAAAAGTATTGCACATTAAATCAAGAAACAAATCTTCTCAGCGTTAGTTTTCCATCTATATTCTTAGCCCATTCTTTTTTTCGTCAAGAATTTCAAATATTATATGCACATAGTAAAAAAATAAAATAATGAAGAAAGAGTTTCTCTTTCAATATTAGATATTTCTAACGCATCCTGGGGATTAGCATGGGGAGTGTTGTGTGCTTTTTAAGATATGTAAGTCACTTTGGCTTGCCTCTCCCTTCCCCCTAACCTTAGCTTCATTAGATTCCCACTGCATACAGAATAAAATGTAAACTCCTTCACATGATCTAAAAGACTCTTCATGAACTGGCCCTGCTCGATTCTTTAACTTTTTTCTACCATCTCCTTTAGCCCATTTCACCTTCCTGGCTTGGTGCTGTCTGAGGGTCTTGTATTGGATGGTTTCTCTGCTTGAAAGAGTCTCCTTAGTCTGGCTCTCAGGTCTTTCCTCAGCCTATTTATACAATGTGTCATTAATGTGGTTTATTTCTTTATGGTGCTGGTCACTCCCCAAAAGTATCTATCTGTTTAATTGTTCATTATATTTCTCCTCCACACACAAATTCCAGGAGAATAAGGACTTTGTCTTCTTTCATCTATGTTCCTATAATACCTAGAAAAGAACAGTGCCTGGCCAATAAGAGGGCATAATGCATATTTGCCGAATAAATGAATATACCTTCCTGAGGACACACAGACATACACACACACACGCACGCACGCACACATGCATGCAAGCACGAAGACACACATACAAAGAAATTTATGCCGATAGAATCATGCTATCTTTAAAAACAAAATTAATTATGTATCTTTGAGATTTTCCCAGAAAAACAGACATAGATCTACCGTTGTTTTTTTTTATGGCTTAAAGATCTTCAGGATATAAAATTTAGCTGAAAATAAAAAAGCAAAGGGCAGAATGAAATACTATTTTGTGGATGTACTGTGATTCATTTATCGAGTCCCCTATTGATGGATATTTTGCTTTTGATTCCAGGAGTTTGCCATTTCAAAAGTGCAGCAGTGAATACAATCATTGTATCTTGAAGTATTTTTGTTTCTCTCTTACTTTAAAATTTTTAATATTTCAGGTGCATACATATCTGAACATCATTTTATCAGAATCACCATATTATGTGACTGTTATTGCTGGTGGTGGTGGGGGAGATATTATTAATTAACATTAATACCTGAGGATTTTCAAAAATCAGACGGTTCTTAGAAAACATCGTTCTTTTTACTTTAGCTTCAGACTCACTGTAAGTGATATTATTCTATGTGAGATGCCAATTTTTAAATGAATTTCCTGGAAAAGAAAGAAATCTTTCCCTTATTACTCTGACTTTTGAAATAATAGCAAGAGTCAGTTAACTTCTCAAGTGTAAAATTTAACAGGGCCCATGCCTGCTGACCCATGAGAAATTTTGAAAGTCTGGCTAATGCATTATTGATTGTACTTTTTCTAATTAGTTCTAGTAAGTGGGCAGTCCTGGGGGTGGGGTAGCGGGGACAGGGCCTCGAGCAGATCATATTGCATGTTCCCCTCTCTGCTCTACCAGTCCTGTTAATCTAGTGTTATCAGGTCATGAGGAACACAGACGGTTTTGGTGGTGAAAGGTTGCTAAAAGGGTTAGCCCAGGGATGGTGCAAGGCAGGCAGGGGGAGGTGGTTCCCCCAGCTACGCTGGGTGGTTGAGAATAAGATGAGCTCACCCTGAGTGTTCATAGGTAAGACTCAGGTCTGCCTAGCCAGCAGAACCAACTCCTGCCTCATGCGTTGGCTGCTTCCCTGCATTCCAATTCATCTTTCAGTAAGAGAAGAGGAGAAGGGGAAACATCGGTGGCCCAGGGCTGTTTTACTGATCTGCATTAGTTTTTGAGTGTTTCTCAAAGGGTGACTTTTGTACCTCTGTGTACCTCTGGACACGCTCCATTCCTGTAAGCTAAGCAGGGCGTCCCACAAGCTGTTCCCAACCCCAGTCTGTGTCTTGTCACATCACCACCCTTTGGGCAGCCACAAGTTACGGTATTGAGAAGTAATGACCGGCTCCCCAAGGCCCCTTTCCGAATGGCAATTCCAAATCTGTTTACACACCCAGCGCCAAGAAGAAAGCCAAGGGAGAATCTGTGTGTGCCTTAAGCACTTTAAATGCACAGTGAATTCTCATCCTTTTAAGTGTGGCCACATGAATATTTTGAGCCTTATCAATCTGGTTAGCAATTCCTCTTTCCTCAGGGAGAAGAAAGGATTTGGCAGAAGGTGGGTAGAGTGGCAGATATATTTTCTCTTCTATATCTGGATTGAGTTTAAAAAGGGAGGTTTTCCAAGTAGAAATGCTAGAACTCAGTTTAAGCAACAGAAGTCTGAAGATAGGGGCTATTTTGAACCCACCTTGGTCTGTGTTCTTCTCCCTTTTGTCTTTCTGTACTGTTTTCACATAATTTTTATTTTATTTTTTAAACAAAATCTTGGGAAGGCCACAAAAAATCTAAGTAACATACCTGGTGGTGTGATGTCAGGAGTATTCTTATTTATCTGGGGCCTTTTTCTTGTGCTAAGGGCTAAGACTCTATGAGATGCTAGAACACCTCAGAAAGAAGATTAGGTCACTGACTGAGACCTCTCATTCCCCAACCAGAAGGAAACCACTTTGTGAGAGCCCCCTTTCTCTACCCATCTCCTTATATCCTAGTGCTTAGTATGGCAGATGGCAATGGTAATGAGGGTGGTATTAAACTTTAAATATGTAATGAAATGTAGACAGGTTCTTAACTCATGTATGAACTTTGCAAGAATGTGTGCCTTTGAGCTGGTTTTGAGCATCTCATTACATATTCCCATCATGCCAGTAGGCTGAATTGCATAATAGTTCCAAAGGTTCTACCTGCCAGAGTCTTGTCTATGTTCATGTTGTATTCCAGAGGACTCTGGAAGGACCTGATACTTAGGGAGAAAGGGCTGGTTGTGTTAGTAGTGACTGTAGGCATTTGTTCATTTTCTATTTGGGAAAATTGCTCTTCTTTCACCAAGATATTTATAATTTTTTAAAAATGACACTTACTCATTAGATGAAAATAGTGATTTCCCTTCCAAACAGGAAGAATGAATGTAATTTTTTTCTAAAGAACCTATATTACAGTTAATGATTTGTAGGTCACTAATTACCTTGCTTGCTGCTGATGGGGCAGTGGTAGGGTCTGAAGGTCCAGGACCTTGCTCCCATAATTACAGATATATTCCTTCCAATGATAACTGAAAAATTGTAAATGTTATTTCATATGTAGTAGAATCATAATTAAAGCTCTGTAGTGCATTCTTTTGTTTCATGTAAGTTTCCACTTTATTTTATCAAAATTTTTTTAAGCTAGGTACACCTGTACTTTCTTACTGAGTAGATTCCACCTTGGATATAATCACACCTCTTTTATGCTAGCAGGGAAGCAGTAAAGAGGTGAAGGTTACAGGAAACAGATATAGACTGAGTTACATAGCCCTCTTTGTAAGTAACAAGGAGAGCTGAGAAAATATAGCCCAAGGATGGATCTACTGTTCCAAGTAAATATTTATTTCTTCAGTGTGGTTGTAGATAGCCCATCAGAGATAATATAATAAGCAGGGATGAGTACAGTTCAAAATGAACAGATGTCTTCTCTATTGGAGTAAATTTTAACTTCAAAGACATATTTTTATATTTAATTTTTGGTTGTATGGTCTATTTCAAAGCTTCAAAATGATTCCAAAATTATTTTTCACTACAAGATTTCAATAATAAGTTACGTATCTCTGGAAGGTTAGAGTCAAAGAGTATGACAGGCACTGGGAAATCACGGCAGACGGTGGTAAAGTGATCTCACTTGATGGCATAGAATTCTCATGCTTTGGCCAAAACTAGATTAAGAGATGATGGCATAATGGAAGGAGAGAATAGGTAATGTAAAACTGTAAGGGGCCGACAATGATGGGAAAGAAGACTACTTTAAGAGTGGACATTTCATTCTCCTTTCCTGAAAATTCTAGAATGATGCTTTCTAAGGAATGTGGAGGATGACAGCATTAAGGCTTCAATGATGACAAAGCTTAATACAGTTCAACATGGCACAGATAATTGCATATGCATGGAATATCCTTTAACACATAGACCAGTTTTTCCTGTGAGTCACCATGTCTAATTTCACGTTGTCATGAAAAGATGGCAATAAAACAAACAAATAACAAGGAGATAGGCTGTTTGTTATTCCTTCTTAATTTTGTTGCAGTTTCTTTCGTTCAAAAAGGGAACGATACTACAGCGTGGTTTGAGATCTGTCAAGCTTTGCATTTCTTTCTCCCATTCCTCTTTTTTCCTTTTGCTTGGCCTTGGGACAACATTAGTTAGTACTTTAGTTGTTTACCCCCTGAATTAATTATCATGAGTCATAAGACACAAGTTCTCCTATCTGTTGCACATCATTAAGTGGCATCATTAAAACATTAAATTATATCAGGGTGAAAAACACTTGTGAGTTCTGCTCATATATATACCATCCTAGCAAACTCTCCTTATGAACAACCATCTGTGCAAAGATCTTGATGAAGAAAGAGGAGAAGCCTATAGATTATAGACTCTGCACAAACACAGTTGAGGAATTCCACAATAATTTTTGGCTCACAATGAATCCCCACAGTGCTCTAACATAGTTTGAGTGAGGATTATGGCCAGAGCTCCACTGTCTCTCACCTTTAAGAAAACTTTGTTCACATTAACTGGGGAGTATATACTGTACTAGTTTCCTACTAAGAGATGTATGTTACAGTATCTGTTAGAAAGTTACTGACTCAGCAAAGTGTGGCTATAGAGAGCTCCAAACCTCTACTCCAGGTGGTTGGGAGAAGGTGGGAAGTCAGCACATGGCCATTCTCCATGAGCAGCAGAAAAGGTTGGAAGTGAGGTTTATTTGGAGGGTCTTCTTTTGTGTAATGGCTTTACTCTGGTTTGACAGAACCTTAGAATTAGGTCAAAGGTCTATATCCATCATGCAATAGAGCTCCTTGTCTCAGGGCTCTGATGTAGGAGATCTTGGTGTAAATCCTGGGTCTGCCACTTACTCTGTGTGAACTCTAAGTCTCAGTTTCCACGTTTGTATTACTTCCTAAAGCTGTCATGATGATTAAATTAAATCATGTCTATAAAGATGCTCAACTAAAGCTGCTCACTCTTCTTTTAGTGATGTAGACAGAAGGGCAAATGTAAATCATGACGCTTTCCTTCTTTTCTAAAGGCCTGTAGATGAGTGATAGGGAGCAGAGGATGAGTGTATGACTGGAGATGGCATGGGGGTGCCTAGGACTTCCCATACCTCCTGCAGTTCATGTTGCTCACTGGCTTTTCAACTCTTCTTTGTTTCCTTTTGTTCCAGAGCCCGAGCTCTAAGAGTCAGCAGTAATGGACTGGTGAGTAGGCAATCCAGAGGTACTACACATCTCTCAGCCTATAAGGCACTTGCTTCTGGGTAGATAGAGAATTAATTGTGGTCAAAAGGAAGCCAGAGGCTATAAATCAATCCTGCTCATTACTGAATGCAGAGCAAAGATTCTGGGATAGTAGACTAAAGCAAACAGAAGATTTACTAAACATGGTGTTAGAGGTTTAATTGTGTTCCCCCAACCCCAAATTCACATGCTGCAGTCCTAACCCTCAGTACCTCAGAAGGTAACGTATTTGGAAATAGGGTGATTGCAGATGGAATTCATAAAGATGAGGTCATACTGAAGTAGGGTGGGCCTTTAATCCAAGATGACAGGTGTCTTTATAAAAAGTGGAAATTTGGAGACACACACACACACACACACACACAGACACACGCACACACACACGGAAAACACCATGTAAACATGAAAGCAGGGATTAAGTTTATGCATCTACAAACTAAGGGTCACCAAAGATTTCCAGCAAATCGCCAGAAGCTGGGAGAGAAGCATGGAGCACATTCTGTAGCACAGTCCCCAGGAGGAACCAAGCTTGCTAACATCTTCATTTGGACTTCTATTTTTTTTTCTTTTTCTTCAAAAATTTTTAAAGATTTTATTTATTTATTTGAGAGAGAGACCATGGAGCAGGGGGGAGGGGCAAAGGGAGAGGGAGAAGCAGACTTCCTGTTGAGCAGGGAACCCAATGCAGGGCTCGATCCCAGGACCCTGAGAGCATGACCCGAGCCAAAGGCAGATGCTTAACTGACTGAGCCACCCAGGTGCCCCCATCTTGGGGTTCTAGATTCTAGACCTGTGATACAATAAATTTCTTTTAAGCCATCCATTTGGTGGCACCAGCCCTAGCAAACTAATACACACGGGTAATATTAATCTCCATTTCTCTTAAACAAAGCTGGGAAGACGGTGAAGCAAATGAAGCACTTGCCTCAGCACGTTTAAAGGGCACCACACATACACACAAAAGACTAATCAAGATAAACTGAATCTGAATGCAATATTTTTAAAAATTGAAAGTAATGCAAAAAAAAATCAGTGCCAAAAAATATCAAAAGTTTAAATAGCAGCAGGATCAGTAACAGCTTCATGCTAAGCAAAAGCATGGGGCAAAAGAAATGAAAAAATTAGTAATACTATGTTCATAGTGTTCTTAAAGAACACTAAACTTATATCTGCTATATAAAGCATCACAGTCAACACCTTTATACATGTACACTCATCTAATGATTTCCTCAGGCTAAATGATTAGAAGTGGAATTATTGGGCCAAAAATGTAGAGATTTTATGATTTGATACTCACTGTTAAATTAACAAAATTTTGCTTTCCCCGTTGGTTTATAGATACCTTCTCCTCCTGGATATAATTTGGTGTCTTGAAATTTCACTTATTTTGTGAATTGCCTGTTCATGTCCTTTATATATTCGTTTGGGTTGTTCATCTCTTTCAAAGTGTTTTATTTATTTATATATTTTTTAAGATTTTATTTATTTGACAGAGAAAGAGCAAGAGAGGGAACACAAGCAGGGGGAGTGGGAGAGGGAGAAGCAGGCCTCCCAACAAGCAGGAAGCCTGATGCGGGGCTTGATCCCAGGACCCCAGGATCATGACCTGAGCCAAAGGCTTAAAGACTGAGCCACCCAGGTGCCCCTAAAAGTGTTTTATTTAAAGAGCTCTCATATTAAGGATATCATCTGGATATTAACTCTTAGTTAATGTTATATGTATTGCTAAAGTTTTCTCCAGTTTATCAGTCTCTTTTTTGTTTTAAAGATTTTATTTATTTATTTATTTATTTATTTATTTATTTATTTATTTATTTAAGAGAGAGAGTGAACGAGAGAGAGAGAGAAGGAGCAGGGGGAGGGACAGAGGGAGAGGAAGAAACAGGCTCCCCACTGAGCACAGAGCCTAATGTGGAACTCAATCCCAGGACTCTGGGATCACAACCCCAGCTGAAGGCAAACGCTTAACTGACTAAGCCACCCAGGTGCCCCAATCCTCTTTTAACTTAACTTATGTTGTATCTTACCCAACCAGAAACCTGAGCGTAGGTGGAAGAGGACGTGACTGGAGTAGAGAAGAAGGTAGATCCGTTTCCATAAGGTCACAGGCAAACTAATGAGCATCACGAGCAGGCACCTGAGGTCCAGAACAGGCCGGAACAATGAGGAAGAGCTTGTCACTGTATCTCTTCACTCCTGAAGAACTGAATACAGGTGTACCTAGTACACACATACTGACTGATTGGCATGAGCTACTGAATTCCACTTTTTTTTGCCTAGGCCAATTTGAGTTAAGTTTTTGTAATTTGTAGCCAGAAAGAGTCCTGACTAGTCTGGCCACATAATTTGGGGAAAATAATTTTTTTTTTTCTGTTAAATACAAGGAGAGATTCCCAGGGAACCTGAAGAACTGAAGAAGTGGTAGACTTCATTTTCTGGATTTTGGAGGGCAAAGGCTCAGGTGGTGTTTAGACGGACTAATTATAAATGAGAAAATAAATTAGGATTTTGACATCAGAGTCATGGAGGCTGTTAGTGTTTACACATAATCTAAAGCTCAAAGTGTATAGGCTGAATTGGAACTAAGGGTCAAAACTTTTTGTTTACCCTCATGGAAGTCTGCCTCCAGGGAGAAAACGTGCTGATCCTATTGACTTTAAGTGTTCTGGTTTTGTGGTAATTATTTTTTATTGTATAATACTACATTGGCATTTGGTTTTGAATACTTCGGTCTTCTGAGTGGATTAATAGGAGTCCTCCCTTGGGACATGGCAGAGTACCAGCGACTGAGCTATTATTATTTCACTCTAAATTTAGCCTTCTCTCTGCGGCTCTGTGGTGATGTAGCTTAGACTTTGCAAACTACAGTTCCCAGAATTCTTTGCCTGTTAGGCTCCTCAAGTAGCAGGTCCTACAAAGGATTTGGGAGTCAGGAAGAGGAGAGAAGGGATTTTCATCCTGCTTGCTTGTTATTTCTATTAGTAAGGCCCCTACATTAGCATTTTGTTCCAGTCCCCAGCTTCTTGTAGTACTTTGCTTGTGTGTCTCCTCAGAGATACCTGGAGCAACCAGGTCTCCCTCCTTTGAGCTTCTAGGCTCTCATAATCTAAACTCTTTGTATTCCCCTGGCCTAAGATCTGGTAGCTGCACTTAGGATCTCTGCATTACCTCAGTGTTTCTATTTTGGTCTTTTGGCCCACAAACACCTATGTAACCAATTCCTTATATTTAATTCCCTTCCCAGCTAGACCCTAATATGTAATAATAGGAATGGTCCTGTTATGGAACCTGGACTGGATCACCTGACAGAAGAACCAAGTGGCACTCGGAGATCTTGGAGGATAGGAGGTTTATTTAACGCCGGTGGGTTCAGAGGAGAGTGGTCTCCAAAGGTCTGAGCCCTGAGCACAAACAAAGGGGGCAATTTATACACTTCTACTTCCGCATACTTGGCACTTTTGGCACGTGCGCGAAGCGGGGCAGGGAGAAGAACCTGGATTGGTGCCCACGGGAAGCAGAGCGGGGAGAAGAACCCAGAAGAGCCCCGGGGCAAGGACTGGGACTCTTCCGTTGGCTCTGTCAGCCATCTTAAGACACCGATTTTCCTTATCAGTCGCCCCTGATGCCCCTTTAAACACCTACTTTAGAGGGCATCATTTTCATCTTCTAAGTGGCGATAGTGTGTAAGGAGCAACTGGAGTCTGATTTTAGCAATTTGAGTAGTGATAAACCTAGTAAGGGCATTAAGAATACAAGGACCAAATGCTACTATGAGGAGAAGCAATAGAAGGGGGCCGATTAGGGGGGTGAACCAAGGGAACCATTGTGAGAGGGTATTCCCTCTTGTTGTCTGCTGGAGTGATTCCCACCGGCGATGTACTCATTCCTGTAATTGGATCAGAGTTTCTTGGACCACCCCGACTCAGTAGCATAGAAACAACATTCCTCCTGTAAGAAGAGGCAGAGCCCCCCCCCCCCTTGCGCAGCCGTGAGCAAGTCGAGCCCATGCCTGCTTTGGAGGACCACCAAGGCCAGTGAATCTAGTTGGCACTGCAGGGCCAGGGCCGACTGAGTGAGGGCAGAAAAATCCGCCATGAGTTGTTGAGTTAACCCCTGGTACTGAACCTGAGACATCCCGACACCAGTGGCGCTGAGTGCAACACCTAATGCAGTCAGCAGGCTCACAATAAGAGGGATGGCCACGGGAGAGCGCTGAGGGCGGCTAGGAGGTCTCCATATGAGTGGGGCATCGCTCTGGGGGAGGACTGAAAGATCAGGTAAGAGACTGACAAGTGTGCATGATTGGTCGCATGGGGTAATGCAGATGTATACACCTTGATCACAAGCCAGAAAAGTGTTCTTAGGTGCACAGACCCAACTGTGGCCTGTGATGGGAGAGGAAGAGTTGCCATATAGCAGTACCGGAGCCAGAAAGGAATAATCTGAGGTCCCTGGTGCCGAGGTGGGAGGTGACATGGTAGATTGGTTGAGGATGACACCTAGGTATTGGACGGGACTGGGCTTTATACAGATCCAGCTGTCAGACGCTAGGGGTGGATTTGAGTGGTTAAGCACTTGGTGGGAGGCGTTAATCATACCTAACAGTTGTGCTATAGATGCTTGCTGCATGTGGATGGGGGACCCAGGGATGCGCCAGGGCAAGTTATTTCCTGTCTGACTCTGGGGGTTGACTGTAAGGCTTGGAGTGAACATGGACTTAATCATAAATTTGGCCATGGGGTCGGTTCCCATAGGGTGATATTGGCCCAACAGGAGAATGATTCCTGTAGCCCATGATGTGACATTGGGTTCTAAGACTGAGAGGGTGAGTGGTATACAGTGATTGTTAGAGCAAGAGGATGGGGTGGTATTGCATGACAAGGAAATCCGGATGTCACTGCACTGTTTGAGGTGCCACGTCCTGGTGGACCATCATTCCATTCCCAGCCAAGTCGCCACCCATGACTCACATCCCCATGTGAAGAAGAAGAGAGTTCCCCTCTGCAAGCAGAATTGAGGGCAGGTGTTTGGCTGTTGAGGCATAGGGCCCCCACAGATGTAGATATCTACCAGCCAGTAACCAGAGTGAGGGCCATGGTAGCAACACCATCTGTGAGGTTCCCAGGAGGTATCAAGAAGTTGGCATCCATCAAAATGGAGGTTAACCTTTGGTGTGTGTCCATCCCAAGTGGAAGAAGTCAGCGTGGGCGCTCGTGCAGGATTGAGGGGGATAAGCTGGAATGTCCATTTGCCAGTGATGGTGATACGAGAGTCTGCCCTCCTTGCCTGGCCGGGCAAGCCAGAGGCAGTGAGGAGGAACAGCACACCAGGTAGCAGAAGACCGGGACTGACTGGGGCCAGGAAAACCATAGTGAAATGCACTCAGGAGTAGACAGCAGAGGGCCAGTAAAAGTGGCATCTATGACCTTAGGTAGAGGGAGCCATTTTGGCTAACCCATCAGCAAATGAAACCCGTGGACAAGTGAGTGCAGTAATACACCCTAGGGACACCCAATTAGCAATGACAATAGTAAGCCTCTGGGGGAAAGTCCAGTCAGGAGGGGCAACAGTGTAGAGTCTGACTCCCAAGATGAGGGAAATCACACGGATGAGAGCCAGGGACCACAGTGAGCAGGTGTCCATCAATCAGTGGGGTCTCATCGAAGGTGAAGCTGGAGTGGGTTCGTGAGGTCTGGCTGGACTCTCCACTGGCGCGGACCCATGGGTGACACCTGAGACCTTGAGGGCAGTAGGGGCAGTTAGAACAACAGTGTGGGGCCCTGTCCACTGCAGTCTGAGGGAGTCTTTCTTCCAATCTTTGACCCAAACAGAGTCCCCTGTCTGGGAGGAGTGTACCTGAGACCCTAGGGAGATTGGGGCCCTCTCAATGGTGTACTTTTGTAATTTATTTAGGGTGGTCCCCAGGGCCTGAAGCTGCTCCTTTATCACCTTATCTCCAACCTGATGCAAATTTCCTGGAAGGCTTCCCAAGCACGGGGGAGGCCGTCCATATATTAATTCAAATGGGGAGAAACCTGATGTCCCAGGTGTGCAGCGAGCACGCAGGAGAGATAGGGGTAGCAGACCCAGCCATGGGAGGTTAGTCTCCTGACAAAACTTTGCTACAGTTACCTTTAGGGTGTGACTCATTCACTCTATTTTTCCCTAAACTTTGGGGCTGGAAAGTGGTGTGGAGTCTCCAGGTGGTGTTGAGAGATTTGGTCAAGACTGTACAATGTCTGCTACAAATGCGGGTCCATTGTCACTATGGATTGTTAATGACAGGCTGAACCAGGGCACGATCTCCTGCAAGAGGACTTTAGCTACTTCCCGGCTTTGCTCCATCCTAGTCGGGAAGGCTTCGACCCACCCAGAGTATGTGCACACTATTACTAGAAGATATCTGAACCCCTGCTCAGCTGCACATCTGTGAAGTCTACCTCTAGATCTTCAAAGGGGGCTGCTCCCATCCTCTGGACACCTGGTGGGGGCCGTGGTGCAGACTATTATTTTTAGCACATGTTATGCACCATTCACTCATTGCTCGGCATAGTGCCAGCCTCTGACTGATGTCGTAGTGCTTCTTGAGAAGGGCCTCTAATGCAGTTTGTCCCAGATGAGTGAGTCGGTGGTGTCCCTTGACTAGATGCCCTCCAGTTGCTGTTGGAACAAAGATGCGCCCATCTGGCATCATCCACCATCCCTTTTCAGTCAGGGTGGCCCCCTCAGCCATGGCCCATTCTTTTCCTTTTTAGTGTAACTAGGTGGAGAGACTTCTTCCAGGGGTGTCAGGGCCATGGTGAGGGAAGGGGCTCTGTCCATGTCCTCACTGGCTGTGGTCTTGGCTGCCTCATCTGCCAGATGATTTCCCCGAGCTATGGGATTGTCTCCTTTTTTCCTTTTCATGCACAAAGAGATTGCAGGGTTTTTCTACATCTAGTAGGCCCAGGGCAGGAGCCTGCCCCGGGGCGATCTTTATCTCTGTGAAAGCAGTTTCTGCTTCCTCAGTCCAGGCAAGGGGTTCTCAATCTGGTCCCCCTAAGAGATCATAAAGGGGTCTTGCTATTGCTGAAAACCCAGGGATCCAGATGTGGCAGAATCCTGCAGCCCCCAGGAATTCTCATAGGCCCCTTTTTATCTGGGGCTGTGGCAGGGAGATGATGACCCTTTTCCTCTCCGGCCCTAGTTCTCTTTTCCCTTGGGTGAGGAGGAACCTAAGGTATCAGACCTGTTGTTGGCAGATTTGTGCCTTCTTCCATGAGGCTCAGTAGCCTGAGTCTGACAGGAGCTGTAGGAGGACCTTTGTGCCTTTTGTGCAGTCTTCTTGTGTGTCACTGGTGAGGAGGAGGTCATCCACATACTGGAGGAGGGTGCATCGTGTGGCCTTTCTTGGGAAGCTGGCAAGGTCTGCGGCCAGGGCTTCACCAGAGAGGGTTGGTGAGTTTTTAAACCCCTGCAGGAGGTGCGTCCAAGTCAGTTGCATCTGGCATCCTGTATCAGGTTCAGACCATTCAAAGGCAAACAGCGGCTGGCTCTGGGGAGCTAAGCGGAGGCAGAAGGAGGCATCCTTCAAATCTAGGCAAGTGAACCATCTGGCTGACCCTGGGATTTGGCTGAGGAGGGTGTATGGATTCGGAGCCACTGGGTACAGAGAGATGGTCACCTTGTTGATGGCCTGAAGGTCTTGAACTGGTCGGTAACCCCCTCCTGGCTTCTTGACTGGCAGGAGTGGGGTATTCCAAGCTGACTGGCACTTGACTAGAATACTTGCTTCTTTGAGTTTGGCCAGATGTTCTTGGATGCCGATCTTAGCTTCCTGTGGAAGGGGGTATTGCTTTTGGCTCTGAGGTTGGGCTCCTGGGATCACTTCAACAATGATAGGGGCCCGATTCCGGGCTAGTCCAGGTGGGTTGTTTTCAGCCCATACTGAAGGGAAGGCGAGTCTGAACTCTGGTGGGCTGCTCGGTTGGGCCTAGGCAGAGAATAGCCTCCATTCTTCTTCCCTTGGTGTGGTAATTGCTGGTATTAGAGATCCCATCTCCTATTGCCTTGGGTTCAATCGGAGGCTAGTGTGTCCAGTGGGCTCAAAAGTTATCTGAGCCCTAAGCTTGGAGAGTATGTCTTGGCCCAGGAGGGGGATGGGGCAATCAGGCAGATAAAGGAATTCATGTCGGACCTTGTGGCCCCAGAGTTCACACTGGTGAGCCTGGCAAAAGGGCTGTTGTACTGCCTGCGTCCTGGTGGCCCCAAGGATAGTCACAGTCCTTTTGCTGAAAGGGACCACTAGGAAGGTGGGGAGGTGACAACAGAGTACTTGGCCCCAGTATCAACCATAAAAGTCACTGGTTGGCCCCCCACCTTCATTCTGACCGCAGGCTCATGGGGGCCAAGGAGGAAAGAGCCAGGTCCCCCTTAGTCTGAGTCCATTCCCGTAAGGCCTATGAGGTCTACCATAGCCTGTGGTTTCTCAGAGTAGGATGGGGTGTTATGTTTCCAGTCGAGGAGGTCAGATAATACATCACAGAATAGCCAGGTTGGGCCATCCCATCTTCATCGTGACTCTCGGGTTTCTGCATCTCTTGTACTGGCATTTGGAGGATGCTTGCGCCCAGTCTGGGGCACAGCCTGGCTGCTGGTCCTGGAGAAAGTGGATCTTTTGGGTCTAGGAGTGCCGGTGGATCTTCTGGGCCTGGGGGCACTGGTGAAACCGATGGCGGCGGAGTGTCTGGAGCTGAAGGGCCAGGTGTAGATGGTCTTGGGGGGTATGTACAGTGGGGGCAGGGTCAGTTTGTCCTCGGGATCTCCGGCTAGGATTTGTGGAGACTGGCGCTTTTGCTGATTTTCTTTAGGTCGTTTGGATGAGGCGATTAAGACCCTGGCCTGTCCCTATCTATTGCAAGCAAATCGCACCCAGGAGGGGAGGGTCTGAGCAATTCCTAGCCAGGAGTCAATGTACGGAAACTGGTCAGGGTGTCCTGGTCCTCCTGTTATGACTCACCATACTTGATGAATCGTTGGGACATCTAATGTCCCTTCTGAAGGCCACCCGACATCAAAGGTGGGCCATTCCAATTTGCATAGGGTTCTCAACTTTCCGGGGTTCATCCTGACTCCATAGTCTCCTGAAAACCCCTTCTTGAAATTTTTGATCATGGTCTCTAGAACCATAGGTTTACTCTGTCCTGACCCCTGGTGATGTCCCTGTATGCGGTGGCACAGAGACAGACAAAGGGGGTGGTGCCTCTTGAGATGAGGAGACCAATCAGATGCCCATCTGGCCATGTCCCAAAGGAGCTTAGGTGAGGCTTAGCCATAGTGGTCTCAGAGTTGTGACTTATAATTGGAAACTATTCTGATGCTGCCATAGACTGTATGCCATTCACCACAGAATCGCAGATGGACCCACTCAGACTCCATAGGCTTCTGGGGACCTTAAGGGTGCCTCTCCGTGGAGTCACAGAATCAGCCCACTTGAGCAAGCCAGGTCGGACTGCACATCCACTCACACATTCACACTCCAGAAGTTAATACATTCCCTCCCTGGGAATCCCTAGCTGTGAGACGTCCAAGAGGTCTCTGGGAGGTGATCAGGCTCCTCTTCCACCCCAGTGGAGGTGGGCCTGTCTGGGTCCTGGAGCCCCAGGCCTTGCCAGAATCTGACATTAGGACCAGGTCCTCACCTGTCAAGTCGCCTCGAGTCCAGTGGGAACAGCGGAGCAGGGCCGGCCTGAGGCGACAGGGGTGGGAGAGTGGCGAAAATTAGGCAGGGTGCACCTTCTCTGTTATGATCTCTCGTTGTGTCACTGCCCCGCTGTTGCCCCCAAACTGGTGGCAACAATGGGCCAGCGTGGTTGGGTTTCTCAGTCAGGGAACCAGATGTTAGGGAACCTGGACTGGATTGCCCGATGGAAGAACCAGCAGCACTCGGAGATCTTGGAGGATAGGAGGTTTATTTAATGCCAGCAGGCTCAGAGGAGAGCACAAACAAAGGGGGCAATTTATACACTTCTACTTCTGCATACTTGGCACTTTTGGCATGTGCACGAAGCAGGGCAGGGAGAAGAACCCGGATTGGTGCGCATGGGAAGCAGAGCAGGGAGAACCCGGAAGAGCCCCAGGGCAAGGGCTGGGACTCTCGCTGGCTTGGTCGACCATCTTAGGACACAGATTTTCCTTATCAGTCCCAGGAAACATATCTTTAAAAGATAGAATTCTGGTGGTTCAGTTATATTCTTGGCCTTAAATACACAGCTTAACTCCTTGGCAAAAAAAAAAAAAAAAAAAAAGTTACTAATAATCCATGACATGCATTGGTATTATGATTAAGTAAATGATCTCTGTGGTTGATTGTGATGAAGTGTTTGTTGAAGCAAATGCCTTGGAGACCAAGTAACTGTCATATTTTTTTATTTTTTATTTTATTTTATTTTTTGGTAGGAATGAAAACTGCAAACACTAGAAGGTAGGGTAACTGCTTTTGATTGCACTGGTGAGTTGACTGAGAGAAAAATGACAAACTTCAGGCCTTTAAACTTTCAACTAAAGACACTGTTGGATAATCAGGTTCTGTAGCAGCCCCAAAAGAATCTCTTATTTTCTGTAGCCACTGAGCTGACTTTACTGCAGATTAGTCCATAATTTAATTGGGTAGGTTGCAGAATTACCATACCAGTTGGATTTATCACCTGCCAACTTCTTACTGGAAAGATTGGGAAGGAGTGAGACCTGGAATGGGGTATCTGTGTGAACTCAAAGCTGAGAGTATTGAACCCTCGAGTTTTTCTGAGACTCCCTTGCCAGCAAAATCAGCTCCTCCTGCCTCACCTTGTCAACACCTATCAACACCGCCTCTCAGGGCTTCTATAACTTGAGTCAGAACAAGTACAAGGTATGAGTCAAGATGGTATAGTTATGCTCAAAATAATTACAAAATTTTGTTATTACGAATTAGCAGAAACATGGTGAATTTTTTTTTTAAAGATTTTATTTATTTATTTGAGAGAGAGAGAATGAGAGACAGAGAGCATGAGAGGGAGGAGGGTCAGAGGGAGAAGCAGACTCCCTGCTGAGCAGGGAGCCCGATGCGGGACTCGATCCCGGGACTCCAGGATCATGACCTGAGCCGAAGGCAGTCGCTTAACCAACTGAGCCACCCAGGTGCCCAGAAACATGGTGAATTTATGTGGGAATGGGTTTTCTGGTTGTTAGATTAAGATGGATGGAATATAACATTGGGTTAAGCTAAATTTATTGATATAAGTTCACAGAAAGTCTGGATTCAATGTATTAGGTTAGGCAGCTGAAAGTGGCTGTAACAGTTTGCTTGGTCGATTGGCTGACAGTTGGGCTCATTGGTTGTCTGCATTCAGTGAAGTTGAGATGTCAGAGTTTCTGGGAGTAATGTTGAGAAAGAAATCCAAAGGTTTGGAGAGTTGCAAACTTCGGAGTAGATTAATCATAGGCAGCCTCACGCTGCTCCACCGCCTTCACTATAATACTAGAGAGGGCCCAGGGATGACTTCCTTTACTTAGGCATTGAGAGATACATTAGTGAGAGGAGCTCCAGCATCTATTAAAAAACTGCATGACTGTGGTAGCAGTTCTCTGGAGGCTAGGGATAATGGCATCAGAAATGCTTTGACTCTCTTTACGCAGGAAGACAGTGAGGTCTCTCAAATTTAAGTTTGTTGGGAGCAGAAGTAGAACCAGGGGTGCCTGGGTGGCTCAGTCGTTAAGCGTCTGCCTTCAGCTCAGGTCATGGTCCCAGGGTCCTGGGATCGAGCCCCACATCGGGCTCCCTGCTCGGCGGGAAGCCTGCTTCTCCCTCTCCCACTCCCCCTGCTTGTGTTCCCTCTCTCGCTATCTCTCTCTCTGTCAAATAAATAAATAAAATCTTAAAAAAAAAAAAAAAAAAGAAGTAGAACCAGAACGTGTATCTCTTGACTTCCAGTCTGAGACCGCTTCATTAAGCTTCATTAGGTCCAAATCCATCAATCCTGTTCTGATATATATTTCAAGACTCAAGGTCACTTTGGTTTTACATGTATACATTCATGCATACTTGTTCTCTTCCTCACATATGACTTACGGGGAGAAAGTAATGAGACATGCAAAACCAAACATGGCAGTCCATTACAGTAGCAGCTGCATGCACATTTATGCTGCTATCTGGCTACAAAGGCAGGGCCGAACAGTGTAGGAGATCTTACGACCTACAAAGCCTGAAAAGTTTACTATCTGGCCCTTGATGGAAAAAGTTTGCCTACCCCTGCTCTAAAAATAAAAACACTGCAGATAAAGCTTAAGTTTCATGTGATCACTCTTCCTTTTGTCAGCATAAATTTGATAATATTGTGTTTTCATGTTTATAGATTATTTGTCAATTTAAATCATCTATGATTTCTTCAGTCACTAGGAAAGATGGGGCAGTTTTTCCAGAAGACTGAATAGAATGACTGACTCCTAAAGAAGGTGGGCCACTTGGTCTCCCCCTTTTTTAATTTTAAAATTTTATTTAATTAACTTATTTAAGATTTTATTTATTTATTTGGTAGAGAGAGAGAGTATGAGCAGGGAGAAGGGCAGAGGAAGAGAGAATCTCAAGCAGACTCCATGTTGAGCATGGAGCCTAATGCAGGGCTCAATCCCTCAACCCTAGATCATGACCTGAGCTGAAATCAAGTGTTGGAGGCTCAACCAACTGAGCCACCCAGGCAGCCCCCCCACCACTTTAAAAGTAGGCTCCATCCCAGTATGGAGCCCAACATGGGGCTTGAACTCACAACCATGAGATCAAGACCTGAGCTGAGATCAAGAGTCAGATGCTTGACTGACTGAGCCACCCAGGTGTCCCGGTCTCCCTTTCACAGGTGAATGTATAATTACCAGAGAGACCTTTTACAGGTCACTGGTACAATGCAAAGTTGCCTCCTGATGATTAAGAGGTAACTTTACTTTTATAATTGCTAACTTTCACTATATATATATATGTACATATATATATTTATTGTGTTCAGTTAGCCAGCATATAGTACTTCACTGTAAATATTTTTAAAGATTTATTTATTTGAGAGAGAGAGCAGGGGAGGAGCAGAGGGAGAGGAAAAGTGAGAGAATCTCAAGCAGACTCCCCACGGAGTGTGGCGCCCTATGTGGGGCTTGATTTCACAACCCTGAGATCATGACCTGAGCCAAAACCAAGAGTCAGATGCCCAACTGACAAAGCTACCCAGGAACCCCAACATTCACTATATTAAAAAAAAAACCCCAAACCCTCTTTCAATATAACTCTGTAGACCAACCACCTAAAGACAACCATTGTTAATTGTTAATTTGGGTTCTTCATGAGCATCAATTTTCATTGAAAAATGTTAAATAAATACAAAGAGTAAATGTATACATTCATTATTTTCTGGTTGTTTCTAGCTTAGCCTCATATGTAATATTTATAGAATATTTAGTCAATAAATAATTAGCTGTCACCTGCCTCTTTTTTCCTTGAGGAATGTAAGATAGCATGTATTTTCCACAAGTCAAAAAACACACTCATAACCAGGACAGGCCATTATTTCCTAAATTGCTGAAGTCATCCTGGAGATGAAGTTGTTTTGAGATGACTGATTTTTTTCATTATCCCACCAGCCTGCATATTTACTGCTGTGTTCCTTTTCACCATTCATATTTTAAAAATCTCTCAGGGAAATAGAAACATAAAAAGCCCCTAGGATCCTTCTCCATTTTATTGCTGCTATGACGCATGCCCTTGTGTAGCTTCTGTCTTCCCTGTGGAACTCCATCACGGCTTCTTGGTCAGATTTGTCTTCCAGAAAAACTCCATGTGAGAATGCTTCCTGATGGAGGGACAATGGGTACTGTGTCAGTCTGAAGACCCACTCCAACGCCTTTCTCAAGTGATTAAACAAATATGCTGATTGAATAGTGATTTGATTCTTCCTTCAGTTTTGGTTCCCTCCACTCCAATGAACACTGTATTAGTGTTCATAGCTGCTAAAATAAATCACCTCAAGTTTAGTGGCTTAAAGTGGCACACATCTATTAGCTTATAATTTTTGGAGGTCAGAAGTCCGAAATGGTTCTCACTAGACGGAAATCAAGGTGAGACTGCAGGGCTGTGTTCTTTTCTGGAGACCTTAAGGGAGTGTCTGTTTTCTGGCTTTTTCCAGTTTCCACTTCATTCCATTTCTGTCTGCAGAGCGAGCAATGACATGTGCCATCTTTCTCATGTCACATTACTCTGACACCGACACGCTGGGCTCCTCCCACATTTAAGGTCCCTCGTGATTACATTGGGCCCACCGTCGATAATCCATGGTAAAGTCTCCCAGGTCAAGATCCTTAATTTAATCATAGCTTAAGCCCAGCTAAAAGTCCCATTGGGTATGTGAGGTAGCATGTTCACAGGTTCTGGGGATTAGGATGTGGGCATCTTTCCGGTGGGTGCATTATTCTGCCTACCACAAACATGTTCACTCAAAAGAGTAGATAATGTCTGAAATGGAACAGAATCATTGGGGAGATTTTGTTTTCATGTTGCTATTTCTCAGTCATACTAGTTCACTACTTCAGCTGTCGCAGTATAAAATATGTTTTGGGGATAAAATTACTATTCTTGCATGCCCCTTTTCAGGGCTGGCCTGAGGCAAATTGTGAACCCACAAATGAATTTGTTTGGCCTTTCTATACCCCCTCACCCTCCCTGAGTCCTATTCCTTCCTTCCCAGAACTCCGCTCTCTTTTCTTACTCCTTGTCCTAAGCAAATCCTGATAAGGCATATTGTAATAGGAGCTAAAAAAAATGATGCTCCTACAGATATTTTTACATTATCAAAAGGTTTTGAAAATCAAAAGACTTCTAAGTCTTTAAGACACAGAATGGAGCTATAAGATCCAAAATCGGTAATATGCTGATAGTAAATGATATTCAAATATTTATTCATCATATGCTATGCTAGTCACTGGGGGGATTCAAAGATAAGGAAATCTCAGTTATTAGTGAGTTGTTAATCTAGTCAATTGAAAATTCATGTTATTGGATTAGAGGACTTCCAAACCACCCATGTAAGTTCTAGTCCTTTGTAGCTGTACTATCATTCACAGCATTAGGGTTTAAAAACTAGAATTTTTCTCTATGGAATTGCTATGGACCTATATTTACCAATGGTTGCAAATGTACTAATACAAATGTGCCAGGGGAATGTAGCCTTCAAGTTTCTTATACTTTCTGATGGCAGAAGTTGGGGAGGAAGGGGTGAGACATAAACTTCAAATTTGCCAGTATATAATATCTCCTGGTTTAAATATTCTTTTCTGAATGATTCAGATTCTTAGATGTAAAATTGATTCCCCCTTCTTCTCTATCTTTTTTTTAAAAGATTTTATTTATTTATTTGACAGAGGGAGAAAGCACGAGCAGGGGGAGTAGGAGAGGGAGAAGCAGGCTCCCCACTGAGGAGGGAGCCCAATGCGGGACTCAATCCCAGGACCCTGGGATCATGACCTGAGCCAAAGACAGATGCTTAACCATCTGAGCCACTCAGGCACCCCTTCTCTATCTTTCTAAAATGGCATCTGGTTGTATTTGAGGATGAGGCTTATGTGACCACATGATTGTAGGAGGTTACAGGGGCCTGTGGATTTTAGCTAATCTCTGCTGTGGAGTGACCATTTTAGTTTTCTTCCTAGACCAGTATTTGCTGAAATGCCTGTGTGGTCGTTTGAACACTATGCTGGCATATATTCCAGTCCTAGACATATATTTCTAGAGGTAAAATCTCCACATATTGTGGCTTTGCAATCCCAAGCTTTTGCTGGTCCTCTGGCTCTCAGAATTCGTGTCCCTTTATTAGAGTGAGCAGAAACCACTGGGTCCCCTGCATCCCTTGTGTGTGGGGGCTGTAGGAGATGTGAGTCCTGCTTCAGGCTCACTTGGCATCCCTCACCAATGCAGCGTGACTGCTTCTGCATCATGCTAGATGAAGCTGTATGTGGCACTCCAACAGGGACATAAATTCTTTCAAGTGTTG